AGTTAGTTGAACTCGTCCATGGAACCACCGGCTTGCAGATTATAGACTTCTAGATCTAGAAGTCCGTAATGAAACCATAGTGACTTGGAAAGTAGAATAAATTATCATAACAAGGATAATGGCGTACTTGGTTTGCTATTGCTAGTTAGTTGAACTCGTTAATGCAAGTATAGACTTGTACATCATGGACTACTAGATCTGGAAATCCATGACGAAATCATACCAGAAGGAAAATTGCTTAGCTTCGTAGCTGTTGCTAGCTAAGCTAAACTCGTTCTTAATACATTGCCGATTACATCGAAGCTATTCAAGAGTAGGATTTAAAGTTAGCATTCGCTAACAGTGGATTCAATAGGATCGGTGAAAAGCCTATGACAGGGGGCTTAATGTTTACTATTTAGACTAATAGTAGTCAATATCCCCTACAGTTTGTTGATTGCTATTATTGTACTCGAATATGAAGAGGAGATAAGAATCTTCCAACAGATGGAATAGTCTGCGCTGAAAAAGATGGATAAAAGTATAGGAAGCCATTTGAAAGATAGAAATCAAGTCTCAATAGGCTGCTTCTACTGCCTTGTCAAACTTTGCTAGTTTAAATTAGCTTTGCGAGTCAATTTCGATGTCGAATAATAACCATGAACTGATAAATAACGAATACTGATCTTCTTAAAGTCCGTTGAATCATCAAAGCGAAGATAGCGTTTACGATAATATTGACAATATAACCTCCAATTATTCAATAACAATACTACTTGAATAGATGTTTTTCCATCCTCAATTTTCATAATGATTTAGAGATGTTTACAACTGGTCATGAGCTTTCATTGCATGATATTCAGCAGCGTAGTCAAGCCGGCTGAAGTCGATATCTTCTTTAGGGCTATTGCTGACGATATTCTTTTCAATTCACAATATACCGTCCAATTTTAATAGCAGTAGGACTAGAATAGACGTTTAGCCTAATTTTGAGAATTGATCCTTGAATTTTAGTAGCAGTTGAACTAGAATGGACGTTTACCCTCATTTCGATAATATACCTTCCATTGCTAAAAGCAGTAGAACCACTATAGAATAGATGTTTACCTTAATTTTAAGAATATACCCTCCAATTTTAGTACTAGGAGGACACAAATGGACATTTTTCTTCTCTAAATTTTGATGCTTATTTAACAATATGGACAACGAGCGGCAATCATGACTACTATAACTCAAAATAATAGTAGAACTTGAATGGACTTTTATCCTAGCTTTGATACCGTGTTTTAGTCGTCATAGGACTGGAAAATTACCCCAATTTCGATAATATATTCTTGTTATTAAGGAATATTAACAACAAATTGAGAGCTAGAGCAATGATCAATAGCGCGTAGGATAATGTAGGTCTTATTCTCTGCAAATACTTTAACAAATTCGTTGAACTCATGTAGTTATTTTTTCTACAATAAATATTGATATCCTTACAGAGATTAGCAATTGACTGGCTTGAGAGTAGCAAATTGATCATCTCTAAAGGCGGCAAAGGTCAACATCTTTCATAATAATATTGACAATACACTTGATTTCGATATTTTATTCATTGCCTTCAAATGTTTCATTTTTACCCTAATATTTGGCCTCTGATTTCAATAGTAGTACAACTTATATTTTTCCATCCCGTAACCATATTACTAACGGATTCATAGCGGTAAAGCGACCATCTTGAGCGATATGAAATATCTATCATGATAGTATCAATCCTTTTTTCTTATTTGGATAGATTAATCACCGTGTTTTGAATGATTTATTTCTTCCTTAATACTGAGTCCTATACTCTCTGACTTCAATAGTGGTTGAACTTGTATTTCTTCCGCCATAAATCTTGATACACATTCGGAAATGCTTGATGATCGACTCATAGCAGTCAATAGATCATTTCAAAGGATTCAAAGGTCAATATTTTCCGCGATGATATTGACAATATTCTTTTAATAGCAGAAGAAATTGACTGAATATTGATTTCAAGGTTAATTTCAGACAGAATATTTTTATTCCTATTCAGTAGTCATTGATTAAACATATTATTTGTTGCCCTAAACCTTGATATTCCATTCAGAATAAAAATAGCACTAAAAATGACTCATCTTTAACGATGTATTTAAGGAGGCAAAAGTCAATATCGTTCACGGTAATATTGACAATATCCTCTGCATTTTGGAAAATAGTGGAAGTTAAATTGACGTTTTGTTTTCTTCCTATGGACCATTGTAATATCACGATGAAGCTTATTTTGATGATTTTTCCCATCGAATGCTTGTATAATCATTTTCCCTGATTGTAAAATTGTTAACTTAATTGAAACTATCAGAATCATTTGATGGACAGTGAAAACGAAGGTGATTGCAGCAACCTGCAGTTTCACCAGTTGTCGACTTGTTAGGATATTAGATATTTGTAGATGTACCTATTCCTGCCCTTCTTAACGTGCAATCCATGCTAATTGAGAAATAAATTCACATCGATCACAATAGTTCTCTTATTCTATTACAATCGTCCAGATAGCATTACTTTTCCTTCTACTGATCAGAAAATCAAGCTTAGAAGAAAGTGTAACTGCTATTCTTGATATGTAATCCATGGCAATTGAGCAATAAATATTCTACAATCGCAATAATTCTCAGGATAGAATGATTACTTTTCCTTTTACTAATTCGGAAATTGAGCATATAAGTAAGCGTACTTCTTTGTTCATGCCAACTTAGCAATAAATATTTGTCAATCGCAATAGTTCTCAGGATAGAATGGTTACTTTTCTTTCTACTCATCATGAAATTAAACTTACAGTAGTTGTTAGCGTATTTTTTTTTTTTATGTCAATTCAGCAATAATGATCCATCGATCATAATAGTTCTCAGGATAGAATGATTATTTTTCATTTTACGATTCGGGAAATTGAACTTAGAAGTGAACGTTTTTGTTCATTCAATGGTAAACATCAGTTATTTTTGACTCATCTGCAGCTGATGATCTGCTTGATATTAAATCAATCTCGCCGCAAGTAAAATGATTCAAGTTTAAAATACTTTCCCCTAGATATCAAAATAACTTATTATTACTCCTATTCTTAATACCAATCCTTGAAATAAGAAAGACCCTCACTTAATGTAATGGTCCTCTTAAGACAAAAGTTTTGTCCTTGTCTACTATCGTAATCAACAAACTAAAGTGCAGAGGGAAATTGATTTTCTACACTCCATTGCTCTCATCATAACATGGCCATGACTCCCTTCTTTCCTACTTAATAAATTAACCCTAGCAGTAATCATCTTGTAGTCATTACGAACATCATTATTCGGTAAGGAAGTAGGTTAAACAATAGATGGATAGTAGCTCTACTTTAAGCCATTTTAAGTAAATTCATCTTAATTCAATCATGGCAACAGTAGCCTCAATTTGCTAGGCTATTCAGTAAGTTGGCCAAGTGTTAGTTCTAGCAACGATATTGTACAATTTTTAATTTAATCCTGACAGTGGATTCCATATGTTATTATTTAATCAATTGTCATCAATAACAATCAAAATAGTCAATCAAATCCATTACTTTCCATTTCAATACTTGAGAGTATTTTAAAATTTTTTGTTAATCCGTAGCAGCTGTTTTACATCTTTTCATCTGGATAGCTAAACTATTTTATTACAATACTAAAGGTATTGATTTGAATATCTCTATCCTAACCAACGTGAAAATAGTCCATGTTCTGTCGAGAATTTGAAGAGAAAATGTTGAAAGATTCATTCGATACTTTTCAACATATTTGTATCTTGCTTTTTACAGATATTGTCTCTATAAAATGATAATATATCCATAATCGAAATTAAAAATTGTTATGTTGATGGGCGATTTTATACTCTAGCGATTTACAAGTCATCAAATATCAAAGAATGAATTGATTTTGTATAAAAGTAGAAAAAAAATGATGACATTTCCTTTAATTATTGGATACAATCCCTTTCAAAAATCACATTTAATTGTTTGATGATCATCTCAGTTATAGCATATTAGACAACTTAAACGACGCAACTGAATGATATAGCCATGGTAATAAAATGACATCAATCTGATTATAACAGCATTAGTCTAATTATATTGTTGTTAACGTCAAATTTTTGAACGGTAAATGCTAATCACTAGTCGTAATTCGGAAGGTATAGATAGGTATTACCAGGGCAATTTCTCCGATATCGAACGCTAAAACGATCCTATCTATTCTACTAACTATAAATATCGCTTGATAAAGGGCATAACATGAATTACTTTCCAATCGTAATGATGATGTTTATTCTAAAATTGATCGCATCGGTTTTGAATATCTTCATTTCACTAGTTATGTTATAGCCTCGAGATACACAAACGATAATGGATCTGTACTGCTAGGTATAAAAATATCGATATTGAGCTTTTCAAAAATAATCATTTTAGTTTACAAGCAACAGAATTTCCGTATCAAGCTTCCAGAATATCAATTAATGTTTACCAACCATAAAATTCTATATTGAGCCTTTCAAGGATAATCAATTTATATTATAAAATATAAATTCTGGATTAACCTTATCACCTGATATTAGCTATGATAGCGATCAAGATCTAGTCATCATGTTCCCTCAATATCATTCAACTCCCAACAACAAATTCTGTAATCAATTTATCGAATATTATTTTAACTAATAGTATAACTATCAAACCATATTTTCTCCATTCTCTTGCTATTTCTCAAACATCTAAATCCTACATTCAAGTAATATGACATAGGATGATACTAACGATCTTCATGATGCCGTCAATATAGCGAATAGATTATTAATCGTAAACTACTGTATAAATACGTTCAATTTAGTACGATAAATAAATTACTAATTCTATCTACCTTCTCTTCCCTCTGTTATGATATTAATAGTTGCTTAATGAACTAACAACTCATGCTCATCATCATCGTCATCCACTGGGAAGACTTAATGAATACTGTGCTGGCTGTGGTCGTAGTATCATGGATCAAGAATATCTGGGTATTCAAAAAACCGACAAAAAATGGCACATACAATGTTTGCGATGCTATGACTGCAATGAACCATTAGATAAAGATCAAAGTTGCTATGTTAAGCAAGGCAACATCTTTTGTAGGACCGATTATTTCAAGTAGGTGTCTAAGTAATTGTAATCATGGCAATACTCATAACGTAGACATAGCTAATCAATGTCACAACTGCTATTAAATTGATTTCCTATACTTTTTTTGTCTTTTAAAGTATTTTATCAGAGTCTCCCCTCTTATTATTTTTTCAATTTCCATCCTGTCTGCCGTTTTATTCTTTGAATGCCCATTGAAAACTTTTTATTTTTTACATGTCATTTTGTCAAGTAGTCGATTAACTTTCTTGTCCATTATCTATCCATATTAATCTTTCAATACATCCAATCCACTGTTACAATACATGTTCCTTTTCTTTCAATTGCAAATACATCATCTAATTTCGTCATAAGGGAATTTCTTTCTTTCTTTCGTATGAATGCTCAATTCAGTTTAATCAAAATAGAAAGTAATCTTGCAATAGAAGGATAGATTGTTTTGATATAGACAGAGAACATGTAAATCCCTCTCAAAAAGCAATAGAAGAAATACTGATTTCATTCCTAGACACCATTGAATAATTTTATTTAAATTTACAACTTTGAACAGCGATCTTCTTAAATCTCATACAACATTTGTATAGAATACGAGAAATTGTATTAGTTATATACGATTTCTTGTCTGAGGAAATAGCTCTTGATGTTATAGTTTGTGGTATTTAGGCTATGATTTTATATATTTTCGATCAGTCCTTATTTTATCACTCTAATTTCATAATAATTCTAGATTAAAATTGATATTGCCTCCTTATTACAGGCGAAATTTAGTGATAGATAAACATATGCATTTATAAAAGAGGAAAAACAATCGTTATATCAATTGATATTATAGTCTGTATTTTTAATCTAACAAATTTTTATTCTTATAATATACATTACCGTACCCATCTATTCTTACTTTTACTCTTCTTTACCTCTAAAATTTGAGGTTAAAAAGTAATATTGCTCAAAAATAATGAAGATACTTAACGATAGATAAATATACTGTCCTATTTTTATAGGGAAATATAAATTATTTTATTGATTGGTGTTATATTTTACAATTTCAGTTAGAAAGAGTTCCATTTAACACATTATCGACCACTTCTTCCTTTATGAATCTTAGTTTATAATAATTTTACGTTAAATAACATTACTGTCCAGTAATTCATGAAAATATGATAGATAAAAGTATCTAGCGAGAAAGAAATAGTTTCCATACAAGATATTGTCTATCACTTCTTCCTTTATAAGTCTTAGTTTATAAGAATTCTACGTTAAATAATAATACTATCCAGTAATATATAAAAAAATATGATAGATGAATATATCTACTGAGAGAGAAATAGCTTCCATGTAACACATTGACTATCGGTTTTACTTTATAAGTCTTAGTTTATAAAAATTCTCCCTTAAATAACAACACGGTCCATTAATTCACGAAAAATACGATAGATAAATATATCTACCAAGAAAGAAACAGCATCCATGTAAAACATTGTTCATCAGTTCTTCCTTTATAAATCTTAGTTCATAATAATTCTACGTTAAATAACAATACTGTCCAATAATTCACGAAAAAATATGGTAGATAAATGTATATACCGAGGAAGAAATAGCTTCCATGTAACACATTATCTATCAGTTCTTATATATGTCTTCGTTTATAAAAATTCTATGTTAAATAACAATACTGTCCAGTAATTCATAAAAACATGTGATAGATAAGTTAACTTCCTAATTTAATAGAGAGATCAGCGACAGATGAATAGTCGAGTTTAAGAACTAGTTTCATCAAAATGTTTTTCTGCATTCAATCGACCGTGTAAAAGTATTCTATATGGACACTCTAATTACTTTCTGCTCACACTTTTATGGATTTTTTAAATGAAATTTATACCATCGTGCTATCCAGATATTTACTAACAGTTTATTTCGGTATTTTGCTATCACTAACTCTCATAGTCTAAAACAGTTTAATTTTTCCATATCCCATGATGTTTAGATCTCAAATAGAGTTCTGTAGATGACATCTATTGTTTTGTTTGATCCCAAATTCAATTTCCGTTTTCAACTCGGTAGCTACAGAATCCACTCTAATTCATTGATGTTGAATTTTCGTAATATTTTTCCCTTTACTAAACGATCTAGGTAATCAACGTAGCAAAATTACTGATTTATTGATAGTTCATGTAGATTATGAATAATATACTATAGTCTTATCCATTTTTGTACAACAGCCTATGGGCTTATCATAGCAGTTTGATGAGGTAGCAAGTCAGATCAGTAGAAATACTGAAAGCAGGTTGTTTCTACGTACGCGTATATTCTAGTTCTTCCCTCGCCATTTTCCTAAATATTCTCATCCTTAAATGAGTGTGACTGCCAAGTATTAGATACAAACTGTCTAGTGAAGATATCTAAATTTATGAGGATTTGAGCTAGGTATATAGATTGTCTAAGACTCATCAAATTTTTTTGTAAATAACTTTATCGACATTCGACAATGATTAATATTTTATTGACAATAGCAACTGTAGACATTGATTAAAACTTTGAGTTTAGCTTGTAAAACATGTTGTAGCTTAAAGTTGTATCTAGAATTGGTCTTATAAGTATAATTTATAGCTTAATAGCTTAATAACAGCAATAATATCTTGACGTCATGATCTATCATGCTAAGTTAATTCAGATTTTATTTTAATAATGTTGTCTACTTAGTTCTTTGATTTTCGCCATTTACAGACCAATAATTGATATTAACCTCGGATAGACTTCAACCATGCCATCTATTACTTATTCTCTTGACTAATAGATTCAGCTATATTTAATCATTACCGCAAAAACTTTAAGACACTAATACCATGCCATCGAATCCGTCATCCTGTTACTGTTATGGTAGATATTAGCTGTTGGACCCTTAACTAGTAGCTCAGAGATAAAGGAATCCTTTCTCAAAATAACTACAATTCCTCTTTGTTCTTCTATTCCAGTTTTTCTGTATACTTAAAATGATAATGAATAACACTGAAATCGATCCTATAGATTTCTTTCCACAACCATATGACAACAATAACAAGATAACTGTGTTTTCGTACCGTTAGCTTTTGCTTTGAAGGTCCAAAGTCAAAAGGAGACAATGTTTTTTCTTGTTATATAGGCACCTTTTGTATTATAAAATTTAGAGATTGATACTTTACGTATAAACAATTCCCATATTACAGATTCACTAAAGAATTCATGGATAGTTGTAGAACAGCCAATTATGTAGCGAAATTTTATAGGTTATATTCAGACATGTGGAGACTCCTATATTACTTGATCATTCTTTTGCGGCTATATACAAATTCATACGATTGAGTTGATGTTCGTGTATCGAAAGTATGTTTTAGAGATGGTATTATAGCTCTAAAATATCTATACTCATAACATAAACTATCAATATCTACAGGTAAAAGTATTCTATGTCATACCAGAGATCTAAACCTAACAAAAGTTATAGCTATAGTTTAAATTTACGGACTATAATGAGACTATTAAATAGAACTTAGGACCACTTTACAAACATAAAATTTTTGAGCAGCTAAAATAATATATACTAGTTTTATTTTACATAACTAATTCCAGTTCTGATTTATTAAAACCAATAAATTAGCTAATTTAGATCCCTTTTTTTCATTGCTTTAAAGACTTTATGAATGCATATTTAATAAATTATATAATACTCTATTAAAATTGATTTCTATTTCCATACCTGGCTCTAATGTGATCATATTGATCTTCGCTGAAACTATAATTCCTGATCAATATATTAATCAATGTATCCTCTTATTATATATATGATCTGCCTTTGATCAATCCTACAACCTGGCTCTTCATCACCTGAAATGATGGTCGTTATAGCCGTTTTGGTAGCATCAAATGTCCAACTTGTAATTCTGGTATATCACCTAAAGAACATGTTATGAAAGCAAGAGAGTATGCTTATCATTGTTCTTGCTTTATTTGCCACACATGTAATAGATTGTTAAAAACAGGCGAAGAATTTGCAATGAGAGGATGCAAATTATATTGCAAAGAGCATTTTCAATCTATTACTAGCGATCATCGGCACTCACATCATTCTAATAAAGATAATTCAGGAGAAAATCATGATAGCTCTAATTCAAGTCCTGATTATGGTAACCATCATATAAATAGTAATCCAAGCATCAACGGAAAAGGTAAGATATTGTCGGTTGAGTGGGCAAGAGCTGAGAATAGCGCTGCCTATCTTGAAACTATTCTTACATAGCATACTTTGTTAACTGTCATAGTAAAACCGTATAACCGATAAAATGTAGCGAGATAATATGCTTGTATACAGTGCATGTATCAGCCACAAAGTTGGACTACTGAAATTTCTACAATGTACTAAATAAGTTATTTCCTTCTGTACAAAATAGCTCCAAATGATAATTTTTGTAATGAATATTAGCGAACATATTAGCATGTATGTAGTCTTTAGAACCAAAACGATGCGGTACTAGCAGATTCCCTGAATTTATATTGGTATTTTAATTTGGATGAAATATTAATAAATTTTGTAATTTCTTAAAAATAAAATAAAAGTTAATTCTTAGTATAGATAATTACTGTATAGCTTTAATAGTATTAAATTAATTAATATATCAGACACTTACCAGTTCAGTTCAGAAGCATCATACCGTACTAGTATCACATTTACTAAATTTTCGTGTAAGACTACGTAGTAATATTTAGCTTTGTAAATTAATTGAATGAATAAATAATTTGCAAAGTTTAAGTACTTATCGGTGTTCAATACTAATCATTAGATTACCGTAAGTATTAGAGCAATGAATACATACTATAACTAATAGTGAATAGTATTTCAGCGCGTATAAAGAGTATAATTGTTATAGTAATATTATACTAGCCAATTATTCAGATTTATATAGTATTTTTAGCTTGATAAAACAATAATAAGCTCAGCACTCTCTTACGAAATTAAAGATATTTAATTATTAGTATAGATTAATTATGGTATTTATAATAATCACTTGAGTAAATAATACTAGTAAACGCTATTATCTCAGTTTAAAAACATGGCATAGTAGTAATATTTCCCTCTAATTTTAGATTTACGAGTACTAATAGTTTGATATCTTATTTATCACATAAATTAATACTATTCTAATAATTTCAATACTTGTCTACGTTTAAAAGTCATTAGTAATTTAACTAGTCATTTATATCATCAATTTCATGCCGTATGCTGATAAACGCGTTAAATCTAAACTAAATGCACTAAACAAGATAAGTAATAGGAAAATCTGCCCAATACTTATGTTTCTCAATTGCGACGGCACAATAATTATGATCTTTAACGAATTCAATATAACTCATGATATATATATATATATTATTCATTTAATCAGGCCACGACAAGGACGACGACGATTTCGGTAAAATGGTATTAGATGACATTACTGATGAACATGGGAGATCGAAACGTATAAGAACATCATTTAAACAACCTCAGTTACGAACTATGAAAACTTATTTTGCTCTTAATCATAACCCAGATAGTAAAGATCTAAAGCAATTATCAATAAAGACAGGATTAAACAAGCGTGTATTACAAGTTTGGTTTCAGAATGCCCGAGCTAAATATCGTCGATCAATACAGCAAGTAGATAAGACTAATTCAACCAATTCCAATGGTTTGAATCTTGTTGTCTAATAGATAGATGGACTCTTAATCATAAGTCTATATTAATATTATTGTTATTAATATTCTTACTATTATATATATATTACTAGTATGATTACTAATTATTAAATGAATAATGTTATTATTAATAATATTATTATTGCTCTTGCATTATTACAGTCATAACTATTCTTTATTATTAATACTATATCTTACGATTTTATAATCCAATGTACTATATTCAAGAATAGCTCAAATAGAAGGTATAAACGCAATTTTACTTAAAAATATTGTAAAAACGTTATTTCTAGACTGCACATTCGATATTTATTATCTATGTTTTCAATCCACTATTATTATATTATTGTAGTTACTCGGTAGTAAATTGCTATAGCAGGATTGTAATTAATTCTTTTTGCCTTATTTGTAATATTTTAAATACTGTAGTATCGATCGTATTATGTTCATTTTCTACAGTTACTTGTATATTCCGCTAGAATATCTTACGTGTATGTAATTTATTGCCTTAGTATTGGGCAATCAAAGCTGTAAATATAGCCATAACGTGGATGGTATCTTTCTACTACTGTGCTTCAAGTTATATTGGTCTTGCACTATCTTCTTTGGTCGATTTTCTAATTTTTATACCATCATCACTACCGTCTGTCCAAAAATTCAGTTCCTAATAGGCAACACATCTATATGATTATTATGCCACTTGCTACAAATTTTATTCATTTAAACTGGCTTTAAAAGCAGTTTACAAGAAAATAATTTAACATCTACTACCATGCTTGTTAAAAATCATTCATATGAAGTATCCTTTCAATAATGGCATGTTAGATATATCAACTAGTACTTCTTGGATCATCTACTTCTGCGCTAGAATTGCTGGTTAGCTCATAGACGGTATATTAAAGGAGCTTTAATGAAAATAATGAGAGACATTAGCTACTACAAGCAATTAATCTTTGATACTTGTGTTCACATCAATGAATATATTGTAAAAATCGTTTCCAATGTTGAATTATAAATGTAGTTGTATAATGCTATCATACTCCTAACGTGTTTTTGGCTACAAGTGATATTCATATAAATCTTTAATTGGTATTTGAATTATACATATTACAACTCAATAGTAACTATTTTGCTTGATGGTGAATCACGCATGCCAAGATAACTTGTCACATTTATAAAATGACAAGTCTCAGCTATATGTTTCGATTTGCTTAAAAAGCCGTAAGAAAAATGACAGCCATGATCTGCATTATTCCATTTCGATCATGACCTTAACATATATCACAATCCATAATACAATTAGGAGATGGAAACATTGATACATACATGTATATATATATATATATATATGCGTATATAAAATATGCTTTTCTTCAATTTCTTTATTTTACCGCATCCCTACTACCTATTTCTGTGCTGGAAATTCATCTGTGACATAATATCTAGTTATATAATATTATAGATATATATCCATCGTAATAGTGCATATTCTCGTCATGTAGATAAGTTACTTGGGAGTTTATCAATGATCAATAACAATTAAGTCAACTTGGTCTATATAATACAAATTATTATGATCCATTTTGCGGATATTGATAATGTTGTTCCTTGTTATAACTCCTCAACTAGACCGCCAATATCAATTCAAGACAATTTAAAGTTAACTTTATTACCAGGATTGATAACACCTTGAATATAGAAATATCCTATTTTCTGCAGAATACTGGAAAAGAACGTTTAGTTTTCCCACTGCGAAATTAATTTCAGGTCTTTTTAGATCGTAGATGCTCAAAATAACAGAAATTGTTGCTGTCACATTAATTAATCATTCTATATTATTACCATATCCTATTCTGCTTATTGCTACTCTTAATGTCGTCGTTACATACATACGTATGTGTAATATCATCATAACTGTAATTATATTTAATGCATAATGCTGTTATTTCCAGCTATACTCTTTAACTATACTATGCCGGCGATATATTGAATTTATGCTGGCAAAATTGATTCCTTTTAATTAATTAACTAGGTAATTCAAAAATGTTTTTCATCTTCATAAATTGAAAATTAAATTAGATGAAAAATATATGATAGCAAATCAAATTTTCCTGAATCTTCGTTTTGCCGATATTCCAACTAATCATAATATCATTCAAAGTTTTTAGCTTTTTTCCTTCTACTTTGGCTCTATTTTTTTCTCTTATTCTTTTGCAATACCAGCTGCTGTAATTTGTTCCTTCATTATCTAATTCCAAGCTTGTTTGATGATATAAAGCATGATAATAAATCCTTTATTGAGTTAATGTGCAAATTTTATTTGTTTTTTATAATTTATGATTTGAGTAAAGAAGCGTGCTTCTGTGTATGGCAGATGATACGTATGATTGAGTTACCATTGCTAAACTTCTTACCACTAAAAAGCAGATTGAAATGGGAGTCTATAAATAGTCTAACGAAAAAGTGTATCACTGTATGCAGAAACATTCTCTTAAAATATCTAGCTGTATGAGTCGACGCAAAGTACATACTGAATGTGATTCTGTTTCACACCTGTATCCTCGACTTCTCCGTGCTAAATATTAGAAGAGACGCTACTATGCACATACGTAGAATGCAACAAATTGACGAAAAAGTACTGATAATTATTTGCGATCTACCTTTGTAGGCTATGATACTTGGTATGTGATTTATAGCAATGGTATGGTGCATATCGAAATAAAAACGATTGCCAACTTTTCCTTATAATAGATCAGATGAAATACTGTATGTGAAAAAGTGAGACGAAAGTGTACTCTAGTGTTATCAGGCATTCCGATATCTGTGCTTTTACTCATTTTAGGTATACCTGAAGGTACTATGTTAATGATCGGATTGGTTTACAATGACCTTTCACACCGAGCAGCGACAAGAAATTGAAAAAAATTACCTCACACGAGCCGACCTACAGTACTAAACTACTGCTCTACTTCAAGATGCATATATTATAAATGGACTTATGTTGGAATACTAAAGCTTTAAATATTAAAAGAAGCTGAATATTTATAATAGCAGCTCAATTAAAGCAATATACTCTGTATTACGTCAATTTAAGAATATCATGTCTGCCTTTATTTGACGTAATAACGGAAATTTTAAATGGTGACTTAATCTAAATTTCAAGTAGAGGGGAAAAAAGTATGCTGCTATAACCGTACAAAGACAGTAGGGTTTGCCATAAAATAACAAATGCTTCCATATATGGAATGACATAAAGGTATTTGTAATTTGCCTTGTACTATCAGTTATAATAAGAGCAATTATAAAAACATTAAATACTATCAATATGGTTAGCTGTAACAGATACAGAAAAGTCGATGATCCAGATTCATATCTCGATTGCTATCACTATATTCTTTCGTGCTTATTTACAATTCAAGCTCTCCAAGGTAGATTTTCTTATCACTACCGCAAGACATCACTGCAATGAGAAAATTAGAATAAGCACAAGATGTATTAGCACATTTAATTACACAAAGGTAGCTGACAGTATCCTATGATGATAATCAGACTCATAACAACCTATAGGTTCGATAGGATGAAACTGGACGTCATTTACTGATCCATCATGTCCTGGTAGTTTGTATAATATACGTCGTGTCGCAGTATCCCATACATATACAAATCTAGTAAATATAAATTTTAAATTAGCAATTATTGTCTCTTGCCAGAAATGATGCCTTGAGATTGCAAGTAAATGATATTTACTTGAATCTACTGTGTTAAAGAATTATTTCATACGGTATTGGTCATTACGTGATACCAACTACAAATTAAGGATACAAATATGTATACAGTATATGGAACTGCCTACGAATAATTCGATCGTTTACCTATCCGCTGAACCAGCTGCAATTTTTTTGCCATCCGGTGACCAGCTACATTTCAAAAGATTCTGCAATACAATACCAAGAGTTAGCTCTTTTTAGTTCATATAATTAGAGGTTTATCAATGTTGCATTCCTACAATGTTACCTTTTCAAAATTGTGTTGAGCTCCAGTGAAAATTTTAAGACATCGATCACCCGGTACGTAAGGTCTTATGTCCCAAATACGAACTGTACGATTTAAGAAGGAGTAGGATGAGATAAAATGGTACCTTAATAAAATTACGAAATGCTGAAAGAATTTCACTACTAATATAATAATATTTCACATACCTGAATTATCCATAGCATTAGACATAACATAACATCCATCAGGGCTTACACTTAAACTAGTAATAGTATCAAGATGTCCAGACATAGAATACATGATATTGTTCTTACGCAAATCCCACACCTAAACGAGAGAATAGATCGTAAAATACATTATAGATCTCATGTACGTATGCTTTCACCACATTCTTATTAATAGCCGTAACACAAAAATAACTTATCGTATTTAAGAATGTAATTAAATCATATCCATTACCCTAATCACGTTATCCAAACCACCAGATATAATTTGATCACCTGTGTCGTTAAAACTTACGGCTGTGACCTTTAAAGGGAAACGAAATAAGTGTTAATTTTATAAACTAGAATCATATCCTTACGTTGATACCTCTAAAATATAAGAGAAATATTTTATCAAATTACTTGATAATTGCTCTGGAATGAATGTACTGGTTCTCTTCTTCTAACATCCCACAATTTCGCAGTACAATCATCAGATCCTGTAACAAGCATTTGGGTCCCACGGCGAGATGGGTGGCAACTATTTACAATACCTGTATGGCCTTTAAACTTTTTAGTTCTTTGCCCAGATTCAAAGTCCCATATTGCTGCAGTTTTATCTGTTGAAGCTGAAAACAGTTGGCTAAAGAATAAACAACATATCCTTTTTAGACAATACCACAATAGTTTGATCTTAATGATAGCACTTTTTTTCTGCTTATGCTACGATTCCTTAAAATACTATTTTCTCGCAATTATAGTGCCAGTCTAAAATAATAAATACGCATATGGTTTCAGTAAGTACCTGCCATCTGTAGAAAAGTGCAAGTCTAAAACGGCTCCTTTATGACCTTCCAGGATAGCATAATTTTCACACTCGCCATAAATATTCCACAAAACTAAGAAAATAAGGGTACAATTTATTGACAAGGTTAAAGTTGGTGATCATTATTATACGCTTAAAGTTAAGGGGATTACATTTGATGATTACTTGCATGAGATTGAGACTTTACACATTTATCAGTTTAATTTAGACTAAACCCGTAGTAAATCGTAAATAATCAACAGTAGATTATACCGTAGTAATATTAAATCAATATGCATAGTGAATCAATCCTTTCACAAGTAATATTTTCTAATTTCTCAACTGTAAATAACATCTCACATTCAGCTTGAACAGGAAGAGTAAAGATAGTACTTTGTAGAAACCTTAATGGTTAAGGTGTTTATTAGCACTGCTGTTGCAGTGAGAATGCTGACTTATTGATCATGTCCACTTTTAAACGAATTTTTGAATAATAAAAAATAGAATGTATAGAAAACCGACTTACAAATTTTTCTTTCAAAGGAAGCAGAAGCCAGCACTTCCCCATCAGGATGAAATTTAGCTGTATATATTTCTCCCTACAATACCCAATAGCAATATTGATCACTTTTCTACAGTGGTCATATTCCATCGATCCTTAGTCATACATACAGTAAATCTTCCGAGCAGCTTTTACTTAGTAATAAGTAATCTATGACTATTCAGTTTACCTCATGACCAGTTAGCAGCATAATTGGTGCCAAAAGTGATGAAGTTCGAGGAGGACCCTGTCATTACAGACAAAGAAGGATTTAGTATCACGTATCCATAAGAGTATATTAATTGGGCGGTAGAAATATAACAAGAACATTTATATATAGTTTATTACTACATCGTCATGGTATGGTTGCTATAAAATGCTGAGATGTAGTTCGTTGTCATAAGATAGCATACACCATCTTTTGATTGCAACAAGTCTATTGCTCGGTGATCAAAGGCATAAGGTTATAGGAAGAAAACAGATTACAGTATAATTTCGCGAGCATATCCACAGACCTTTCGGTTGTAGTGACACAAGTGATTTACCATCCACTTTCACTTCACCTATTACAGTCCTATATTTGACAAAATGCACCAGGTACTGTCACCGGGTATTACTTCGATAAATATCCCTTTCAATCATGTAGCTGTTTCAGCCTGATAGTTTACGCTTTACGGATATAATAATAGTACAAGGCTCACTAGTTCTTTACTCGTACTGATGATTTCTACTGAGGTAATTCATTTACTCGTACTATCCATTCTTATTTCACGCACACAGTGTGCGGCATAAAGTCCAAATACGTGTTGTCAACTGGACATCACTACGACAAATTATTATCAACAAATACCTGCTATTGTCGAGGAATAAAAGTTACTGTACTGTCGTATAGGATTTCGATATCAGACAACAAGCTGTTGAGCTTATGCCAATCATGTAGCTCTTTCAAGCTGATCGTCTACCGAGGCCATTTCCGATGGCATACGATTTAGAATATTAAAAAGGACATCAGCTCTTTACTCATACTGATGGTTTGTGCTAGGGCAATTTATTTACACTATCCATGCTTATTCCACGCAGTTACTGTCTTGGATAAAGTCCAAAACTGTAAGTGTTGTAATTGAGCATTAATGCGACAAACTACGATCAACACAGGGCTATACTAGACTGTCGAGGAATAAAGTGATTGTTGCATAGGATTTGAATATATTCGACAATAAATAAGCTATTGAGCCCATGCAAGTTATTTTCCAACATTCGAACGCTTCTATATCCTAACGAGGACATTACTCCATCTAGTTCAATTAGATAGAGGTTGGAAAGATATGATTTTATGGCAAGATCACTGAATATACAGTCTATTGAATGCAAAAGTGTCTATGGATGGATCAAAGGGTCGATTGGGTTGGTATACTATCGACAGCATAAGCGAAAGACATGTTTTTCTGATCATACAAGATAAAAGTGTTATTAAGCTAAGTTAAACCCTATCAAACTTGACTATTACCGAAGCAATTAATTGCTGATTCTTTCGGCTGACTTCTAATTCATATTTATTCTTCTTGACAGCAACTACAGTCCCATCAAAGTTGTCATCGTTAGCGCGTTTAACACCAACGGTCGCCATGTTTGCACTTCTTGAAGCTTTGTATAGGCGCTCCAAGCGTGCGTTGTATATTGTACTGCAGTTGACTATCCCATACAGTACTTCTTGACACTATGGTATAGTATACAGAGCAATATCACAGCCAAGGGTGATGTTAAGATTGAACAGAGTCTGCGCACCTTCCAGAAGAGACAAGCGCATTAACCACCCTACGAGTTTGCTAGTGTGCAAAATAGATTGTCGCATGGGCTCCGTTTCATCTCTTTTTTTTAGCTGGATACAAATTCTGTATAAACAAGACTGTAACATAAAATAGATGGCAATTTATTTGTACATAGTATCTTATTGTACTGTACTACTAAGAGTCTCCTAAAGTGCAAAATAGATTTTCGCACGCCCTCGGTTTCATCTCTTTTTCAGCAAAATACATAAACAGTACAACTAGAACTGTGGCAAGAAATAGGTGACAACTTATTTGCACATCGTATCTTGCTCTTCTAAGCTACTACGAGTCTTCTCGTGTGCAAAATAGATGGCCGCATAGCACGATACAAGTACACTACAGTATGAGGAAGACTGTGGCATGCAATAGGTGACAATTTATTTGCACATCGTATCTTGCTGTAGTGTTCTACTACCAGTCTCGTAGTGTGCAAAATAGATTGTCGCATGGCCTTCGTTTCACCTGTTATTTAGCAAGATACAAGTACACTACAGTATGAGGAAGACTGTGGCATGAAATAGGTGACAACTTATTTGCACATCGTATCTTGCTGTAGTGTTCTACTACCAGTCTCCTAGTGTGCAAAATAGATTGTCGCATGGCCTTCGTTTCACCTGTTATTTAGCAAGATACAATTCTACTACTGTATGAGGAAAACTGTGGCATGAAATAGGTGACAATTTATTTGCACATCGTATCTTGCTGTAGTGTTCTACTACCAGTCTCCTAGTGTGCAAAATAGATTGTCGCATGGCCTTCGTTTCTCCTCTTATTTAGCAAGATACAATTCTACTACTGTATGAGGAAAACTGTGGCATGAAATAGGTGACAATTTATTTGCATATCGTATCTTGCTGTAGTGTTCTACTACCAGTCTCCTAGTGTGCAAAATAGATTGTCGCATGGCCTTCGTTTCTCCTGTTATTTAGCAAGATACAATTCTACTACTGATAAGGAAGACTGTGGCATGAAATAGGTGACAATTTATTTGCACATCGTATCTTTGCTCTAGTGTTCTACTACCAGTCTCCTAGTGTGCAAAATAGATTGTCGACTTGGCCTAGTTCTTCATGGCTAGCACTACTGGTTCTTAGTCGGTACGTTCTTGCCGAATTGATCATAAGTGCTTATACTGTAGGTTTCCTTGGCCTAGTTCTTCATGGCTAGCTCTACTGGTTTTTAGTTCTTAGTCGGTTCGTTCTTACCGAATTGATCACAAGTGCTTATACTGTAGGTTTCCTTGGCCTAGTTCTTCATGGCTAGCTCTACTGGTTTTTAGTTCTTAGTCGGTTCGTTCTTACCGAATTGATCACAAGTGCTTATACTGTAGGTTTCCTTGGCCTAGTTCTTCATGGCTAGCTCTACTGGTTTTTAGTTCTTAGTCGGTTCGTTCTTACCGAATTGATCACAAGTGCTTATACTGTAGGTTTCCTTGGCCTAGTTCTTCATGGCTAGCTCTACTGGTTTTTAGTTCTTAGTCGGTACGTTCTTGCCGAATTGATCACAAGTGCTTATACTGTAGGTTTCCTTGGCCTAGTTCTTCATGGCTAGCACTACTGGTTCGTAGTTCTTAGTCATTACGTATAATAATAATAGACGATTATAATGATCAGTTTGTCCGCAGTCTCGTCCAGACCTTCCCCCCCCCCCAAAAAAAAAAAGCAAAAGTATAGTAAGAACTCGGTCAATTTGCTCTTGAGTACTCTCAAAATACTGCAGATGATGCTTATACGAGGTTAGACCATAAAATTGTTTTTTTCTTAACTCTACGGGTTAGACAGAAGTGCATGGAGATTGTTGGCAGAAGAATTGATCTTCTTAAATAGGCACCAAAAAGTCCTATAAAAAAAAGAGGATCTTCCAATGCACTTACACAGAATCAATGTAAGTTGAGCTCGTATCTTTAAAGAGCAAAAATGGATGGACACTTTCTCTATGGACAGTAATTGCACAATACTGCCTTAGGCAATACTGTACAGTAGACAGCATGAGAAAACTTAAACAAAACCTCTCCTCTTTTACCTTTTGCTGACATTGTATTCTATCATACTGCAAGCAGTATGATAGAATTAATTATTATAATTGATTGATTTTATTCATGAGCTTAATGACCCCGAGGGCGGAAAGGGTGCGAACTTTGTATGGCGAGATAGGCGTAAGCTTGATTGACTAATAGCCCATAGTATCGCTCTTACTTTAATGGATGACTAGTGCACGTTATGAGCAAGAAGCCATTCCTTTTTCACCCCTTGATGACCCTTGTATCCTTGCCCAAGACATGATTGATCAGTCTAAATGACTACTAGAACCTCCTACATGAGGAGACATCCTACTCTACAACCTGCTTGCGCCGGCTGTTCAACTGTTTAGGGAATACTAGTAATATTATTCTACAGTACAGTATATCTCTTAACAGGAAGAGAAATCCATTGACAGTATCCCTAGGCCTCAAATCCAATCGGAAGTTTCCTCTGGACGATTGCAGCTGCCAGCTTAACAAGGTAGAGACTTTTCCATCAATATTATTCACTATTTTCATCCATATCTTCGATTACTGTCGCTACTCGCTGTTCACGATCATTTCCGTTATGGATACAGTTGTTTAGTTTGGCTTCTGCTGTTATGTTGCTATCATGGTGTCCTTCCCTATATAGTAGATTGTCCATTTCTTCCTTGAGCTGACAACCACGTTATTATATTAAAATCGGCCATCATTTGACAACAAAATGATTTTTCCTATGCAAATAAATGCTAGAAACGATATACGATTCCACCACCATCATCCAACTAATTTTATTATCACTTTCTTCCCCCATCGCTTGTATCATAACAGCGGGAAGAAAGAAAGAATGGACAAGTATTCTACCATAATACGTAGCAATAAAATTGATTACGGTCATTTCATGAATGATTCAGTGATGGACCGATCCTTTATCCGCTATCTGTTTAATTGGCGAATCCAGAACGGGAGAGAAACCATTAGATCAGCACTATATCCCCAAATTTTCAAAGCCTTTTTTCAACCATCGTTATCGATCACTTCATGGATACTCTATCATCCAATTTTATTCTTGGATCGCTCAGACTTGTGACCTACGTCGATTCTACTCATAAGCCTTATGCTTTATCATCCTTCATCATTGCTATACCAATAGGACGGAGATCAATTCCGCTAGTGCTGTATACCTCCACGTTTTGCCATCCTTGACTATGCCACACAATCAATGTATCATTGATCATGTAGAGATACTCGACGATAACATAAGTTGATCATGCAAACCTTGGATCTACGCATAAGGAGACTCTGCTAAAATACCCTATACTGTACCTTGTTATCATTCGCCACATCTTGTTGTCATAGCCATGCCAACATTCGTACAGGAATTGATGGATCATATGTAGATACTCTATTATAACATCAATTGGTTGATCATTTATACTTTTCAGTTCGGTCAATTCTGCTAAAACGCCCAATATTTCATCACTATAATTACCCTTACTTAAATATAATAGACGTGGGCATCATGGCGTCTTGCTCGTACGTGTATGTCGATAGTCTATCATAACATTTATTAACTGATCATTCCAACTTTTCTCCATCTCATCTACTTTATAGACGTGCGCATCATTGCCACTTACTCACATATGTATGATGATAGTTTATCATCATATTTATTGACGGACCATTTAAGACTTTTCTACAACGTAAATCCTACTAACTGTAAAATGCCCTAGGCCTTGCTATCTTGTATATATGCTCATAGGATAAGTTGATTTATCACTTCAACTTCTTAGCTACGCCAGGTAAAATGTCCTACAATTTATCGCCATGTTCATGTCTAGCGAATAGACGCGTATCATTAGTCTTGTGTAGATAATCTATCATAGCATAGTAAGTTCATTCAAGCTTTGGTCTACGTAAATCAGCTTAAAATGCTCTACACCTTGTCATCATTAGCCATAACTACATGATCCATGTATGGCATATTGATGATAACTTACGTAAGCAGTCTATCATAGCATGGAAGTAGCTGACCATTTCGTTTACCTTGCCATCTTCCATCATGCCAATACGATAGGCGTCTAATAAGGTCGTGCCTACTTGATAACCTATACTGACAATGTCATTGCATGCAAACCCTACATCATTTCCTTCAATTTTGGTGCGTCCATCAAATAAGTTATTTCACTAGCTTCAGCTCGGCTGGGCTAGCGATCTATTTCCAAATCTGTAATACAACCAATTAGGGGTGATATCTTGATTAGTTGTCATACATTCATTTTCTATTGACTTCATGTTGCGAATGGATAAGAGAGTACTGGATAAGTTAAGAATATCCTTACTTTATGAACATGGTACTTATAAATTTTGCACTTTTGTTTTTTAGTCGTTAATTGTTCCTCATGCTGAAAACAATCATGAAAACTAAGCTCTATCATCAGCAAAGGCTATTACCAGTAATCACTGCTGCTCGTGGGTTTTTAACTCATCAATCCTCACTACCTCACTTGCCTGTTCCTCCGTTAAAGGATACATTAGATCGATACTTGCTATCAATTAAGCCATTATTAACTTCTGTTGAATTCGAAAATACCAAAAAAATAGTTGAAAAATTTGGTGAATCCGGTGGTATCGGACATACTCTTAATGAAAAGCTGAAAGAAAGAGCCAAACAGCATAACAATTGGGTAATAACCATCGATATAATAACAAGTATACAGTAAAATAATATGTCTACTACTTTAAAATGCTCATCCATAAGTTGAATAACTTACTTGCCTAAATGTTTTTTATAATATAACTCGCATGTTCACACCTACTTTACTTAAATTAAAACATTCGTCTATTTGACGGCCAGTCGTGAACACCTATTGACTAAGAGATATTTTATAATTGCAAAGAAAACATTTAAATTTCTAACTAATTAATATCTATTATTTAGCTTGCTGAATGGTGGCTTAATTACGCCTACTTGGAGTATCGTGCACCCAATATTGTTAATTCTAATCCAGCTATTATATTTCCAAAATTTAATTTCAGTGGATTAGAAGGCCAACTTGAGTATGTCGTTCAAAATATTCTTTTACATATTGATTGTTGCACTTGATATCATTGATACGTTGTAAATTGAATTCAGTGCCAGAAAGAAATTATTTCAAATGATCTTTTTTTTGCTAAAACAAACCATAATAACTCTCAACACTAATTAAATAATTGTAGATATGGAGCAATGGCGGCTTATTCTGCCTTAGAATACTACGAAAAAATAATTCGGTATGAGATAAAGTATCCATTGCTTATTAGTAGCAACTACTGTATTGAAATGCTCAATATCTGCTAAAAATAGAGCTATTCAAGCATAGAAGTGCTTACTTATTAATTCTTGTCACTGTCGCTATTTCGTTATTTATATTGTAGTGGAGATTTAGAAGTGGATACTGCAGGAAAGCGCCCAATGTGTATGATACAACACACGAATATCTTTGGTTCCTGTAGAGTTCCTAAACCAAAAAGAGATGCTTTTTACACCCATCCCTATGGCAACCCACCATGCAATCACATTATTGTAATCTATAATAATCAGGTAACCGTTTTAATGAAAAAAATTAGAAGATCTACTAAATATGATATCTACAGTACATACCAAATAACTTCTGCTTTGGGTAAAATCTTGTAACAATATCACACGATAGATAAAATGTACATTCAGAGCTATATGCATGTACACAAGACAAGTAATTACCTATGGATGTAAGACGTACATACATATACTTATTACAGTGAACAATCGATTTCAAAATATAAATACAGATCTCATTATTTCGCAACATTAATTATTCGTTAATTTGTAGCCATATGAATACCATTAACTTCAATTTTTTTCCGGTACCGAATTGATTAGATTTTTGCTGTTGACGTGATGCGAAACGGACAGAAAATATCTGCCGAACAGATACACCAACAACTAAAATTAGTTGTTGCTAGTACTCCACAACCTGTTGAATCTATCGGTATATTAACATCGAATGATAGAGATTCTTGGGCCGAAGCTTACGCTCATCTTGCACAAGGTTGTGATAACCCATGTAACATATCCAAATTTTGATATTGGTAGCAATAGTACAGTAACAAATGGCTGATCTAATTTTTACAGATCCCATCAATAAGGACAACTTAGAGACTATAAAAACGGCACTTTTTGCTATTTGTATTGACCGTCCTGGTATTAGCTATTCTGGTAATGCTGATGGCAAGGAATATATGCAATACTTTAGGAATTACCACAGTAGAATGCTCTTGCATGGTGAAGGTAGCTTATTCAATAGCGGTAATCGGTGGTTTGACAAGACCATTGAGGTAATATTTTAACGAGTTAGATGTACACGTTAGCATAGAAGGAATTGTTTAATACATGTCTAATAATATCGTCAAATTCATAATGTTGTAGTTAATCATTGGCCCAGATGGTCTAATTGGAGCAAACTACGAGCACTCTGCTGGTGAAGGCCCTCCAGTTGTTACAGCACTTGATCATGTGTGCAATTATTGGTATGATAGTGATATAGCAGTAAAATGTAATACAGAGATACTTAGTCTAACTACTTAGTAATATGATCCTAAACCTATAACTGAAATTTTATCTAACTTTCAAGTATGAATAACCGCTTAAGCACAAATGAAAATATCAACCCTGAATCATTACCTACAGTAAGACCACTCCATTGGCTTATAACCCATCAAACAAGAAATGATATATTACAAGCAACAACAAAAATTAACAAGTAGGTTTATCTAGGCCTATAAAAGTATAAGCATTTCATACTAGACTCAACAGAGACATAAAATCGAAGTTTTATTTTTGTGATTATAGACTGGCAAAAGATGTAGATCTTAGGGCCATAGTCTTTGATGCATTCGGTGCAAATCTTGTCAGGTCATATAAACTAAGTCCAGACGGTTTCTTCCAAATAGCAATGCAGCTAGCATATTACAGGTATTGTAGATATCAGTTTTTTTAAATTCCTCCTATTCTTCTGGGTTAAACATCTTATTAACATTTTTGCAATTACAATAAACAGATTGCATGGCCGATCACCACCAACATATGAAAGTGGTGGCACTCGCCAGTATATACTGGGACGTACTGAAACAATTAGATCTGCGACGATAGAATCAGATACCTTTGCTCGAGCTATCGATTGGCCAAGTTACAGCGTAAGTCATTTTAATATATCGTAATTTCAAGATGAAGAACTTAGTTGTATAAATATGCTAAAAGGGACTTGTCAATGTCTATGTATTAGAATCAAGAAAGAAGGGAGCTGATGCTTGCGGCTTTAAATCGTCACAAAGATGTCACCATAAAAGTATAATAGAATTGGACTCACTTACATCTTACATACTAGCACCTGTATAACTTTAATTTGACTGTTTTCAAATAGGCAATAACGGGACATGGTTGGGATCGTCACCTTTTGGGAATGAAATTAATTGCAATGGAGCAAGGTCTAGAAGTACCAGAGTTGCATAAAGATGTTGGCTATACTAAAAGTACTCGTATCTTATTGTCTACTAGTCAAGTAAGTCTCATGAAAATATTTACAGTAATAATTACGGATAAAACTTTTATAACCTAAATTTATTTTCTATTGGAATGTATGTATATCAATTAATTTAGCATTTGCTCTTGGTTGTACATAGGTATCGTCAAATTGTGATCTCTCTCTATTTTTTGGTCCAACCGCTCCTGATTGTTATGGTGTTTGTTATAGCCCAAATCCAAATAATTATCGATACTCTTGCTCGACTTTTAATAGCTGTCCTGATACAAATGGTAAATTGTTTGCCGAATTAGTGAGCAAGAGCCTTCTGGACATGCAAGCATTACTCTTAACAAAACCTAAGCTATAAAAAATCAACGGTAAATTAAAACAATCTACTAAATGAATTATACCTGCATTATATCGAACTTCATTGTTTAAGTGTATGGTTATCGATATTCTCTGGGAGCATAAACTCGTTTTTTAATAAGTGATATGCAGTACTTTTCACTATCTTAGTTTTCTAGTTTAAACTTTATGTTATTCTAGATAGTAAATCACAGGTTATCGAATTTCAGCAATAAAGAAGTTGGTTAAATGTTCAGATATAGTTAGGTTATTATTTCCATACTGTGTAATAAAATTTTAGTTGTCTCTAATCTTGATAGTTTTGATATACAATGGGTGAGAAGTGAGGACACTTTGGTTATAGTATAGTCTAAGCCTTTACTACGGCCAGAACTGACTAAGCTTACTCATGAATTCTTTTTTCTAATAGCTCTGGCTTGCTGTAGCTTTGCTATGCATGTAAGAAATTTAGAACCTGTTAGATATCCATTCGTAAAGTCCATGTAACTAACCTCGTTTTTCATCTAGTCTCGATTATCTTTATGGTTTATTGAGTAACTACCTTCTTGCATGACTAAAATTCGCTGCCATACCTATGGTAGCGTATGTAACCAACCTGAAAATTACTAAATAGTCATCGTTTAAATGTTGTATATTTATATCTAACATACAGTATCATTCCCTCATTAGTAATCAATCGAACACATATATACGTGAGGAATAAATCTATGTAACAGTTGGAACTTGTTACTGTATCCATAATTATAATTTATAAATAGTTATGAATTCGGAAACTATTAATATTATTTATCGGTTAAATTTAGAGTAGCTGTCTATCTATCGTTTCAAGATAAACCTGGTTACTGTGTCAATAGTATGAACATAAAACAAAATTTGAAAAACTATAGTTGTATTTGTCAGTCATTACCGTATATCTGTGACTGACTGCTGAGCCTACAACTGGGACTATGCTAGAAATAAAAGCAAAATATTCAGAAAAAATTTTATAAAGCAATCTAAAAATCCCCCCCCCCTCCTATCATTAAACTATGTGGTTTGTTAATAAAATAGTGATTCCTTTATATTATTTGTGTTAAAAAACTGGCATAATCGGTAGATGGTGTCTCCTCTAATTGTATAACAACGCATATACACATGACCGCAAAAGATGTACTTTTGATGTTTTTAATTGGCATTCTGTGTTAGTTTTAAATTGTCGAGAATCACAACCTTCTGTATTATTTTAGTACAAAACGCTAACACTTATAAAATTTTGAAATTTACAAATTATTACTAAAGCAATACCATTACAGGTATCTTCAATATAGATGGCAGAGACGTTATTTCAGTCCCGACAATATAGATCGAATATTCTGGACAGACGTTGACGTAGCAACAGCCACAAAAATATATTCTCAAATTGAGTAACAATATCGTATCGCGATTAAGAGAAGTCATCGTAACCTTTAACTTTTGAAATTTTCAACAATATTATAAAACATTTCGTGTAATAAGACTGATTATGTAATTTCAACAATAATGATTTACCTCTTCATGATCAACCCGTAGCTATGATGCAAACCATTGGTAAATAGATGATGATACGAGTATTAGTGCAATATAAAAGCAATATTACAGTCAAAAATATATCTTGACGCGATTAAACTACACGTACTATAAAATGCCAGAATTAAATAATTAAAAAAAAATTTAAGTCGTCGATTTCTTTCTTCGAAGTCTGTCAAATAGTAGAATTGGTGTCAGTCAAAACAGAAAAAATTCACATAAAACATAATAAAGTAAGGTTATACCTAGATTCTCCTCTACTTGATGCATATTCGAATCTCATCACGTTAGGAATAAGCGAAGAATCTCGTATCCAAAAATACTCTGAAATCCTCCTATATAATAGTCCGATTTATGTTTTTAATTATGTACACACATAATATTTCTGGTAGGTTGCTTAAAAACTTTTAGCACACGGATAATATATTACATAGTTACTCACCACGAAGCAATTGTAAAGAATTTAGGGGCAAGAAATAACTATTAAAAAATATATGATGGAAAATTAGACCAAAATTCGAATCATAACTTTGTAGTAAAGACTGATATCGTAACCGAATATAACTGCCTAATTAGAAAATATATTGTTCAGTTGACATACACGATTGACTAAGAACCACAAGACACCTAATAAGGTACCAAGCAAAAAACCAACCAAAACTTGCATTGTAGTATGATACATCAGATATATCCTAAACGTTAATGATAACATGAATACATTTGAAGGGTTATACAACATATTGTAAAGAACGTGAAGATTTAATTCTATAAACCTAGGCTATAACAAGAGCTAATTAAATGATAGTCGGAGAACATATTTGAAAATTTTACGACGTGATCAATATAATAACGATTTAATTCTATATACCTACGCTATAACAAAAGCTAATTAAATGATTTGTCAGGTAATAAGAACATATTTGAAAGCTTTACGACATGTTGTAAATAATAATGATTTAATTGTATAGACCTAGACTATAGCAACAGCTAAGCTAATTAAATGATTTCTCAGGTTCATAATATAGACATGAAGAAAATTTTAATGACGAAAATGATTCATTTAATCTATTCCATATAGACATGATTTATATTGTCAAAGGAAATGATTTAATTTCAGCTAATTCTATTGGTATAGATTACGTTTAATTGAGAAAATGACTTATTCGGTGCACGCTATACAAAGAAATATATTGAGATAATTTATTCATCATTCAGTTTTTACCTGCTATAAGACACGACAATAGCAATGGCTGCAACCTCTGCTGATATTGCAATATTCCATAGCCGATCGCTAGACGACAATGCATAAGCCCTAGAGCATTACAAATATATTTTAAGATATACAAACTATGAAATCACAAAGAAACACCGTAGGAATGTTGTAGGAATATTGCAATAGCTACAGAAGTACTGGATAATTATTATAATACCTGACGTTTAATAACAAAATAAAGTAAACTGCAAAGAAGCCCATAAATTGTGCATGACTAGATGGCATACCAAATTCAGTAGCCAAGTCTTCAGAACCTAACGATATTGCATAACATTAAGCAGCAGAAACTAATTACAGTAAGTCAATTATTATAGTATATAAATTTAAATTTCAGATGTTGACTAACTTCGGCATGGTCGAGGCTGACGAACGGAGTACTTTATTGCCAAACTAGTTATTTCATTGAGTACAAGGCCAAAGAAAAAGGACATCTAGCATTACATTAAAGCAGGTGATATATAGTTAGATAAAGGTAATAAAGTGGATTTTACGTTTAAAATATTGCTAACTATGCACATAGTATTCCTTTTACGTACATCGAAAGTATAACTATTTTACGCTTGAGAAGATAATTCATTATCCGTAGAAATTAATCTGTCTCAATAGATATGTATATTATATAGTATTACCGTATGCAAATCGCGCTTGAATAAGATTAAAGTGACGAAACTCACTCCAATAAATACCGGCATCAAGCTAGAATAGGCTAATAACTTGCCAATTAAATCACCTAAAACCATTCGATTGTACATCGTTAGTATCTAGCTAAGCGAATATAGTACTCAATATTCCAAGATTCCATGCTAATCTGCTAAATTTTCCATCGCATTAATCAACATTTATCGCGGCTAATAAATTGGCGAGAAATTATCAATAATATAATAAGGGCTAACACCGGTGATCTAGTCAAACATGTCTAAAAACAGGCATGAGCATAAAAGGAGACAAGTTGAATTCAATATACAAATTCATGGCTTTATCCTGGCTGAAAGAGCACAGATTTATTTCATTATCCATATAAACCAACTTGCTTGCATAATAACAGTAAAATACTCGGTGCTAGTGTTCCATCTAATAGAGTTGGTAAACATGTGTAGTTCCGATCATAGTAGCACTCTCCTGAAAATTTATTGTGTTGAGGAATTCCGTTCTACCTCGTCGTCATCAATAAAACGGATACAATAAGAATAGACTTTAGTAATTTTGCAATGTATCTGTGATCAACGTACCTTCCCATGAGTAATGTGATGCAGTAATATGTTTTCACAGAATTACTTATCAGCCATTTTTGGGTGTTATTTTTAAGCTGTTTTCGTTCTAATCAAAGCTGCAGTGGAAAATGTTCCGATTGCATTATAATTAATTAATAAAGTTGATTATGCATCATGAGTTATGACGTAGGGAGCGGATCAGTATACATTTAGTCCAGAATGTAAACTTTCTTCCATTTAATAAAGTAGAAGATACGGCATGCTAACAGCGTTGTTGTAATACGAACATTAACATTAGCGAACCAGTTATCCTCCAACTATAATCACTGACAGGCTATCTTTCAGCCAAAGTGGACCACTAATCTGCTAGGATATGATCATAACTTATGTATCTAATAAATGCATTAGCATATGGTCATTCTTTTTAATTGCAGCAAAGTGTCTGATAATATATGTAATCGGATAGGCCACAAGTAAGTTGTAATTGTACTGATTAATCCAAATAGATCACGATAATCTTTGTGATGCAACTAATTCAGGAAAAAAATCAGGATGACTGCTATCATGGCATCAAAAACTTTTCTGAATCATCCTAATCAAACTGTGTCTACAGCTCACGATCAAAGGGCATTTAATGACTTCACCTTCACCCACCCATATTACGATGATGGATACCGGCTAGCAAAGTTAAATATATGTATGACAGATCTTCCCATAACTCGATCAAGGCAATAATAATAACAAACAACAACAAACACGAAAAAAATAACTTCTCCACCCCACATTCAACTCCAATCCTATCACGTACTTGCTTCTATTGATCATAATAGAATATGCATCCTTATCATACTTGCTGCAAACGACTATCAATCATCTTATATCATCTACGACTTAAATGAAGGATTAACACATTGAAACAACCAACTGGTAGCATAGAAATGAAGAAGATTTGCCTACGATGGTAGGTGTTATTCAAGATAGGAGGACAAGAAATAATTGGTTTCTTCCATCGAATTGCAGCAATTTATGGAGTTTTATCATCATTATTTTAATTTTTACCTGCTGGATATTCTACATAAGTTAAACTAACAGCTTTCCACATTATTGGACCAGCTTGATCATGACAAGGACTAGCAGCCATGGCTCTAATTTGGATTCTCTCTATCTCTCTTTCTACTTGGAGGCAGCCAACATGGTCGACTAGAATAAGACGAGAAAGCGATCAGACATGCGTAGTAATAAAGGAGATCCATTCCAACGGAAGCGATCTCAGTTGCATCGCGCATGCGCAAGTCCAATCTCATTCATGATGCATCATCATTTCCGGTTCTAATTCAATCTAATCTATCATCTTGATGGAATGGCAGATTGGATTAATTCTGGATGGATTGATTTCCCTCTCTAGTCTCTATTTAAAATTGACATAAGTCACAGGAGAGTAGAATATTCATCGTTCTACATAAACTAAGAATACTGTAGACCTTTGGTCCGAAATCATCGTAAAGGATGTTTGGATATTGTAATAATTAAATACAATAATATCTTGTTTAAAGTAGAGAGATTTAATTCAGGATGAGATAGAAACAACGTGAAAAAGGATGCAACTGATGATTTTGTGATGATGATAACAATGTATGCTAAAATGATGCTAATGTTACGAATAAGAAGAATGAGATGATAAGGACTTATCTAAGAGTTGGATTGCAGAGGTTTACATGCGCTTACGCGTTGAGGATACTGCAGCTAAGGCTAAGTAGGATATAAAATAGGATACTCGTATATTTCCTGTACGTATATTACAGAATGTAGTGCAATAACAAGGCTTATATAGCATACGAATATATTGTATAGAAGGATATTACTATACTACGCATTCTATATTGAATATGAGAGCATATTAGCAAAGACATCATCGCTAGATTTGAAGCAAATAAATTATCAATTTATCTAGTATTCCAAATAGCGTTATAGGTTTCTTTCCATCCTTTTGATATTGCTTAATGTACTGGACTGTCATAGCGAAATAATGATACTGCCTTGATACCGTCTCTAGGATTAGTATATCAGTTTATAAGGCCACGGAACTGTCTGCTCTAAAGTTTTTAGTATTACTTCATTTACTATAAGTGCTTGTCAGAGTAGAGTAGCCACAATGGTAAGATATCATTTGAAGATCTTAGATAAAAATTTTAGTTTATTTTAATAGAAAATCATTTATTTATCCTCATCGTAATTGCAATACTCCTATTATTTACTCTATTTGTTCATCATCATCTATATACCATATAGTAGTGATACTGCTAAAGCATCAACTTATATTAAACCATCAGTTTTCTGTATTTCTAATCAAAACAACAGTTATTTTTGATCTTATCATGAAAACTAATTTTGATGCTATCAATAAAGAAGAACTGTTTCTTACGATTTATTTTACTTCTATTTAATTATTTCCCAACTTTATTATTTTATTTTTTTTTTTAAAGAGAATGAAAAACATAAGCAACAAAGCAGCCTCTACATCTTTTATTCACTAAATTCATCCACGCTAAGCTAAAAAATAAAGAACAGCTTGCTCGTGATGGTTGTTTATTTGTTTATGAGAATCAAGTGATAGTTATTCCTACGTTGAATGATAAAAGACAACAGTAAAGAGAAAATTGAATCCAATTAACTGATAATAATTTATGCAATAACAAGTGAATATAAGATTATCAAGAGTAAGTTACAATAATGATTGTAGAGTAATTTCAAAATTTAACTTACTTTTAAGATGCCAACAGAACTTTTTATTGAGATTTGAGTCAACATGATAAAAAGTAACCTGAAGGAATGAGTATATAAGCATCCTTTCCTTCTAAATAAAATTGATCAACATAGCTTTTATTAATTTCCAGGAAATAAATAATATAGCATAGAATAAAAATTTCTATTTTAATTATTTGAAATGATTTGATATTGTCCCTAGATACTCGAAAATATTCAAGGTTAAATAACTTTATCTCTCTTAAAAGTTCATGATTGATCAGCACTTGGTATTTCACACAATCATCTAGATATTTTAGTAGTAATAATAATACAAAACAGAATTTTTGTTATTTATTACGATACCTTCAAATCTTGTTTATTAAGTTGAAGTAATCCACCTTGGAAAAATTTAATGAACACTCCTATTAATTTTATTTTTTATTTATCTTTATTTGTAATGCTCTAAGTTTTACCTACAAGTTGAATTTGTTATCTAAGTCGGGATGAACATTAATTTTACTGCTATCCTCAAATCTTCCAACATCAACTTGCAGCATGTCGATTACAAAATATTGAAATTTCTTATCAGTTATTCGAGTGCTATCTTATAACCCTTTCACTCTAATTCTTCATAACTAATCAGCTATTTGAGATTCGATTGTTATTCCAGTCTTATTGCATGTTGACCTCATTATTTTTTCTCGACAATCCTCTGGACTAGCTCACCTATCAAGAGTCATTTGCTCTTCAAAGCTTGTTCGATATTAATCTTGTTATTTTTTTCTGCAGTCTTACAAAGCTAATTAATACGTTAGGATATAATTGGCATTAAAGCCTTAATTAATATATAATAGGCTCAATTACATCCATTTTCAGTATAAAGTATTCGTAAACTGATACAAGTAAATAGTTCTTCTGATTCTATAGCATGATTTTTAAAGTTAAAATTTCGTGCTTAATTAGACACATTATGTTTATTCCATTGCTACTCAACATATAATTACTTGATTGTATTTTTCAGTTAGTCTAAATTTCATCAAATGCATATGCAACGATAGATGCATAATTCCAATTAATGATATATCAAACTACAACAGACTGGTCAATTCTCACTATAGATGCCTAGGCGACGAACGTATTCATCTAGTTTAGCTATTTAACACTATATAATGTACAGTATGTCCATCCTAGATTATTTTTATTTATCCCGCTGATTTGCATGTTTATAAAGGAATATCAATTAGGCTGTGGATATATTATGTTTGACATACCAGCTTATAAATTAATCCATCTTATGTAATTAAAGTGAAGATTTAATTATTTTATAAAACTTCCTTTCTGTTGACTAATTTTATTTAGCAAATGATTAAAAATTATTTCATCCTGAATAATAGGAACGCTAAGGTTTGTAATATATAACAGCCGACAACTTTTGTTGTTATGAATTCATTTGAAGTCTTTTCATCGATACAGATACTCCAAATTCCCTCTTTCTTAATAATACGCGTATTAAAATATTTTTTAATTCTTTAAAATAATTTTACCAGTTATGTAATATGTTATGTAATATTTAATATTGAATAGACTTTAAATTTAATTATTGCTTCCAAATAATACGCAATTGATCTGTATATACCATATCTCTAGAATGAACTTTATACTGTAATCCGCAGGCAAATATGAGATAAAAATACTTAATTCTTGGTAGGTTACGAACCTGGCACCTTAAGAGTTTCCCAACTATAGGAAGCTTTTATATCTCACATTTCTGAAACGTTGTCCTATGCGAATATATATCTTTATAATATTTAATTCTTTAACATCTTTAAACTTCTCAATCATTTCTATACTCCTGGAGATCTTTTCGCCTAACAAATTTGCAATAGTTACCCTAATACGTTACAAAATACTTCCATCCTATATCTGCCCTATTTATTATTTTTAATAATCTCTAAACATGTTCTATCGAGTGTTATTACCAAATTTTTTAGAAGAAAATTGCAATAGTAATTAATTTGAAAACGACTATGGTTAGCATCAGATATGGTAATCTTCTGAAATTTAAATTTATGATGTATAATAAGTTATGCGGACCATTGTGAGATTTTTAGTTAAATCATTAAAATTTCATTGCTAATACTTAACTTATTAATTTAATCGTTATTGAGCGTTGAAATAGAAATAGGTATTTTAAAGTAATCCTTACTTAGATCAAGATTATCAATTAAATTTACATTATTCTACATTTAAATTGTACTGTAACTATCGTAAGTCATGTTTCCTACCAACTAACAGATATTTAATGAATGTAAGATGACAATAGAAATCAGTCAGGATACGAAAAACTATCATGTAATTTAGAATAAAGAAATAGAAATAAATATTTTGCCCTGATAATACAGTTGCGTAAACAACACAATTTTCATTTATTTCTAAAAATAAAAACCAACTCATACCAACAATAAGAGCTATGGGAATAGTTGCAGACTCTATCCGTTTATTTGATTTATGTCTATTTAAAAATTGATCCAGTATAATTAAGCTATTCTGTCTATGCTAAAAACAACATCGGTATAATGGATCATTATACATCAAGATTACCCTTGTTGACATAATGTTACTAACAGATTATCTAGATGAATATATTAAATGATGTAAGATTATAATTATTATCTATTAGTCTAATCCTCATCTAATCTAATTAATATTCGCTACTCTTTTTGCATATGTATTCACTTTCTTGTATCTTTTTGGCTTGTATCGCAGACTGTTATGCAAGTCTTGACCTTTTCAACCAGATGGTATAATGTTTTTATTGAAGCTGTATTTAATACTAGACAGAAAGTCAACTAAAACTAAAGATTGATCATCCAATAACTACACACGTCTGGGTGGATATAATAATATCGTCAAAAACAGTTAAAACTGACAAGATTCTACAGAAAATCAAGACTTAAAACCCGTCTTATCTTACATGTTCCTGATAGTTTGCAAATCACTAGTACTATGTATAGTAGTATTCTGTTTCTTATACCAAACTGATCAAGTTATTAGTTAATGGTCATTTAATTAAATTAGCGGTGGTAATATATGATTACTTTATGTAATAGTTTCACTGCATAGCTAGAAGTGCATAATAGGTTTGGTAAGCAATCAAAATGTGTGAACCTTAGTCATGGTGCTAACTTAACTAGTAGTAAATGCTATCAGGAATCATCAATCCACAAGAATGCAAGAAATATTACCTATCTATTTTCATTTAATAAGATAGAATAATACTTAATCCAATCATTAATCTAGAATGTCTTTATCCTTCCTATAGTAGCGCATTTAGAAAGAGATTACTCAATATAATCATTATTCCATAAAGTAACTAGTTTGATATCGTATATTAGAAGTAGACACAAATACAAGTCTTAATTAGAGTGAGCAATATTCAGCCATCATTTCTCTCATCATAAAATTCAGAATATAATAGTAGTCAATCACAAGCACTAAATTAAAGTTAAAGATAGTCATTCCAACTGCACTAATTAAAGTTTATAGCTTTCAGCTAATTTTAGTGATTAGGTTACATCATAATCTTATTCAACACTATTTATCCTTATTGTTGCCTACACTGTCGGGGATATTTATGTAATTTGAACATAATTTAAAAACAATGATTAATTATCAAAGTATTCATTTTCGATAAGTTTTATCGACTTGTCTATCAACTAGTTTTATAGGTAACCTTGGTAGATAATTATATTATCAATACAATAATTAGTATTTTTCTTATTTATTAATTCAATCCTTTGTATTTTAACATTTTTCATGATGCTATTCATTACAAATTAGAAGTGGTATAAAACGCGAAAATTAATAAACTAGATTAAACGTAAAGGCAGTTCTAACTATTAATCCTTTATCGACTAGTCACATTACTGAAAAATATCACATCCAATGAAGGATTATCTTGCTATCGAATAAACTCTTTTACAATTTTACCTTGCAATAAGGGTATCATTCAATAACCATTTTATTTAAAAAGCAGTTCTAACGCTTACAAATTCTCCATCAACAACTTGATTGGAAATCTGATTGTTAATAGTTATCATGTCTATCTCTAAAATCGATATTTTGTCGCTCTACAAGTTGGTCACTATCCATCTAAGATGATATAAAATTAATTAAACTGGGTTACATTTATTAAAAACAGTTCGTACGTTATCTATTATCTATATACTGATACTACTGAAATGATAGTAATACCAACAAGATCGCAATTCTGTTTACCTATAAAGTATTTTCATGCTCTTATTTTACTAGGTTGTCTATCATCTATGAATAATGTAAAATATGACATTAAAAATTCCATTTAAAGCAGTCGCTAATATTAATGAGCCTCCAGTAAGCTATTTTATTGAAAATTATCAAAAGCTATTAATGATTGTTTTCTTTATCATTACAGCCGTTATGTTTTAAATTTTTACTGCGTTACTGAGTATCCGTTTAATACGATAAACGAATAAATACAAAATAAAATACTACAGATTACGTTTAAAACCAGTTACGGTATTTATACGTTCTCTATCAACTACTTTACGATATAGCGTAAAATGCTGGCAATATCATCAAGAAAGTAACTGGCGACTACCCTATTTATCTGTAAAGGCTTTCATATTTTGTTTAGTATGTTGTTAATAATTATAATCCATTTAAGACAGTATCAAATATAAGACAAATAAATCATCCATGACGATAGAAGGCATCAAATAATATCAAATTATGAGTCAACGTGATACGTTGTTCTCAATTTGTTGAGGAATTTTATCCTTTAATTAATTAAATAAAGCCCATCTTCATGAATTTTATTTACCCAATCTCGAACATCATTATATCAATGAAACATAAAAATATCTTATGTAAAGTTCACGATATTAAGACATATGTTAAGACTTAACATGATCTCGAAATGAATATATTCTACAAGAATAAGAAATTGATAATTTAATAGCCAATTCTTTGATATCTAATACCTTTCTTCATGGAAATGAAATCTAGAAATTATCTTCTAGTCTTTAAAGCGTTTCTTTTTTCTTAATTTATCGTCGTGTCCTAGCTGTTATTAAATTTGAAAATTTGATCAGTCTACTCTGTATTTTCATTCATTATTCTCTTCCTGGAACAAAAAACAAAAATTACAGCGTTTGACTTTAAATGTGATGATGGCAAATTAAAAAATAGTAGATTGATTTAATGTTACTCATAAATGATAATGGAAGATAATTAATCGAAACTATTTAGAAATTATTCCCTGCCCAAAATGTGCCTGTTGTTTTCGTTAATGCCTAATTATGTTTCGATTATGCAATAATCCTAATCTTATTCATGCAATCAGACACCTTTAATAGCATTTATTTTATTTGGCTGAATAAGATCATTGCCATTAATATGCAATAAGCCAAAGGCATCTTTCCAGCTACTTATCAGTGTTAATAGTTATCGTTCAATTGACTCATTGCAATCATCTCTTGAAATAAAAATCTTCAGGTTAAGATTTATTCTTCCTAATCAGTGTATTCCAATTTTTATTCCGTTATCTTCAGCCCATGACTATCCAATTTTCAAACAGAATAGAACTCGTTTACTTTCCTATCATGACTAATAGATTGTCCAGTTATAACGAAACGAAATCTTATGTCATTTGTTCTCAATCTACTTGTACAAAAGATCCTTAACATGAAATAGAGAAAGTTCATTTGTTGCTCCATTTAATTAAAAAATCTTTCAGTCACTATAAAACTCAATTTAATATCAAACTTGTTCTAATCATCTCATGTAATCAATTCTTAAACTAAAATTAACAGTTCATTTACTCTTCCACGATTATAAACAGATCATTTAGAGCAACAAAACCAAGTCTTTTACATCTATTTTCAATCTACTGATGTAATGGATCCTTAAAATAAAATAGAATCTATTTACTCTCTTTTATCATTTATCTCCAATCCTGTCATTAACAGATCATTCCGTGGCAATATGACTCATCCAAAATCTTCTATGACTTGTCTAAAATCCATAACAGATTGATCATAGCAATACAACTCATTTGCTTTACAATCATTTGTCCTTAATCCATCATTAACAGATTTTTCATTGCAAAGGAAGCCATTTACTCTTCAATCATTTGTCTTCAATCTAACATTAACCGACCATCAAATTGCAATGTAAATCATTTGTACATCCTGTCCATCTTGCAAACAATTCCTTGTCAACTTTCTCATCACTGTCCTATCACAGTGATTGTATGTATTGATGCAAAACAAGTGCCTGCAAATTTTCCCATTTGTAGAATAGGATTGGAATGTTTTCATTCCAACTGCTAACGTTATTGACATAAGCCAATTCTACTATTTAAAAAGATATTACTAGAACAGGTGATGTTATTGACAATAGATTATTATGGTTATTTTTCCATGCTTCAACAATACTAAAATAAATAGAGATCTATCCAAAAAACATCTATCATCAATGCATTTTAATCAATCACTAAACTTTTCTTAATGATAGTAAATAACTATTTTAAAACGATTTTAATTTTCTTGCTATTTCTATCACTCATCGCATGACCTTCATAACTATGTTGTCTATTTACTCTATCACAATAATGCCAACTGAAATAATCAGAAGAATATCCACAATAATAGGAAAAATCCCACCATAAACTTCCTTAATTAATTAACAAAGTTATGACAATAACTATGCTAGGAGTGTATATATATATAAAAGATGATCAAGATAATCCTCTCATTAATCAGCTTATTCATCCGCCAATATTAAAAAAACTACAACTTTCCCTTTACAAGCTAATTTTAGTCTATAATACTTCTATAATTGCATGACATAGAAATTATTTAGTCTACTTCATACCTTATACGTTATCCTGTTGATCCCGGAAAAAAAATTGAAACTCTTTCTCTCAATTAACTTCAAATCATCCTGACCTCAGCAATGGCAGCAAGTTTACCATGGCTCCTTTCTAATCCTTCTCATCCTTCTTATGCTTTATCAGAACCACTAACAAACAGTAGAAAAATTTTCTCATTTCGTGAAGAGCACCTACGCAATATCTTGTATGGAAAATTTTGCGACGTCTTAGGTGATCAAAAGAGACAATTAACGCCTGGATCTCATTTCTATCAATGTCGAGGCTATCGTTTTATCGTTCAAAGTGATGATTGTAAGTTTTAAGTCATTCAAACTTTTTAATTCTACAGATATTCTATGCGCGCCCGTTAATATTATTTCTAGTAAAAATGTATCCCATTATTAATTAGTCCTTATCGCTATCTAAATATATTTATGATGATAATAATGCAAACCGTTATTAATTAGCCATTACCTCTATCTAAAATATATTCATCATCTTAATCATGTAAACCGTTATTAATTAGTCATTGCTCGTATCTAAAATATATCCCGTTATTAATTAGTCCTTATTTCTATCTAAATATATTCACCACCATAATCCATCAACTCGATAAGGTGGACGAACACAAAAATTAGCTGTGCTTGAACCTCATCCACTATTTCTGGGTGGTCGTGATAGCGAACGATTAGTTTATGTACCTGATGGCATCATTATTAAGCAATCATCCCTACCTCATGTCCAACTGGGTGTTTTTAGCCATGATCGATGGATAAGCGAAGGAACAGAGATGGGCCCATTTACTGGTCGCTATGTGTCTAAGAATGAAATTAATGAATCAACCAGGAATGAATTTATGTGGGAGGTAATTATGGGTAAAATTAACATTAGTAAAAATACACCTTACAATCAAGTTCGACATCATATACAATTTCTCCTATATATTATGCTCACAACGTAAATAAGTTCAGTCTAAACTGAATCATATCTCGTTATTTATCTACCCTATTCGATACGGAGCTGATTTAGTTATGCTTGCCATTTAACATCCTATGATTTTCTTAACGTTACTAGACTTGTGTAGTGACTTTAGTCTTACAAGGTAGAGTTATAATGTAAACAATTGTCAAGCTTTAAGATCAATGGCATTTAGAATAGTTACTACACTTATATCAGCAAAGATTATGCAGATACGATATATGAATGATATTTATGTGCATAGTAAATTTTTTTCTCATAGATTCGATTATCCTGACATAGTAGGAGAAAACGAACGTAATGCTAATATTATCATCTTCTATGCATATTGGCAGGTACTCAACCAAAATGGAGAATTAAGTCATTTTATCGATGGCAGTGGTGGCAACACAACCAATTGGATGTGCTTTGTCAATTGCGCACGAAATGCATCAGAGCAAAATTTAATCCTCCATCAACATAGTGATGGAACGTTGTACTATAAAGCAATCAAGGATATCCCTCCAGATCACGAGTTATTAATTTGGTATGGCCCTGAATACGCTCAATTTCTTGGAATTCCCGGTAATGAATTGCTAATAGCCAATTTGTAACAATGAATTGAGATTGAAGACGTAATTAGCAAAACAGTAAAATACGTTACAATAGACGAGTTATCAATTATTGTTACACAGTAGTATTTCAAATACTAGTATAGTTTCAACTTCATATTTCATATGACATAAATATTGATCATGAAAATAATAGCAATCAGTTTAGTTAATGATTGCTACAGTACTGGTAGCCCATTCAGTTTAGGGAATCAGCCCTATCATAAGTTATAATATGAGGTGATATTACAATAAAATCAATAAAGTTTTGGATATTATTGCTAGTATTTTTAAACACTCATTCATTATTTTCACCTTTGCTTTCGACATCGATATTCATCATACAAATTTGCAGTCATTTTTAAAAGCTAACAACAGCAGCTTATTCAGTAGTATCTGATCGTTCCTGTTACGAATAACAGATTGCAATAAATCTATAGGAATAACTTTTAATTACTCTTCACGCATATGTATATATATTTACATATATATATATATATATATATATATTGATTTCTTTCGTATATTATCTAGACGTCCAACAATTTGGAAATTGCATGCACAACGTTCAAAAAAATAACCAGGAAATGCCAATAGGACGTATGAAATGTACAATATGTTTTCGCGGCTTCAACTCTCGTAGTAACTTAAGATCGCATATGAGAATTCATACAGCTGAAAAACCATTCCAATGCAAATATTGTCGGAAATGCTTTTCTCAATCATCAACACTTCGCAACCACGTGAGACTACACACTGGCGAAAAACCCTATAAATGTAACGTATGCAACTGTGCATATTCACAACTAGCTGGATTAAGGGCTCATCAGAAAAGTGCCCGACATCGCCCGTCGCTAAGTAGCAATACAACCAAAACACCGAATACCACCACAATAGACAATCCTGGTAATGAATGCGATAGTCAGAGCTATCTTGGTAGTCAATCCGATAGTAGAAGTGATGATGACCCAGAAGAAGAAATCGACGTAACCCAAACTACCGATGTACAAGCAACTCCAACTAGTTCATCTTAATCTAAATCTAAACTAACCGAATACAATGCAACCATGTACCAAATTCATCCTTCATCAAAGGAATGATTGTTCTTATTTGTAAAATTGATGCTGATATTTCAAATAAACGTCATAAAATTTAAAGTATTTGTATCTATTACATAGACTAATTATTCAATACCAAGGATTATATCTAAATATCGTAATTCTCGCCATGCATATACAACGGAAATAAAAGCGATAAAATTTCATTATGAGATGGTGTCTATCAATAATATAATTTCAGTTTTATTGAACTTGATCATCAATTAAACACGTAAGAAGTACAAATCATTTTTCATACGATATCTCAAATAGTAATTACAACAATAAAAATAACATCACATACACAATATAAAGTTTTAAATTTACGCTTTTAACAGATTAGATAAATAATCAATTACACTCATCAACTGACCAAATAAAGAGCTGAAGTTACGTTAAAGTATTCACAGTCATTCCCAAATACAACATAGGAATTCATAAATTAATGTTAATGAAAAAAGTTCCTAAGCTTCCTGTCAATTACGAATGATAGTTCTACACAGGTGTGTTACTATTACTACAACCAACTCGTATTAACTGTACATGCTTAAGAACGTTAAATTTCAAATAATTGCAACAGATCAACTATAGTATAATCAATATACTACCAAATGCAATAATATCATGATTTGATACGGTACCTGCCAGATTGCTTAGTAATTATTTCCCCCATAGATATATCGCTAAGGGACACAGTCAAATATGAATGCCTATCCAAATCACCAATTCTGCTAATTAGATCTGCATTTTAATAGCTCTATACTACTTCAAATCTATGTCAAAATCGGATAGAATAAAAGAGCATCCAGACCAGTCATAGCTTCTATCTGATAGCTAAAATTTTGTTTCAAACATCTTATATACACGAGATACTGTATATCTAAAAGTCTATTTAAGTTAAGGATATTATAGTACGTAGCATATCACCTCCAATACTCAAATTTAGGCGATTAATTTATAAAATTCTAGTCTTAAATTACATATCCAGTGCGAATAGAATCCTACATCCTATACATGTCTACACTTTACCTTATTGGTTAAATTTAGCTTAATTATGGAAAGAACATAAACTAGTGTAAATTATTTCAGATACTTGACCATTGGTAATTCTGCTGGCATATTATTTTAACATTCACTACAAATATGTTAAACACAAAATAAAACTCTGCATCTAATCGTAACAAAACGATCGCTATTCAATCGAATATCAATCATAGGGTGACAACATCTTATCTTAAAAATTATCTATCCAAAATAACTATATGCCGGCTTACTCCAGTTTCAAACAAATGAATGAATTATATCTGATATTGTGCTTTTATCAACTAATTGCATTTCTAATGTATTTTGATCATTTAATTTATCCGAATTATCGATTTATGAAGAAATATCATCCATATGATCTACCTTACTATTACGTAATTAAGTGACTTTGGTTCAAGTTTAAAATCATCTATAATCAAGACTGTGCATCATTATTACGAATTTAACTTGACTGGTCTGATGGAAACAGCTGATACATTTTCTTAAACCACTAAACCATCAAAATTGCACGTGCAGTATAAAGATGTAAAACAATTTGATATAATTTTCAACACCGAATTTTGTAGCATAGGGATGATTAATATAGCAAGAACTGAAATTAATCTTAACTAAATGATTACAAATTAATGACCATTTTCAGGATAAAATTGAAGAGCACCGCAATCAAGATAGATCTATTACGGTATACGAGATTATGCTCCCAATAATAAATTCATAATACGCAGACTTTATGAAAATATGACACTTTTTCAAGAATGTAAATACATTTTTCACCATCACGGATAAAATTAACTGTCCTCACCTACTTGCGTGCTTCAAATGGTCAGTCAAGAAAGAACAAAGACACGTAGTCTTCACGCGTAAGTAACCTATTCTATCGTAGTACTTGCGAACCGAGGAGTCTATAAATATATACATATACATATATACGTATCTACATCTGATATATCATATACGATATAGGAGATAGAAAATCACAATCTAGGGAGTGATAAATGCAGAGTGATCATGAATTTCCCTAATAGAAAAGGTTGATATAACGTGGCTTTCAATATTATTAATGAAATTGAAATATTTCGTAATATTAATATGATAAGAATCATGTAGAGTTAAACTTTATCCGATTGCATAAGATTAAGGGCATTATGATTATACATTATCAATCAACGAATAAAACAATAACAATGAAACTATGTAATGTATGATCTATATAGCACATGTACTATCACTTTTCTAGTATTAAAAAACAGCTAGGATTATTTGGAATCTAACGTAAACTTCATCATAAAAGCTTAGCTAATCTGTAAATGCGTTCACCTTCTAAGGGTTTAAAATTGGAAGTCATAAAACCACTAGAAATGTAGCTCAATGATATAAAAATTTCGCTATAACAACTATTGTCAAGTCACAATGCAACAGTGATTACTTCATCGAATTGTTCGATTACTGTCTCACTACTTCAATAATCCGCTCAAGGCCATCAGGCTTAGTAACCCATTGTATTCTGTGCAGGAAAAGGAAGAATCTACGGCAAATTCTTCTAAACCAAGGAAAATCAATCGTTACGCCAATAAATCTTAAGCAACATCTGATTATCGAAACGTTAGTGCTGCAATGTTATTAACGCGTAGTGGATATATAAAATCATATAGTCATCATAATACGAATACTGACACATGTAGCATTGTAATAATTTCTATAACGTAGATCATTCATAGATTTCGGATTAGTATATCATTAAACAACTTGATGAAACGAATACATAGATAACAAAATGCTATCTAAACTTTGCATAATTACAGTAGCATAAGATTATTATATCGATTCAACATTTGTCAAACATCAATGTAAGTTACGATATACCGCAATGATCAAAACCCTCCTCCCACTGGATAAAAATTATCATCGAATAAATTATACGGTATATATAAACCTGACTAATAAGAAACAACAATGAAAAAGTCTTAATTGTGATCATACTATAGTAAATTGTTGTATACGAATACACTAAGCTTTAAAACAGAAACTGCATAGAAACTCAATTATGCGTATATATATATAAAATATTGTTCTATAGGGCAAATGCATCAACAAGAATCAACACATATATCAACTTATGATATAACAAGGCATAAATTCAACGATCTTTTAATCAAGCGAAAGTGGAAAATATATGAAAGATAAACGCTAAAGAGAAAGGAAATGTTAGTTGAACAGGAAGAAGCAATTTCTACTATCAGTGTACATTAAGCTTAAGCCATCTCCAACAGCTGCCAAACATTATAGCAACTACCCAATAGAGATACCATCTATATGTACCTATAAATACAATTTGGATACTACTACGTGAATGTTCGATATACTTAAACAAAATTTTTGTTCAACATATCGACTGTAGTTATATTCCATTAGATATTAAAGATGCTTACAAGGAATTAAGATATTATAAAGAATAAGGAATGCAACCTAAAATTGGTCATATACCAAATGATATAAAATACTACATATAACAATTTTATACATCCAAACAAAAAACTATTAAGACTTCTTCAACATCAGGAAGGTTTAGCATGTTAATTTCTTAACAATATATATAGAATGACCAACAAGTTCAATGTCCTATTTCAAAATAAACGTACTACATTAATTAGGCAAGTACATTAATACTTACTCCAGGGGATTCTTCTGAAATTAAATGGATACTAAAACTAGTCTCATCAAATACTATAAAGGCATTCAATTGTACAACTGTTGACATATGTCTTATTCTTACCGTCACTGAAAATGTATACTTACCATCAATGGCTACTTTCTTTACTTTATTGGGTAGGATTCATGTGCATTTGTCCAGGTTGCATTGCTTGCGGATTCCCAACTGCTTGACCACCTGCATTTAATTGCGTTAATGTACCTGTACTTGGGTTGTAACTTAAACCTTGTTGACGGTAATATTCGATCCAAGCTTGGGTATAATCTGGCTGGCTACCAGCTTGTTGCGGTTGAGCTGCTAATTAATATTAATATTTGTTTGAGACTTTACAAGTAAATGGGGTAAAAGAACAGGATATCCAGTTGGCATTACTACAATACCTTGTTGAGTTGTTGCTGCAGTTGCCTGGCCAGGATTTGCAGTTGCCATTTGACCAGCGGCTGCAGTTGTTCCGGTTGGTTGATTATAGAAGTTTTGGTAATAATTTGCCCAAGCACTCTGATCTTGACCTGTTTGACCTACAAATTTTTAAATAATTGTACATGGTATTACTTGATGAATCAATCCTGTATTTTCAATTGCAAGTTTAAACAAATCTTCAAATATCTACCTGCAGCTTGAGTAGCTGTACCAGCGATCTTTAGCAAATATAATCAAAATATGAATAAAATATAAAAAGTAAAACATGCGTAATAAAAGTATCTCATCACAAATAGATGAGTATACTGTATCTTACAGGCTGTTGGGGCATCTGAGATTGCTGTGATGTATATCCCTGATAAGATTGTTGTTGTTGTTGTTGTTGCTGCTGTGAAGATGTGTAATTTTGCTGATTTGGAAAATTTTGACCTTGTTGCATGGAATAGGCCATTTGTTGACCTGGCATAGGATAGCCGCCAGCAGGCCTATGGATAGTACAACAATGATTATCAATACAAAAAAATTTATTATAATAATAATAAAAACTTACCCTCCAGGTTGCATGCCTGCTCCACCCTAAAATTAAATTTAAATTCACAATATATCAAAGCTTAAGCTCTCAAGACGGTCCAATTATATTTAAACAATAAAAATTTTATACACATACCATCTCTTCTCCAATCTTTTGCTTTATTATCATTTGTGCATGCTGAATTTGTTGCGGTCCACCTAAGTGAGATAATTACAACATTTTAGATAGGGTCAAAAAGTGAATAATAATTATCATCAAGGGAGTTAATACTATATAGTTATAATTTTTATTCATAATACATCTTACCTCGGACTACAAAGATTCGAGTGGGAGATTCTTGTGGAGTGTTACGATTTAACTCAACGTGGGCTCCCGATTGTTGGATAATTTGTCTTATCGTTTCGCCGCCTTAAAGGTTCATTATTATTATTAGAAAAAAAATTATAAATCAATCAACTATAGTAATATTATGTACAATAAATGTTCCACGTTACTTGGATAATCTAACCTTTTCCAATCACTAATCCACATTTGTTCGCTGGGATAACAACTTCCGCACTTCCACCTTGGCCGCCCATCATACCACCTTGTCCTCCAGGTGGGCCTTGTCTTCGTTTCTAACATACGCACGCGAATGTGTTTATATTACATATAGCGCAATCTTATATTCCGCTGTTATTAATATTAATATTAATTAACGCTGTACCTCCATTATTAGATCACTAATCATTTTATTCGCACGTTGCACAGAGTCATCATTACCAGTTAACATGGCAATGCGGTCTGGTAGATTTGGATTTGAGTCTGAAATAAGAATAATTATTATACTACATGCAAAAATACGAAAGTTGTCTACAAAAAAAATTGAGCTTGTCATATCACCCATATTATACAGTATAGATTTTAATTAGTATATCGTTACCTTCCTTAAACTGTATTTTAGTACCAGTTTCCATTTGTATACGCTTAATAGTTTCGCCTCCTCTACCGATTACGACGCCGACAACGTCACGAGGTACAGGTACCTAACGGTATACACTGTTAGCACATAATAATAATAATGATAATAATACAATGCTAATTTTTATCAAGCATAAGTATAACCTCTAGCATTCCCATTCCACCCATTTGTTTGTGAACAGGAGTACCATAATCATTAGTAGATTGATTACGAAAGTCGCCACCTGGTTTCATCGGCTGCAAAAATTGGTTGACAATTTTATTGTTAATAAAGTAAATAAATTGTTATACCAACGTTATAACAAAAGTTTAATTCTGAATATGGCAGAAAGTAAGGTAAGCCTATTAATACTGTACAATATAAATGTAACACATTAACCACTACATAGATAGGTACCGACCGAGCTTTCCATTTCATGTTGAGTCAGAAAATCAATAATCATGTCCTTCGCTCTCTACATATACAGCAGTGGTAGTAAACGTGTAAGATAATATATTAATTAATTTTTCCATACATTTGTAGATAAAGGCGTCCAGTATATGAAATAGTTTCCTTACCTTAACTCGTTGTGGATCTCCACCGATTCTAAGAGGCTTATCACGTCCAGTAATATGAGATGATTCCTGGACCATTACCATGCGTGTTTGTGTTCGTTCCTGTATAAAGTTGTCAATAATTAATTACGTTATAGCAAGATGGAAAAAGGTTAAATATTTCATCAAATAAATTCAAAGATCATGAAATGTAAAGTAATACAGCCAACCTGAAAGCTCCTAATCATTTCACCTCCTTTGCCTGTTAAATATATGGAAATACATAGAAAGGATTTTCTTTGTTTTAACCATTTTTCAATATGCACACGTCCACGAAAACTCAGTTTATTAAGTTATATCTTGCTTACCAATTACAAGTCCTACTTTATTTGCTGGAACTAAAATCTCTTCGGTTATCTCATTTTGAGCTGGTGGTATTGCACCTAATGGTGCAGCATTTCCCGGCTACCGATAGAAATTACATGTAATCGTCCATCAGTTAATTCTAACTCGTATAATATTAAGGCATCGACTTTGATTGATGATAAAGAAATTTACCATTGCCGCTGGCCCTTCATTAACCATTTGATCTATTAAATATTTTGCTTGACTGCGTAAAATAAGAGTTCAATATAGTATGAGAAGGGATTCAAAAGCAGTTTAATGTAAGATATGACTTCCATTATTCTTTCAATTTAAGGCAATATAAGGCAATACGTACTCAACATTCACAGCAGATCCAGTTATGGTAACAATCCTTTCTGGTTTTCCTTGTGCATCAGCATCTGTTTGAATATACATTGGGAAGGAATTAATTATACCGTAATAATTAGTCGAATCTAGCGATAGTCAGTATCATTATCACATTCGAATTAAAATTTTGTATGTTTTACATATTAATGACGGTATTATTAGACAATGCTTTCAAATACATAATTGGATCTTTCTTTTCAAGAATATGTACTACATTTCAATAGTTCGTACTAGCTGCAAGCGAATAAAAAATAAAACGAATCACCACCTGGTTGAACTTGAATCTTTGCTCCAGATTCCGCTTGCAATTTATTAATGGAATCACCACCTTTACCGATAACTGCAGGTATAATCATGCACAGACAAATAGAACAGGACATAAATTAAAACAATAACAGTACACGTACGTTGTTTGTTAATGATATGATTACACTTTAGCCGATAGAAAGAGAGATGACGTCCAAAACTAACCTAATCCTGTCATTTTATTCGGAATCTTGATTTCTTCCACAACAATTGAATTTAAACCCGATCTGTCATGCATAAAAAAATTTATACGAATACATATTATTGACCGTGAAAAAATTGTTTTTAGCCAATAAAATAATTGATACATTACAATCATTCACAATCGTAGACAATAAGTCGTTCATGTCATAGAATCATTCCAATAGTATCAAATTAGAATCAAGATTAGCTTTAAAAATTACCAACCTTGCAGCTATACTAGCCGCAACAGCTTGAGCTCTATCAATAGCCGCTGCAGTAGCTGTCAATTACCATATCAGAAAAAGTAAAATGAGATGAACAAATTTGAATCGCTTGCGCGACTATTTTTAAATAAAGAGTAGATACCAAATTCATCGAGTATTATTACTATGCATAGTAAATTTAATAGATCGATCTTGCGTTAGTAATATCGTATCAAAAAAGTACTGAAATTATATCGGCTACGACGTATATCACACTAGCTAGCCAATCACTGAACTACGTCGAGAAAATAGTATCCAAATCTCTGAAATGAGTGCATTCTAACCTTCCGATGGAGCTGCTCTTTTGGATGGCGGTTCGTTGGCGCCTCCAATAGTTTTAATGTCTACATAAGATGTATCAAGAAGTAATGAACATTATACATAGATCAATTTACTCTTTTGCTTTTATAAAAACCATCTATTCTTGTTACAATTGTGGTACCCTGAGTATCTAATGGCCTTTTTCTTGTCGAATCACCTGAGAAAAATGAAAATAACATTATAATAAATACTAGTACAAGCTCCCGTCGCTTTGCTGACGGTTTACGATAATGTACCCACTGTCATGAAAATGTACAGTATTTATAGCCCAAATGCAGCTATACAGGATGACTAATTCCATTATTGACTGACTAAAGTAGAATTAAAGCTGACATAAGCACGTTGCGCTTAGTAGTAAATTACGCGGAAAGAGTATTTTTTTGGATTGAAATTTTCAAATTGAAACAATTCAAATACAAGTACCGACCTTCAGCAGAACCTCCGACATCGCTAATACGCGCTGCAATCTAGAAGGAAAGGAAAGTAAAATTAATATCAATTGATGATAAAGCGTTATCATGTATGGACCATATATCAGACCACTTTGATATCATCCTAACGACCGTGATGGATGGTATTGTTAGCAAAATTAAGTACAAGAGATGCTGAAATAAGCGCACAGTACTGTACAATCAATCGTTTTTTGGGTTGGTACAGTATGGTTGATTGAATTGGCTCAGCTACACCATCATCGAACATCAGTGCTAGCTAGTTCATAAGGACTAAATATGTACTAATCATTTTGACTGTAATATATTTACAACTGCATGACAAGCCGTAAGAAATGTATTTGTCTATTTCATTGAAATAACTCCGTTCCTTGCCTTCCAATTTAAAGATTCAACCAGAAAGGGCGATGAGAATGTTTTTTCAACAGTGACAGAGGCTAGCACGACGTACGAACTGTATATTGTAGATCTTACTATTTCAGAGTAGCAATAGTGCGATTGTTTCTCCCGTATTAACAAGTAAAACTTTGATACGATCAAATAAGGAATGATTTTGTAGGTAGGAAATGATTTCTAAAGGGATAGGCGAGAATAATAACCGATATCCTCCGAGGCGATAGGGATCCATACTGCCATTGCAGTCTATGTCTTATCAAAGCACATGTTTTGCATGGTGGCTATTCATTTCTGATCGACTACATGTAGTGTATCGTATACATGTCACTGCAGTGTACAGTACAGTATGCTCTCGTCTCCTGCTACCATAATGACATCACTGACTTACAGTACAGCTCACTTGATCGCCTTTTTTTGACACAGATATAATCATAGCGAGGCAAGAATTCAACTGGGATAAATAGCCCAGTACAGTCATTACCACCGCTCTTATCTACTGTATTTTTATTGGCAAAATATCGTTGTTATCCAATGGCGAATGAAGAAAGAAATGGGATATTTTCTACCCATTTTTCACTGATGCTTTGTCGTCTACAGTAGACTATCAATCTCCAATGGATGTACAATACGACGTATTTTTGCATTTTTTTCCTGATGTACTTGACTTACTTTTTGCGCTCTCTTTATAGCTTCAGCTACTTTATCATCTGCAGCTGGACCATCAAGATTACCTTGCCTAGAACCTTCTTCAACCTTGGACATGTTCTTTTTTTTTCTTTCAACACGACTAGTAGCAATGAAAACGTTCAAATGCCTCGACAGTAGAGTTCTTCAACTGGGATGACAATGAGAGTCAGAGTCTTTTCTTTCTCCACTTGACCAATAAGCATGCAAAATGGAGTCCACTGTGCTACAGTACTGGACGTGAACTGTACTGTAAGGTAAAAAGAAAAAATTGCTTCTACTGTATCATACAGTACTGTATGCTGTAGGCCAAACTATGCCAAACTGTAGCATTGTCGACTTTGGTATAAGATTTGCAGTTTTTACCTACAGTACAGTAGACTGTAGACTACAATACTGTACCGTACGTCCTGTACAGTACTGTGTACGCTAATTGCAAGCCCCCGCGGAATTCTGGTACGGTCAAGAATCTGACGAAGTAGGCGTTGGGTACTCATCATAGAGTTGAGTTTTTTCTCAACTGTACACTGTACAGTACAGTGTACAGTATGCTACTAATCTATTCGATACTATACAGACATAGAGACATACAGACGCGACTGTGTTATTAAAAGAAGAGAACGCAGCTGCATTGCACTGTAGCATGAGTGGACAGTACTGTACAGTACAGTACGCTGTACTGTACTGTACTGTATCATGAACTTCCAGAAATACTGTGTACTGTACCGTGGTTCCAGTCCGCCAAAAATGCATCAGCAATCGAACACTCACTCAAATGAGCAATTGCAGACTTGCAGAACGGTCTAATAGCTATGTCATAGTCCGCCAAAAATGCATCAGCAATAGAACACTCACTCAAATGAGCAATAGCAGGCTAGCAGAACGGTCCAATAGCTATGTCAATATATACTGTACAAAAATGAGGCGGTCGACTATTTGAAGCGTCATCTCAACTGGACCGGATAGCTGAAACGATCCAATCGTATGCATTTTTGTTAGCAGCTTCTTGCTTGCTTTTGTACAGTATGGTATACGATTTCAGTAGTAGCATACAGTATACTGTACAGTACAGTAGTGTAGACTGACTAGTAAAAGAATGGAACGTCGTCCGTCTCTCTTTCCGTTGCTGTTGTACTGGTATAATACAAGCGTCGCTTTGAGTGACGCCTGTATCATTCAGCCCGCTACATTGACTCCTGTGCACCACGTACTTTACGCCTTCAACCACCTCATGTATTATTATTCTATTTGCAACAATAGCGAGTGGTCGACGACCACCCTTTGCCCAGGGTAGGGTTCCATCCATCCAGACTGATACAGTATACTCTACACTATCATTCTTAACCGGTGAACTCTGACCATCTGAACTCTGATCACCACCACCCCTCTCGCTAACCCGCAGCCAGTGGTGCTGGTGGTTAATCTTACTCCTAGTTACTCCTAGTTACTCCTAGTTACTCCCTCTCTAGGCTTGAATGTTGGACGGGCGTAACAGTGATTGGCTAATATGAATTCTTGTTATAGTCTTCTATTGCAAATCAGTAAGAAGACCTTGACTAGATCGCTGCTCCCTTCCTCCTATTTGCCTCTTACTACTTGCAAAGGACGCAATTTTCATACCACAGCATTGCAATTCAATTCCAATATGGCAGAAAATTATTTCCAAGAAATTGGCGCGTTTAACAACATTTCTACTGCACTGACGGTTGGTGCTCCTGGCCCTGATTTATTAATCCATTCTAATGAAGTGTTGAAAAAAGCCACAACACATCGATTGGTAAGTTGCAGAAAATGGATTCCATCCAATTCGATGCCATGGTCGACAGTGACCATGATGACGTGGATGGATCAATTTATACAATTGCAATGGACACCGTATTAGATCTAAATTGTCTTCTGACTACTTTAATGAATGGAGGATAGAGTAGAGCTACCCAACTAGTTCTACTAGTATACATTGGTCACTCGATACGTACGCTTAAAAAAAAGCAAAAAATTCATCAGTGGCATAAACAACTTGTATGCCTTTGCAGTTAGGGTTATTACTGCGTTGTAGGAAGATGCGTAAGCCACTGAATTGCATAATCGAGTTATCAATTAGAAATATTGTAACAACTGGTTAATTAATTCCCTTCCTACTGTAGATAATAGATAATAGTGCCAATGGACGACGTTTCCAAACTCAATCAACTTGATAAACTTACCAACAAATTGTACTCTACCTTGCTATGAAATACACGTACTTCAAACTTTGGCTCGTATCAACCATTCACTTACCGTCGTTATAAAATTATAGCCATTGCCTACATTTTCCCACATTGTATTATACGATTGACTATTCATATTCCACAAGCTTTTTCTGCTTTACAACGTTATGTAAATTACCGATTAGAGACGCGTATGTCATTACCTAAGGTACCTAAAATCTTAAAGAATCACTACAGTAACGACCTTTACCTACTTTCCACTTTGATTTTCAACAATCAAGGGAAACAACGGCTGTCATCAAACCGATCGCATCTCTGCCCGTTGACGATAGAATCGCTACTTGCTAGCAATCTCTAATAATGGTCTAGTAACTAATGCTAGCAAGTTTCCAGAGTCCTGTGTGAAATTGCCACGAGGCTAGTGTGTTTAGATATTCAAAAAAGATTTTTCTACACGTATACTAGCACGGAATGATGTGTGCTTAGCAACAACTTTAATGGCTATTTCGGCTTGCTTTATTAGCTATAGAATTGATACTGTGAAAGCCCATCTTAATAAAATAAATAAATTGCGACTACCCTTTTTACCTCGCCAAACTTCCTGCTTTGTTTACATACCACCATAATATACTCGTAGATCATTATACTCTATGTACTGTACAGTAGACAGTAGTACACTGAGTGTACAGTAGAGACCCTCCAATATACAGTATAAATGTAATTTGTCCAATATTGATAATTAGAATATATGGATCACAATAACTTGAAAATCTCCTATTAACTAAGCAGTCTTTTTTCGAGATGATGCCGTACTTGACATATGAAAATGATTGCGATCCCATGCTAAATTGCTAATAGACAGAACCAATCAAAAATTTACCGGAATAAGAATGCACTCTCGTCTACCTTCATTATGATGTCATAAAGTTGAAAGTCTTATTGGATGTAGTGCGTGCTAATCTTGTGTTATGTTAATCGAAGAATATTCACTTACGTGCTAACAGATTTGTATCCGTTTATAGCGCCACAGTATCAATTTCTTGACTAGATATCAAGGGATTTTTGTTAAGAATTTTCGAAAAAGCATCAAATTGCTATAACAAAACTTTAGTCTATTACGTAATAGCGCGTAAGAAAATACTTTTAACAGTGATACCCTTGATGAATGGAATCGAAGCAGATGGCATAATAAATATATTTATTGTACTGATCGCTGGCTATTACTGCTGTGATTTTTGTAAATTTTCATTTCCTAATCAAGATTAAACCTTTTTTGCAATAGTCTCAACCAGATGCCTGCCAACTCTTGCAATATGGTCTTACAAGAGGCGATGGGAAATTTCCAGTAGAAGTTGCAAAATTTCTTTCTCGTCATTATGGTGATCCAGTATCGAGGTAAAATTTGTTAACAGTAAGATACTTATTTCATACTTTACGTCAATATCAATTAATGACTAAATATGAAATTCTTTACAACGGCTTAAATTTTAGCGTTATATTATGCTGTACGAGACGTAGTTGTAATATTACTTAGTTTATCTACTATATGGCTGAAAGAGTCAACATCTATTTACTTCTGTAAATATTAAAAATATATTAGTGAAGATATACACGCAAATGCTGGAGCTACGCAAGGTGCTGTAGCCTTGGCTGGCCTGCTTCTAAAAAGTGGCGATTTCGTATTCGTTGAAGAACCAACTTATTTCCTCGCTTTGAGCATGTTGCGCGAGGACATGCATTTGAATATTGTGCCGAGTAAGTTGCGAACTTGCACCAAATGTTATCTAATTTAGCTCTATGTCAAGGATAATATTACAAATATAACTATATACTCATACGTACACGTATGATAAATTTTACACAGTGTCTGAATGCTTCATTATCATTTTTGGGTCCTTACTCTCAATTTTATTATTGGATTAATTGGTGAATAATCGTATATTCGATTGCATTTGTTGCAGTTCCGACAGATAATGAAGGGATACAAATAGACACATTAGAAGAATCCCTAAAAATTCACAAAGCCAAAAGCAATCATGTTGTATCTGAAGCGCAACCTTTCTGGTCGATAATTTACCTAATTCCGACGTTCAATAATCCGAAAGGCTTTTGCGTGTCACCTGGTATGATCTCTCGCGTTTGTGCATTTTGTATACCAGTAGATAGAAAATTATACATTTGCTATTGTAAGATTTACCTCGAATTTTGAACTGTCTAGAGCGTAGCAAGCAAATTGTAAGCGTAGCTCGTAAATATGGCTGCTTGGTTTTGTGTGATGACGTCTACAACGTACTCTCGTATAGGAGCGATGATCCTGACAAATTTGTACCAGCTCCGAAAAGACTCTTCGCATATGATGATAAGTGAGCTGCTTTGACGGCAAAATACAATGTACGAAATAAAAATATATTCTAGAACTAAATTGGTACTACTTTATCTCAGATCCGATCCTGATTATCAAGGTAATGTGATCTCAAATGCAACGTTTTCGAAGTTCTTCGGCCCAGGGCTTCGTTTAGGCTGGTATGAAGCTCCAAAAAGAGTTTTAAAGATTCTTTACGGCAGGTAGCGTGCCCCTATTTGCAATATACATAGGCTATCTAATTCACTTTATCATTTAGTTAAATCTAATAGTATAGACAGAATAGATAATCCATGCAGCAGTCGTAATGTATGGTTGTCAACAATTGTAAGGACTGTTACATTTAGAAGAGTTTAGGAAGGTATGACACTAAGTCAACTAAAAATTAAGCTTATGTTGCTTTCTTCGTAGTGGTTATATTCAGAGCGGAGGTGGCTTTAACTCTTATACTTGTGGAATAGTCACTAGCGCTTTAGAAACTGGATTGCTCGATGAGATCTTAGTCAAATTTAGAAGACAGTTTCACGTAAGCTCAAAATCGATAATTAATTAAAAATAATCCAAACGAATGAAAGCATTGAAAAATTTACCAAGTTAAATTTCTCTTAATTGCTAATGCAGCTAAGAAGGGATGCAATTTACAATGCTGCTAAGCAGTACATGCCAGAAGGGGTGAAATTTAACAAACCACAGGTAAATGTTTATTCAATATTACTAATAATGTTCAAATTGCATTCGGGTCATAGATTAAATGATTGCCTATGATTTAAGAATACAAACCAGCTAAATCTTCAAATTTTAATTATCTCTATTCATAGGGTGGATACTTTATGTGGGTTGAATTACCTGAGCATATCAATGCACAAGGTAAATCCTAATTGTAGACTATTTTTTTCTGTCTTTTTTAGCAATTTTATTGTCATCTAATGTGAATTTAACGTAACATTTGCAAATGCTTTCATAACTCTTTCTAGATGTCTTAAAAATATCTAAACAAGAGCATAAAATTGCATTTGCTTTAGGAACAAAGTATGTCCTAATAAAAATACTCTTGATGTTTTGTATTACCTACTGTATTAGTAAGACTTATCAATAACCCTAATTTCTACCTTTATTTCAGGTTTTCGTCAACGGGTAGATTTCAAAATTATCTGCGATTTAGCTTTAGCTATTACGATGAAGCTGCACTCACAGAGGCCATGAAGGCGGTTGCAGCAATCATTAAGCGGTTGATGTAAACTAAAATAATGCGGAAGTTGTGATTTTTATATTTTTAGTCACTTATAAACATATTATATGCTTATATATCCGCTAGAGTATACAGTACTCCAAGAAAAGGTGATCATCTGTTGCTAAGCTAAGATTTTACTTAAAAAATCTAAAGTTTCTATCTATCCTAAGTAACATTCTCAATATTTCGACTACATGATCAATTATATACGTAAATTACTATAATGGAGTTATTACCGTAAATGCAGTCTGTCCCTCCTGAAAAATTGCAAATATTGCATGTGGTTCGTCCCGCTTATGTTTTCTAGTGAATTTACTCAATTCTATTTGCATCTGGAGGTACTGGATTATTTATATCAAATAAAATGCTTTTCGGTAACACAGTGCAAGTTACCATTATGAATACAATTAAAGGAACGTTCGTTGTACAGCCGTTCACATTCTACGCATAAATTTGAAATGAAGGTACATTAAACCTCGATTTGATTCTCATACTTAAATTCAGTCGACTCAACAACGGAAATTAATTTTTTAATTTAAGCAATAAACCCGATAATTTAGCACTATAGTCACTGGTGAATGATTTACAATGACACCCGCTATGGAGACCATAATCACAATTAGAAGCGATTTAATTACGAAGTCAAAATTGTCCAATTAACATAATCATATAGCATCGACCATAACTTCATGTAATACTGTAGAATATGAAACATCATACGATAATACTGTAGGTACTGAAAATAGTATCAAAAAAAGGTTAATAATATTAGTATAAGCTTAAATTTAATTACCAGCGACAACACTTTTTCGTACTACTACACCAGTTAGCACATGTATGTCACGATCATATCTAAGGTTATAAGATATTAAACAGTAAAATCTGTAACGTAGACAATATTGTACTGAAAATGTAGTCTAGACGCCCGTGTAAGTGCAGCTTGATAACAATAAAAGTATACATAATCCATATACAGTATAACATACGCGTGTGTTTCGGTCTCCTAAATATAATTATAGCTATATTTTTCAAAGATCGATACATAAAATGCCTTCACAACAATTCGATTGGACGAAAATTCAACGCGCAGCATAATGGCTAAATACTTAGTTTTGATTATAATTTTTGACGACATCAGCTATTTTCCTGATTGCGTTAGTCAAAATATCTTCTTCATAATAGCTAACAGAAAATCGAATTTGCGTTTCGTAACCACCACTTAAAGCAACCCTATCAATAAAATGGATTTAAGAAATTGTAACACTGCCAATTCTCAAATGGAAGATTTGGAATTAGTACCTGGACGCCGGAAAAAATGCAATTCGATGTCGCTCAGTACACATCTTCAGAATTTCTGTATGGGTACAATATTAATAAAGTAGACGTTAAAGAAATAAGTATGAGCTTTCACAATTTTTATTCCATATTGTGACAACCTTCAGCATTGACATGTAAATCTATCCAGATAAAGTAGCCACCCTATACATTTTGGTAAAGAATATTAAATAAATTTTAGTTAAAGTGTCATTACACTTTTATGCATAACTATTATGGTTTAAGCCAAAGCGATAATTGCTTTGCAAAATTGATTACCTCCGGGATTTCATAAGCTACAAAATCTGGCATATACTTTATTAGAGCATCTTTAATGGCAAGCTTCCGTTTCTGCTGGGGTGCACGTAAATGATGGTTATAGAAAACATGCAACCCAGTAAATTTGAGTTAATTTTATGGCGATACTTGCCCGTAAAGTCGAATTGAGATCGTTTAAGAAATTATCAAGGAAACCATGGTTAATCACCACTTCCATAATGCCATCCATATAATGATTATAGCCGCACGATACAGGACTTAACAATTAAAAAACATACAGCATATTTATTCATTTCGCTTAATTTGTTTTTTGGTAACAAGAAAAGTATTTTATACAAGTCTTTTACTGATATGCATGCACATTCCAGAAAATCTAACCTATACAGTTCTAGCATGTCTATAATTCTCTTTGGAGTTTCCATCCAACCTTTACATATTCCTGGGCAGAACACTTTAGAAAAACTACTATTAGAAATAACATTTCCATAAAAGTCGGCATCTTCCCTGCAATTAGAAACGAGACAGGTTAAAAGCTGTCAAACGGTTATCTTCTTTAATTAAAGCATTACAAGACCAGTATACGTCAACTACAATTAACATCGTTAGCACTGTGTATAACAATTTATCCGAGATGACGGAAGTAATAGATATCTCAGCTTGGTATTTTGTTACGAAATTAAGTCATGTCTTATCATACCGTACGTGACAGAAACTTAAGACATTCCAACGTAGGATAACTGATTTGCGTTAGATGAGAAAATAGCTAACTACAAGTATTTTGTCGTAATCGCATACTTCGTAAAAGACTCTACCCATTTGTTAAATTACATTGTCGCATATTTTTGTGGAGGTCTTGGATACGATTACAGTTCATATAAACTATACCTATTGTATGGGTATACTCGTATACACGTATATACGGAGATAAGCTAGGCCATAACAACTTGCTCCTTACACAATAATGCGAAATTTGACAGCATGCAAAATAAGTTGACTTCTGCTTAACGACAACATTAAGAGAATTATCATAATGTAAATCATTTAATCACCTATAAACGTTAATGTTTTGATATGCAATTCGTAGTGGTTAAGTGACTACTTCAATTACTGCAAAGTCGGCAAATTTAGCGAATCTGCTGCTAATGAACAAGTCATTTATGTATCAATCATATGTTCCATTGAACATAACATATAACCATGCTATATGTAATAGTAAAATTTTTCATTCTACCAAGTACTAACAAGTAATTAAAACAGCAGGTTGGTAATATTTTGTGACAAGACTGATAATTCAATTTAATATTACAATTATCTTGTGAGCTTACAACCTGCAATCGTAGGAAAATAATCTCCTTGGTGGATATTTTTCATCTCCATGATATACAAGATTAGCAACATCATCAGCAAATACCAATAGTTTGTGTCTACGAGCCAATTGTACGAGCTGCCGACAACGATCTGTGTAAAGAAATTCAATATCAACGTGTTTCAACCTACTCTTACGTGTAAGTATTCATTAAATAGCCTTGAGGCCAATATTAAGAATAACGTGGTATAGTATTACCTTCCGACAGGCATCGCCCAGTAGGATTTTGAAAGGCAGGTATGATATAAACCATAGCATTATAGGGTTTATCACTATCATCACTCTTGGTCAGCGAACTTCCGATACTTCTTATCTTTTCTTCCAACTTGTCGATAATCATACCATTATCGTCCATAGGAACTAAAGTTGTCGATAAAGGGAGAAGTAAAGCAAAAGTTGTACTCGATGATGATGATGGATATCGATCAACTCCTTATATAAACGTTGTTGGGATGGCCTTTATGAATTCAGTACAATTTACCTGTGACCATATTGTATTTAAGATGTTTCATATACATAATATTAGAATAATAAGAAACATCGCCAATGAAGATATAATCCCCAGCAGTAAATAATAGATTGCAGATTGTAATTAGACCATTGGTTGCGCCAGCGGTACAGATCAAGTCATCTCTAAATGTATGCGTATAAGAATAGGAATTAAGAAGTTAAATAACTGTGATGAATCATTCTCTATCGGTCTAGGGTTATAGTACACCATTAGAAGCGATTAGACAAGATGAATGAGTAGCAAAGTTCTATCATAACCGATCGGTCATACACATATTTACCGATCGACATGATCGCCATAACGTTCTTCTAAAAATGTTGCCAATTCCTTTCGTAGATATCGATCACCACATACAGGTCCATACTGGAACAAACCGCTACAATTTTCTTCAGACTTGTAAATTTATTTAGTAAGATGGAAGAGGTAACTATTAGTTCAAACCAACTATAAGACGTAGTAGCTAACAGCTAAGAAGCAAAGGTTCAAGATCGATAGTAATTTATAATAAAATGTTGACTTAGCTAGCAAATTCATTCATTCAATCGGTATGGTACAATGTACATATGTGTGCAAATTTTTAGTATTGAATTATCATGATCTCTTGTTTAATTCATACGTTTCAATCGGTCACTACATCTTCATCTTTAAGTCAAGTAGCATGTACACCATTATTATACAGTAGGATAATTTATTAAAGTCATGTTGCGAATTATTACAAACGGTAAAAGATATTGAGACTGTAATAATACAGCATGATCTATCTTGTCAAAATAGCATATTGTGGAGTCAAAGTGATGATGGAAGTTGTATGGTAAATGAGTACACTGTGAGTAGCTGTGGTCGCTATACGGTACTGAACAAAATCGAGCTTATGAAAACTGCAATTCGTCCATTCCTGAATATTTGAGATATAATTCAATTCAATCTGTGCTACTTTGGCAGTACAGTACAATGTATCATTGATGTAATCTTGCAGAAGTGAACGCAATATCATGTCACTAAAATGGCTGATTGCATGAAAAACTAGTCATTTTATTTTATTTTATTTTTATAACTTAAGTGTCTTACTACTGCAACCGATCCGAATAGATGAATGCAACGAACACTACAGTAAGTATTTTAACCCTTAGTGATTATGATCAGCAATAAATTTACCATACGAGTATTCATACTAAGTCTTATGAATTTGTGGAAACGGCTCTTACTTCTCTTAACTACATCTCATTATTCAGAAATTATTTTCCAATAATTCAACCGCAATAAATTAGATGAAGCCTAAAAATTGAATCGGTCTTATTCAACTGTAAGATTAAAAGAGGTTAACAACTTGAATTTTAAGAACGAAATTGATGAAGCGTAAAAATTGAATTTGTCTTATTTAACTGTAAGATGAAAAGAGGTTAACAATTTCAATTTTAAGAACGAAATTGATGGATGTTTGCTAATCATGTTACGCTGACAAATACGCACCAAGGTACAGTCTAGTAGAAGAACTGACTACCGTCACGAGAACTTATTGTATCAAAACTTTCCTACGTTTAATTTAGGACTCGATTGCTCTCCATGGCGTTAACTCCTTGGATCAATCCATGTGGCAGTGTACCGTCAGTTGTGTAGCCATTGGATGTATCATTGCATCATGATGAGTAATCATGATGTCAAAGTAAACTTTCACTTACTAGTTTGATATCGGTCGCTTTTTGGATGATTGGTTTGCAATCTTTCAGTAGCTTGGGCCCTATCGTACCGACTGAAAAATTAAGCAGGCCATCGCTAAAATAACCATTCTCTTGGTAATACGTGCTTTCCATAGCGATGATAGTTATCCGATCGAGTTAATCAAGCTGTAGTAATCACTTTGATCTAGCAGGCGAAGGGAGATGGCCAACTGTTCGTTTTCAGCGCTTGATCAAAGCTAATCGATCAACTTGTTAATAACGCCTTCTCTGTACTACTATAAAGTACAGTAGTACAGTACTGTACTTCTCAAGATTCGTTCAGATAGTGGGAGTGGATAAGTACCGTACTATACAGTAAAAGAAAGTAGGGAAAGAAAGTATTAAGTCTACACTGTCCAAGACCGGCATTCTTCTACTGTTCTGTACAGTAGAAGCAGAATCATCTACCGTATCTACTGTAATTAATATTCACTAATTAATTAGAACCATATTTTATCTAAGAAATGAGGGAGGTGTTAACATGACATGAGAATGTTATCGATAGCTTATTCGACTAGAATTATCTAAGAAATGATTTTATCTATCTATCTTTCTATAGCACTGTACGGCGCTGTATTAATCAGTATCAATTATCATAGAATCCCCACGCATAAGGAAGCAAAAGGTTTTTATCGCCTTCGATCTCTATCATATGGGACCTTCAGTATACCTGTTTTTTTTTCTCAACTCTATGGACCTACAGATATCATAATTATAATTATGATTATTATTATTATTATTGATTATTAGTAGGTGAAACAGTATAAAGCTGTCGAGTTGTGTTGCGATTGAAGAAAATCACATCATTTTCTTCTACAGGTTGACATGTTTACCTGGTTGCTCACCAACTTAAGCCTGTACTTGTTAAAACTTTCTACGGTGGCCCAAAACAGCTTTCTCTTGACGACTCTGACTTATCTTGTAAGGAAAGTACTTGCATTTATCAATATTGTGTCCTTTAGCCCATTTGGGGGCCTTATAACCCTTACTACATGAAGTTGTTTCGGTATGCGTAGGTGTTGACCTAGTGTAGTATTGCAGACTGTACTTGAACCTTTCAAAGAATCTTTTCCCTTCAAAATGCTCCTCTACTATTCCATTAGCGCATTTTGCAAGAGAAGGAAGAGGTAACTGAGCTAGACCTAGCCTTAAAAGCGTCAACGTATTTTGTAAGAGAGGGAAGGGGAAATTTTTAAAAAGTCTCCTACTTTGTTTACTGAACTCTATGAAAAGACTCACACTTCATTTATTTATAGTATACAGTACTCATTCGATATTTATACAGGCGTACTTCGGTCTAGCTACCGGTAGTAGGGTACAACCAATGGGATTCTCTTCACCTTGCAGCATGATAGGAATGCCTAGATAAATTAGTTCTTCTTGCTATCTCGAATCGTTTGAAGCCATAATTCGTACATAACACCGATAAGATATAGTACTGCATATCAACGGCACCACCTGATAGCTGCGATACTGTACTATACTCTTTTGCAAAATCAAATTTAGTTCAAGCAATAAACCAGTCGCTATCCTAGCTAAGAACCGAACCTTCGACAGGTGTAGGTAGGACTGGATAATGTAACATTTAGATTATATATATATTACATACGTATTAGTAAATTACTAGTGAACGTATCAATACAGTTACGATATTAGTATCATACGGTTATCTTATCAGTTAGGCAGCTATGCAATTTATCTGCCCTAATTCCTAGACATTACCAGTCTATCATACATAACAACTATATCTTCAAAGCTATTTTATCAGCTTATTGGGCAGTTTTGATTATTATCAGATAACTTGAAAGGCGATAACTTCAACATCATGAATTAGTGTTAAGGAAAGATCAAATTAAGCCTGTAGCTTAGGCTACAGTAATGTATGGTATTGGTTATTCATTGCAGATGATTGCATAAGTTAGGCCTAGAAATAAGTAATTTTTGTTCAGTAGAATGAACATCAAGCTCATCAGTGCTGCATTCATAACGTTAATATCATTGCTCAATACAGTAAACTAAGATCCTATCGCTAAGGCAACAAACATAATAACAAATTCAGGAAATGATGCCAAGATATCAAATTTCTGCTATCAGTTTTACAGAATAATTTGATATTTTATATTATTGCATATTAATTAAGGATTAATCAATAAACTACCGAGAGCTAGATATTCAATGCTTTCAATGCTTCTCAATTTTAATTAATAATAACTCCTTGCTAAATAATTTTTTTTAGATATAAATAGATAATCGTCATTATAAAGGTTAGAACCGCCAATATTATACTTGTTTTCATAGTCAAATTGTAAAATTAATCCAGTTGCTCTTGTTTACAAATATCGGACTTTAATTGTTCTACACTCAACTCATACTTAAACTACTGATATTAGGAATTATATAATTGTACTACACAAATCATAATTTATGTAAACTCTCAAGATGTACTTATTTATAACAGGCAGGGACAACACGATAATCAATTAATATTGCCAAGCCCGATTTTTTGAATTTTAAACTAAATAAATGCTGGAATAAAATTAACAAAGAGAATCAATCCCTAATCTATAACAGGAGCTCCGTCTAAAATAATATTTATTATCTAGAGGAATGTCGAGTCTGAGTGTAAACTATCATGTAAAAATTGTATCTCACAATATAATTTATATTGGAATTGAACCATGGATCATGTAAATTAGTACCAAATCCAAACAATAGATCATTGCAATATCAACGATGATTCCTATTACCTTTATTTAGTACCCCACTTTAGACCCTCGAACTATAGCATAAAACAGGAATGTTCTACACGATAGATTTGATGAATCATTAGCCCTGATGATCAAGACGCTATTTCAAATACCAACAGCACAAAGTGTTCAACTACTCTCTTATTGTGCAGTTCACATATGTTATTATCTATCCATTTATAAGACAATGTTATGCGATGATAGTAATCAGCTGATGATATTGACCGCCTTTAATCATGACGCATACTGCTAGCTTAGGATTATAACATCATTCACGCCTTCCTGCGACTGTATTGTTGAATTTTGATCTGTTATATTACTACGGCTATTCAATCGTATTTCATTTAAATTATCCAACCATTGGGGACAACTACCAAGATCAAACTATCAATCTCTTCCCAAGTTTAGGGAAAAAGTGAAAACGCTATTCCTATGAGATTGGACAATAAACAATTTATCGATATGAATTATTCATAAACAAGATTATTTAAAATATTGATATCCGCACAATTCGATCAAGCTGAAATAACATATACCCTAACAACAGTATTATGAAGGCGGTTATGAATGCCAGTCGAAACAATTGCGGCAATTTCTTTCTCCTTAAATTCCTTAACTCACTTAAAGATCATTGATCTATACTTCATGATCCAGTTGAATTACTGTAATCAAAGTAAAGTCCTCAGCTTATCATTTCAGAAAAACCGATCAGGTTGGCATAGAAATGGCAAAATAGGAATTGAAAGCAATCAATATAATAATAGTTATTAATATAGCAAACTAAATTATCGATAATTCCCAAGTATGTGTACCATGAGCAAATCTTTGGACCCACGTTGTGTTCTGGTCGATGTAACGCTCTCATGCGAGTATTCACTTACTCTTCTGTTTCATGGAATTATTATAAGTATCTTATTTATTATTTATAATAGCTTTAACTAATAATTCGATTGTTGATAACAATTCATTTCGATAATTTCTTTAGTCTTTGAATTGATCCTGTAATTAATAAGTCACATCTTAAATTTAAATGATTTCTCATAATCTAATGTTTATTTGGTACTTAAGCTAACGCTTGCCTTGTTACTGTTGTAACAGAGTTGATAACTTTAATATCAATAAATTATAGAGATCATTGATCAATGTATCATCATTTAGATTGTGAAAGCAATTGTCTGCAATGTAAAGTACCTAAATGAATAGAAACTTTATTAGTCTTTTCTCAAATAACCAAAATAACGAAAAAAATTCGTAGTTTAGTTCTTATTCCCAAATAAAGTCCATATAAACCTGCTATAAACAATTGTAGAAAAGATGTATGAATAGGGATCTTACACACAAACTTATTGCCCATTATTCGATTTCTTTAAAAGAGTTAATATTATCTTCCTTTACTCATCTCTCTTTACGTTAATAAAGGGTTATATAATCAACGTCAAGTTCTTAATATTGTTACTAGTATCACATTCTAGTACTAACAGAGTTTGAAATACAACTTCACTTGTACTTTGAGCATATTCATTCCATTAATTTCTTGCTGAGGATTTCGAAAATTATCGACGACTAAAACAACTATGCAGACCACTAGTAATCACAATAATAACAACGGCATCGAAGATAAAATGGTGTGCTACCTAAATTATAACCACAATATCATCGACGATTATGACTCGTCTCGTCTACCCGTAGGATTACAGTATCTTAGTGATTCTTTAAGTCAAGTTAAAAATGAGAAGAGCCATGGCAGCAAGGATTTATCCATTAGTTTATTAGAAATTGCATGCGGTAGTGGTAATTATTTAGCCAGATTAGCTACTCAAGTGGACAAAGCTTATGGTATCGATATGAATCAAGCCATGCTAGCGCAATGCCGAACCAAACTAGATCAACATCAAGTACAAGCTGAATTAATCCAAGCACAAGTACCAGCAATACCTTTCGATGATCATCAATTTGATTTCATTTGCAACTGTCAAATGTTACATCATTTATCGGGTGGATTACCAACATTAAAGGACTTTTTTCGTGAAATTAATCGTGTCTTAAAGAATAATGGCATGGTAATTGTTAATTTTACAACGAAAGAACAAATTGATAGTTATTGGTATATGGATTTAATACCACGTGCAAAGCAATTATGCATCGATCGCTGTTATACTTTGGATGATGTCAGTTCAATATTAACCCAAGTTGGTCTTGTTGTTGAAGATATTTATACCATCTACGATACCTTACAACAAAAAGAAATCTATCTTGATCCAACTGGGCCATTATCATCATCTTATCGTCATGGCGATTCAACATGGAGTAAAGCAAGTGAACAAGAATTACAATATGCTGAATTTAAATTGAAACAAATGTTGAAATTAAAAACTGCAGAAAAATATGTCGAAACAAGAGATGAAATACGCCAAAAATTGGGCCAATCTGTTATGATTCGTGCACGTGCTAAACATCAGTAGAAGGCGAATCATAGATAAATTTAAAGCATAGTAGAACAAGCCATGAATTCAATATGATCAAATTACTGTAAGAGATTTTAACGATCACTACTTCGCATTTTATCATTTTTGTCACCATAGTACCATAGCAATAGTTGTAATCTATCACTTAAAATACCATAATAATTGGATTGAAATGAGTAGAAAATTAGCATAAAGATCGCTGTTCGTATCTTTTTCCATATCATCGTCTATATTAACAAAAATTAAAAGCTTATTATTAAGCGATCTTAAGAACAGAAAATAGTGACACCACTATATACAAATATATATATATATATATATATATATACATAAATATATCTAAAGAAATAATACATTCAAAGTCTTCCGTGTGACCTACATGTAGAATAAAAAATTATGGTTCGTTCCTACTTTGTTTTCTTTACCACAGCAAAGATACTTTACTTTTGCTACAATTTTATCAAACAACAAAAGATAAATTAACCAAAGAGCTAGCCATTTTTCCTTAACTGATAATTTGATAAATCATAATTATAAATACTACGCATACATGTCTTGTATGATGGTCAATATCAATTAATAATTTGGAATATAGATTGGTTTTTTTCTCAAAATGCAAGGAAAAAGAAATGGTATGATTTAATAAATGCAATTAAATAATTTGTATTTGGTCTTGATAAACTAATGACTAGAATGATAAATAAAGTAAAAACTTAACATGTATAGGATAGCAATTCACGAAAGAAGTAAAATATCATTAGGAGAATGATATACTACACTGGTAAATAGACACACTATGAGGATTTCTCGTTCATTTCATGTCGATAATAATTATTTAATAGATTACAAATTTCTACGTTTGGTACAGTAGTTAACTAGAACAATCAGTTAGTGATGAGTTATATACCCGAGCAAAGCAATTAGAGTATGTGTAGCTTTAAATTTTTTCTATAGGTATGATAGTACATATTACTACGCTCGTATACCTTCGAAAATACTGAATATACATATATCAATCATTAGCATTAATAATAAGGCTGAGTTAGACCCGATTCCGATCATGAGATGAAGCTCTATATAGTAATGGATAGACAGCAATAGAGCTAACATTATTGCAGGGTTATATTTATCATACGTACATGAATGGCTATTAGAAATTTATTGATATTCCTAAAAAGTTGAAACCCTGATTAGGTAATAGTTATATCGTATGGTTTAGGTCCCATGAAACATTCTAACCCTGTAACAAATTAAACCTCTAAATTATAGGCAAATAGCTTATAATTTTCATTGCATTAATATTGATAAATTACAGCTTAATTGAGCAAGTCTATTTAACCTAGATATTAGTAATAGCCCTAAGTGATAAAGAATATTTAATATAGTTCGGCCACGAACGAAAAATATTATAAATCGGAATTAAATACCTTTTCCATTTTATTAATAAAATTTATTGAGATAATCCTTTATTTAATTTCATAAAAACTACTTTTTAGTATAGATCCCTATATAGCTTATACTTGCTGAAATCTTTATTACTAATAACTCATTGATACAGTGTCTTTACGAAGATATAGCTATATTTATACCACACCAACAGATTTATTAATTAATTAATTAAAAGCAATCCTTATGCCGAACAATAGATACGAGTATATCTTGATACTGTCATCATGCCTTCTCTCATTACTATATTTCTACATCTAACTAGCACGTCGTTAAAGCTATACCTAAGTGTACTCTAATGTTAGAGCGCCACCATAATATTTAAAAATGATAACGTCCACTAATGAATTATGATCGAGTAGTTGCATATTTTAACAAGATTCCGTCACTAGTAATGTATAAGCTTTGCCTGAAATCGTTGATTATTCTTAACTAGACGCTTAGTAAGCTATAAATCAGGAATAAACTTGAATGTCCACTGTTACAAGCTATCTGACCAGCATCTTTCAAAGATTTTAGTAATACTGATATTCCAGATACAGTTTTCTTACTTTTGCAAATCTTAGCTAGTAAAAAATATCGAATTTACTGTACACTTTAATTTTAATTAGAAATAAGGATACCCAAATTATAGTTGAAATCGCATAGGTTTCAAAACTAGATTCTGAAAATATCTAGATCCTAATAATTTTAGATTTATTGCCTTGAAATATAAAGAGTGAGCGCAACTGAAGTAGTGTAAATTACACCCTGTTTGCGAGAAATATCGAATCTGGGTGTAGTTATGACAGTGGTATCCTTACTCAATGACCTAAAAACTTAAAAGCGCACTTAGAATGATCTCAAGACGTCAGAAATGTCGCATGTATTAGAGGAACCTTTAATCTCGTAGTCAGAAATTAATATACAAAACAGTGAAGTAACGTAAATTTCGATACCTTCCCTTTATCATTTAATGGAAAACATTATACCACTTCCTTTACCAACAGTTAGGAGCTATGAGTCGGATTGTTATAAATATTACCGGTACATGATTGGTTGTTAGTCATATGCTAATTTGTCATCACAGCAATAATTATAATCTATTAAAATTACGTACATGAACAAAAAGGAATAAACGCCTTATAGTTAACATTTTAAAGCCATAATTATCAAATTCATTTCTGATTTATCTATTTCTAATTTATCACCACGACGTTAATTAGAATCTGTTAAAATTATTATATGAAGGAAAAGGACTAAACACTTTATAGTCAATATTTTAAAGTTAAAATTAGTATATAAACAGAAAGAAATAAACACTTTAAAGTCAACATTTTAAAGCCATAATAATTAAATCCATTTCTACATAAATAATAACTATATTACAACGTGGAATATTACCAGTGATATCAAGATGCTATTATGGTGTTGCATAGTCGATTCCTCTCCGTTGCTATGGAAACAGTAGTAATCGATTCTTTCCTTCGTTTACTGTTTGATTGCCTGGGATTAATAGACATAAATAAATTCTTTTATGTCTGATAAATGTGAATTGCAGACAAAGTTACGCTCTATGGGTTTCGATGTCTTGAAATCCAATTTCTCTCCGTTTACAATAAGGTAGGATAGCTTACTATTAGATAATAAGGTATAGATCTTAAAAGGTAAAAGACATCTGTCATAAATTATTATCTACTAGAATTGATTAGATCTGATAAAGATAAGAAATCTACGATAAATGTAATCTACGTGAAAGAAATTAGATCTTTAATTACTGTCAGTGAACTATGAAATGCATATGATAGCAGTATATTCTGGATAATTTCTTTAATATACCTAGTTTGTAGCATGTAAATATAAAATTATCGCAAAGATTAGTATTGTTGCGTTATGTTGGCCTATAGAAACATAAAATGAAGTCTAAACTAATATCGTACTATTAGAAGTTAAGCTAAAATTTATCGCACTTATACTATAGCGAAACAGTAGTTTAAAAGGTAATTACTATTGCTTTAGAAGCCAGTAGTAGCCAATGTTGATCGCGATATCCGCGGACACTTAAAGTTTCTGTAACATTATTCTCCTTGTTCAAATACAGGCTCAAAGAATTATACTTTTGTGCATGATTTGCGCGTATTGATTCTATTTTAAGCCAATTTACTATTTAATTAATGTAACTACACCATTATCATTGCGTTTACTCATCATTAAGTTGTTTGCATCACGATAGTAACTAAGACTGGGCTCGATTATTAAATTGTAGGACTTTAGAAAAATTATCATCAACAGCGACTTACTATCGGGACTTGATAGCGATCATATTATTTTGATTATTATTGTCTTTCGTATACGTCTAACGCATATAACAGTTATTGCTAAAAGTAGCATTTAGGTAATCGCTGCCAATATTGCAAAGAGTCAATCTTCTATGTGATATTGATGTAGTGTATTAAATTTAGCTCTTTCAATTCGGTGCTAACTATTATCCTGAAACTTGTTTTCATTAGATTGGAAAAGATTATACTGTAGCCAAAATATGGCAGATATCCCAGCCCGACCAGATTCTGGTCTGGGTATGGATGGAGATGAACCAAGCCTACTTGATGGATGTTTTGTCAATACTGCTGGCAATCAGGCGGTATTCCCACGACCAAAGAAGAATCGCCACAAAAGAGTTCGATTCTTACAGGTAGACATAAATAAAAAGTTACAAAATCGAATAGACAGTAAAACCTTAAGGCAGTGATTTCTCATATTTTAGTAGACCCTATCTATGAACTATGTATAAATGAAAGTACAACATAGCTGTAATGAATTTGCGCAAACTTTACCATAAAATTGAACTATTTCTTAGATATTCATATAAGTCCCCAAATGATTATAGCTATCGAGAATCCAGTTAATGCTACCCATTTTAGATATCACTATAAATTTCCTGAATTACAACTTAATTTTTATCGGCTAGCATTGATATATTTACGTAGGGCATAATTTATATTAGCTAAATTATAATTAAATAAATATTGATGGTATACAGTATAGCTTTTCTTTTAATATTTTAAAATTTTCATTACTCTAGAAATGGATTAAACTTATCTTAGTATATAAAGTTTTTCAAAAAGTCTGACAAATAATCTTCTTTTATCTTTATTTAAAAATTGGAATTGACTTATTTTGCCCATCTAATACTCGTAACTTTACACAGTATTACCTTTTTATAATAGATTAAATGCCAAATATGCTTATAAAATATAACTTCTATATCTATTTACGTTATTTAGTATACAAAACCTAATGGCAATATCATAACTGACAAGAAAAACTATATACCAACTGGTCTTGTTAATGAAAGTATGTCTATGATTTATTTAAAATTTAGTATTGGCGACAACACTTTAGTCCCTTACTACTCTATAAAGATAACTAAAAATGATCCTTTTCTTAATATAGTAAATTGTTTAATACTTCAATAAATGCTCTGCTTAGTACAGCAGTAATAAATTTTATGAAATTATTGCGGCATTTCCACTTTTAGAGCCACTGAAACAAGAAGAATTGCATTTCCTAGCTAAAACTGGATATTACCTATCGAATCAACATCAAATCGATACTAATGAGGAAGTAATCAAGACAAACCCATTGGTTGAAGCTCCATTCAAACAAGCTCAGGAGAAGAAACTGGAACCTAGAATAAAAGTAAACTATTTCCTAGTACTATAAACATTAATGGTCATAAATAAACTAAAATTTTGGATACCTTATCCATTAAATATAGAATAACCTAGCACCAGCTGAAAAACTACGCCAAGCTACGGCTAAAAAGGTAGTACGTGTTAAAGATTTCATCTTAGATGTACAGCAACAACAATTATTGGCCAAGAAACAACAAAGATTACAACAACGGGAAGAAGAAATGTTTACTATCAAGGGTAAATTTAGCCCACGTCATGGTGTATACAATGGATATTCTCCTCGACAGCTCCATCAATTTAATGAGACGTCAACAAATCATAACGAAGGACAAGTTGTCATAAAACGACCAGAAACTCAAATACCTTCAAATCGACCAGAAAAATCTCAACATAACCAGTGGTTTAGTCAGTCAGTTAAAATTATAACTCCGCAATCGCCAATAGGAAAGTTTAACCAGCGCCAATATGATACTGCTTCTAGCCCAAGATATGACAATAATACTACAACTCGACCAGTAACTCAATTTCCCACTAATCGAGTAAAAATGCAACATCAGGGAAACTTCTTAAATCAAAAAGACAGTTATGATCATATTAGACGACCAGTTACTCAATTACCTACAGAAAGGCTCGAAAAGCAGCAGTGGGAATTTAGGCATTTAAATCAACGTCCAACGAGTAAGAATTCGTCAGCAAGTGGTGCTTTGAAGAAAGGAAGGTTATTAATTATGTGATTAGAATCATTTCATTTGCCGTATCTTCATTATAAGATTAATCCAATATGCTCAAGAATAGCAGTTTTTTATGATTGAAGAAAGCAAAGTTGTTAATTTTGTGATTACAGTCATTCCATTCACTTCATTTGTCATATCTTAATAGTGTAAGATTAATCCAACATGCTCAAGTATAGTAATTTTCTTACGAGTGAAGAAAGAAAGGTTGTTAATTTTGCGATTAGAATCATTTCATTTAGTGCACATATCGTATATCTTCATGGTGTATGACTAATCCAACATGCTCAAGCATGTAATTCTCTAATGAAAGATATTATAAATGAGGCGATCATATCCGAATGACTAATGCGATACCTTATAGTTAAATATTATTCTATTAGTATCATATATGGATAATTCCATCTGATGATGTTGTGATACTGTATAATCATTTTTCTATATTACATCTGATTTATTTTTACATTGCGATCGCAGATTATTACCAATGGAACTAATTCGTCAGCCTGAGGGCCAGCCTGATATTACTAAATGTGTTGGTATTGTTTCTCGTGGCCGAAATTTAAGTATGTATTCTGATATTAATTAAATAAACTAATTGTATCTATTTCTGTTATATCGTTCATACTGACTTTAATTTCTTACAAATGTTAATCCATAAAATTTTATTTATCTTTAGATTTGAGAAATGGAATGACAAATAGTGCCGACTATACTCGCCCAAAGCATCAACCATCACTAGCTATCTATAACCGTTTGAGAATTCAACAATTCGATTTATTAACAGATAACTCCAGCAATAAAGAATAGACTTTTATTTAATGCTGGAATATTCTTAATCCAATCTCTTTTTTACTCTACATTCATTTGATATGTTACTTAATCAATCCATGCAAATATATACCGTAAATCAAGCACTCGATTAGCAAAATATGCCCTAAAATCAATCTAACAATACCTGGCTGGTGTTTCTATATCTAAAGCTGTACATGTACAGTGAATCAAGTAGTCAATGAGCAAAATATGTACTAAGAAATCGAGTAATAGTTCGCTAAGTTTCAATATCAAAGGCTGTACATATATACTGTACAGTAAATCAAGCATTCGATTAAAAAATATGCGCTAAAATCGATCTAGAAATAATTCGCTGTTGTTTCTAATATTAACCTTCGGTATCCCTACAATTAAGATTTTAACTTATAAGACCTACGTATATTTCTCCTACTATTACTATTTTGATATTTTCGTAACGCGATGTCAAGATTTTCAATATCCAGTAGCTGATCATTGACATGAAATATCAAAAATCTATGCCAATATAAACCTCAGAATAACCTCTATTTCTCAGTTTTGATTTGTTCATATTGATTAACATTTATACCTGCCGGTTGTAGGCTATTTTTAACACTTTGATAATTTGTATTTCAATTATACGGAGTCAGGCTTATTATTAATGCAGAGATGTTGATATTTTATTTTCATGATTTAAAATCAGGAATTCAACTCCTATTTTCTATTCTATATCCTGTTATTATCATTCTTAGTAGCTCTTGCAAATAGTAAAATGTTACCTAATTTATTATGTTTACAATGCTGTCGATATTTTTATCTGATTGCTATAGATAGCTATGTACTACGTAAAAGTTGTAATTCTTTCTCTCAAGGTCATATAAAGAAGATTTTGTATCATTATTGTCATTTATTAACTATCACTTTCTACTTATGTTTTGCTAAAATACTTGTTATATTGTATCATTAAATGGGCCAACGATGCAGTTTAATTTTCTATAGTATATTCGCTATAAATTATAAAGGATCATCATCGATATTTTAGGGGGTAACTGTGTATTAGCTGTGATCCTATTAAGATAATTTTAAAATTAAATCGGTAAATGCCTAGAATGCAATACTAATCGGTCAATACACTAAAGTGCCCACTTTCTTATTTTCCCCCCGTTAATCTAATTCATATATATCAAAACCGAAAGGATCTCTATTATTGTGGAATTAGTCCTAGTTTCACAATTGATTATCCAATTTCATATATCAGGAATTGAATCATCCATATTGGAGTTTCTAACTCTCGTTAGAGTATAGCTGTGAAACGATTACAAAATGGTCTAGAAAGAATTCCATACTGGAAGATAGATTTATACGATAGCTTAAGCGATTGAAATCACCGCTAATGAGATCAATCATTGAGCAGTCTCACTTTAAATTGATTACGTGATAGCATAGGGGTCTTCTATACTTAAGAACCACATTATAGCTTAAGCTTAAGCTACTTTAGAATAATTCTATCGAATAAGATATCGGACCATCGTGATACGGCGTTCGATGGTAAGTATGGAAGAAATTTCTAGTGAGATCTGCGATTTAGCTGATGATGACTGCTGATATCATCGATGATGTGATTCCCAATTGGTGCAGTAAAGCTTTAAAAGTACCCTAATACTACTATAATTGGAAATTTCACCGCGATGGCTTTGTTAGTAATCGCAAATCTGCTTTACATTTTGGCAGCTATTTCGCCATTTTGCATTCTGATCACATATACCATCTCCAGGTTACGTCATTTTTTATAGTCCATTGATGATTACGGGAGTAGAAGGTTAGTTATTCATTTAATTCCTCCCTTTTTATGAAAACCTTTTCTAAAGGGACAGATTAAGCTTATATTCGCGTATATTTAAGATAAGAAACAAAATCAATCGATGATGTTTGTAGCCTGGCAACAAAAGATTCTACTTAATCAATGTATACGTAATTATATCATCTACACATATATACGAATATAACCGATATATGTACATGATCTAAGCATATAGATTTCTATATATACTCGCATATGTATGTTTAAGCAGGAAAGAGCGAACCTTTGTAGGCGCTGCCATCAGATCAAATGAATTATTATGATGATGTCATTGGCGCTGAAGATCATTTAGTTTATTCTCTACTACTTTAGAGTAGAAGTATTATCTCATAGTAAATCATACAGCAATATTTTTAAAATGAATTTCTGTACTTATCTTTACCCTCTAAACCTAAATTTTTTGTGATGGTCTTAAAGTCGCTGTTAGTTTTAGCATGCTAACGTTCTTTTGTAGATGCAGTTAGTGTGCTGTAGAATATTGAGATCGACCCGAATGACTGATTTAAATGCTTGTTACACATTTATACTGGAATACGTATTAGTTTGTTGCCGTTGTGTATACTGTAGATCAAATAGAGTAATATTTAAATACATCCCAAGTAGCCATATTTAACAGAACTTTTTGATAAAAGGAAATCGTGTACTGGTATTAGATCGTCAAAAGTAGACTTTAATTCTACTGACTACCAGAGATATGTATACCTTTAAAGCATAAGTGTAACGTAAAGTATAAATTAATATTCGCAATTTCACTATTTTCTTCAGAAGTAATGCCTATTTTTTTTACACGTTGCTACCTTATACAAAGCCAAATAATCAGGTACAGGTTTTCGTATCGACTTCTATTAATCACTTTTACGATTTTTCCAGGAAACTTTGGTTAATAAAATTTCCAAGTCATTTATTTACTTGAGGAAATATCTAAAATGATCCAGAACAATTGCATAAATATGGAATAGAAAAATATCTGCTATAGATATTCACAAGGATAATAACAGAAACCAGCCTCTAAAATCATATCGAAAGCAATGATTGAATTAACAAGAACTTATTAACAACTGAAAGCAACATTATGAATTTGAATTACAATGGTCTATATTGTTCATGTAAGAAACATTCTAAACAACTAATTAAATCATTAAAAAGTTCTTATTATCCCTAAATGAAGGTTGCTTTAAAAGTGGCACTGCAGTATCTAGTGGAGTTGTAGATTAATGACAATGTTCGGTCGTGTCTTGGAAGGTTCTACGAAGCCATCCAAAAGTCAAATAGCCAAAGCCAGAGCCAGCAGCAACAGCTATGCATAAGTAGCCGTTATAGGTCATGAAAATTAACATTAAGAAGTAGCTCAACACAATTTGAATGACATGTAGAATCGTTTGTAGTATATGGTCACCGAAACATCTTCCAGAAAAGCTAAGAAATGAAGAAAGGACATCATGTATTAGTTTGCATCGCTCAAACTTTAATATTAACGTAGAATAAATCAATCAAGGTTGCAAATGAGCTGATGATAACCGTTAATAAACACAGTGGGATTAATGTTACTCTATAAAGAGATTGATTTTTTATAATCAAGCACAATATGATGAATCCAAATTTTACTTTTCAACAAGCAAGTTATTACCTAATTTTCAATATTCATTACAATAAAGACTGCAAAGAATACATCAAAGTTAACCTATTTCTATTAGTATCATAATTGTTATAGTATTTCTAAGAACAATACGTTCACTCCATCAGATTCTAGGAGTCTCCAATAGCCCAAAAAATTGCTTACCTTTCCGTAATTTTACTAATTTTACGACTACGATCGTATTGGATACTATTGTAAAACCATCTTTCACGAAAAACTTTTAAACCTTCATAAAGCCAAGCCAAAAAGAAAATACCCACACAGGATAGAGCCATTCCTAAATTTTAGTATTTTACAAATGTTAGTATTTTTGCATCATTGTATTATAGGTGGAATGGGCACTGTTCTATACATTGTAAACGTGTTTTAATATTTTGGAAATGTTAGTATTTTTTATATCATTGTACTACAGGTATACTGGATGCTCTGTTCTATTTATTGCAATAGTATTTCACTATTTTGAAAATGTTAGTAATTATTTACATCATTGTTTTAAAAGTATACTGGATGCTATTTATTACAATCGTATTTCAAAATTTTGCAAATGTTGGCATTTAATTGCATTATCGTATTATAGATGTACTGGCTGCCTGTCCTATTTATTACAATCGTATTTCAATATCTTGCCAATGTTAAGCATTTTTCACATCATATTAAAGGTGTATTAGATACTCTAAAAATGTTCATTGCAATTGTATCTAGACAAGCGGATAATGCATTCAATTTTTTAGCTATCTAAAGGGCAAAAATCAACTGTACGCTGAATTATTGTATGCTTTCTAGAGTGAGAACAAATGTATTATGCAACTGACAATAGATAATAGTAATGAAGTCTAATTAATAAATTGTGTGAAAAAATTGAATACGTGATGTATACATTTATTATTATCATCACGTTTTCGAACGATCACTTAAATCTCTCGATTTAGGACGTTGAAATAACAGCTTTGCATAGTAATGACTACTTAATTTACCAGAAGCGGTGGTAATTTTCCAACCAGCAAACAGGACTATTGCTTGGTCACTAAAATAGAAATATCCCTGGCAATGGAATAGTAATCATATGTATAAGCCGATCAATGAACAAACCATAGCATATTAGTATGCTAAAAAATATCAATTTTATTCCAATCTATGCTATTAAAAATCATCAAAATAGATTTAATTCCTCTTACTTGATGGCCTGGAGTCGACGAAGGTCCATGGCCTGCGTGGCTATTAGCTGTAGTAGGATGCATATGCATACTATGCGTACCCGTAGGCATTGTACTGCCATCATGTGTGTGATTATGATTCATAATTCTTTTCTTTCAGTCTTAGCAACTATCCGAAACAGAATCAATTTATACCGTATTAATAGACATCAAAATGAATTTATGAGACTAATTATAGCATATCTACTTTCGACAGAGGTTGGCTAACTCTAATTGATGACATGAATTCATGCATAGCCTCAAGATGATTAAGTAAAAACAACTGATAAAGAAATGGAACTATCCAACGATGGTACGGTCATAATAAGAGCGCGAAATGATTCTAAAAATATTATCATGAAATTGTTAATAGTTGACATGAATGAAGTAGAACTATGCATTGATTTCCATAACAATCTAAAGGATAAGTTGTTAACCGTCACCATCAAGCAGAAATGATGTTCATCGAATCGATGGCCCTGTCTTGATGAAACTTATAAAAATTAATGAGCTAGTCTTAAGAAATAATCTATAATTTATTAATTACTGGTCGCTGTATTTGTCTAATCGATGAAAATAAATTGAGATCCAATTTTATTTACACAAGTGGTGTACGTGATGAAGATTTCAACGCAGTCTATAAATGAGAAAAATCTCGACTTTGATTTTTCTTATTCTTCTTGTATTACAGTATGTCCCGATGATATGTGTAGTATACTACAGTACTGTATAAATATTCGTCAATCTGATGAAATATGACGATTATATCGCAAATAGTATTAACAATACGATTTTAAAAATAGAAAAATTTAAAGACAGATGAAATTCTTGACTAACAGAAATATCAGCAATTGTAATTGACGCTAGAGCGACCATCTATAATTTAGAATTGCTTCTAGCGTCAACATTCTGTCAGAATAATCATACTATTGAAAGAAATTTTGATTATAATTATTTGTCTATCGGAAGGCTATTTTTAAAGTAAGTGAAATCATCGTCATCGTGATATATCAAGGTATTGGCAATTGATCCAAATTTTCAATCTAGTTTCGGGTACAGCCAATACGGGTGTACAGTATAAGAATATTATTGGAAACTGACTGAAATCATCATCTTTGATAAAGGCACTAAGCGTTGACTGTTTCGATGTCATTCTAGTACAGAACGGTCAAAATTGACTGACGGAAGAAAATTGAATAAACTAAGCGAAGTCGTCATCGTCAAGTGTGAAAAACATCGGAAATGAATTACTATATTAATGTATTGAATGTTTAGACTTTATTCAGCTCAATAAAATTAACGAAGAGTATAATGGAAAATGACTAGAAAGGATCGAATTGATCGCTTTTAACTCACTAAAATTGCCATCACTGATTAGTTATGTCTTGATTGCACTCAGGCACGATAGATACAGAAAAAAAATGATATTCAACTGGCCGAAATCATCAAAGTTTCTAAGTGCAGTAAAATATTGAAAACATAAATAACTGATGAAGACAAAAAATGGTGTAGGTATTTACTATAGTGTACTGATTGATTGCATCACGGTTGAAGAGAGACATTCAAAATGAATTTTCTTTGTATTTAGTTAGGACAGAAAATGCCATCCATAGAGAAAAATAGCTTTAGACTCAGTGAAATGATCATCGCTGATCTAGATGTTAGCAATCCATGACATATTGATCTCATTTAACTACAGTAAGATAGTACGATGATGATATAAAATGTCAGAGTAGAGAGAATGCTCCGTCATCGACATGGCCACAGTCCAACATGTTTTCGATACGGTTCTTAAATAACATTGATCCAAGTGAACTATAATCTTTCATGATTAATACTTTTTATAGTTAATATTTAAATCGTCACTGTTTATCTAGATATTAGCAGTCCATGATATCTTGATACTATTTAACCGCAGTAGGTTAAAACCATTAATTAATACCATGATGATCTCGAACATTAAAGTAGAGAAAGTACGAGAGTATATGGTCAATATGGCTAGTGGTGAGCATGACTTTACCATTTTCTTCTTCAACAACATCAATCCAACTAAAGTTCAATCTTCATCATGGAACATTTCCTGTACATTAAATTATCATCCTTGATTTTGATGTTAGCACTTATTATGTTTTCATCGATTTAACGAACAATAAAGTAAGTGAATACGACGCTGATTTTAAATATTATTATTCTCATATTCTGCTTCGAGTAGGAGAAATACAACAGTGGTTGAATATGGTCAATATGGCCACTGCCCAGCATGACTTGTATACTATTCTTAAATAACATTCATTTAACTAAACAACAGTCTTCATCATCACCATCTCGCATCGATTGAAATTATCATCATTGATATAAACGTAAGCAATCATGACGTTTTAATTGAGCTACAGTAAATTACTACGAGAATGATTTCCAATATTAGAGTACTGGTGGAGAAAATACTCCCATGATGGAAGTGTTGATCGTCCAAGCTATCTTGACTGACTTCTCCTACTCATTCATCTTAACCACAATCTTCATCATCAAACATCATCATCGATTGAACTGCTTATCAATGACGTTAGCAATCGAACGTTTTAGCTCATTGATAACGACTTACACGATTGTAGACGGATAAGATTTAACTTTGAATATTTATTCTCCCCAATTTTGAATCCGTCGAATCGAACTTTGTTGCTATGGATTTTTGTCTTGTCGCCGTTATGGGGAAATTCCTTATGACGATAAGGAATCTGACCAGGGGTTGACGGCGTCTATGGGCTTATATTGTCGTGTGGAAGGGGGCGAATGGTACCTTTGTAAAGGCTTTGTTTACTATTGTGAACTAAAGCACTGGCTAGGCGTTGGCCTAGTCCAGCGAGAACCAATAGCCTACTAGGTATTAGACTGGATACCGATCTCCTATCCGAACCTAGAATAGCGCGTGGAGCTTTTCGGCTTCACTTTTTCTCAGGCCATTGACGTCATTTCAATCGAGTTGTCTGATTGGTCCTATAGACGATTATACACCTGGCGTGACACTCGCAGGTTAAGTTTTGTTGACATGGGGTGAGGGATACGCGTACAGCACGCTGACTGCTACGATGACATTATTTCTGACTGTTCAATCCATGGGATATGATGTGTGCAAAATGAGCTGTCATACCCTCCAGTTTCTCTTCTTCAACACAGGTGATCAATTAATAACGTATACGGATTATACTGTACACCTGGCGAGACACTCGCAGGTTAAGTTTTGTTGACATGAGGTGAGGGATACGCGTACACTACGATGACTGCTATAATGACATTATTTCTGACTGTTCACTCAATAGGATATGATGTGTGCAAAATGAGCTGTCATACTCTCCAGTTTCTCTACTTCAACACAGGTGATCAATTAATAACGTATACGATTATACTGTACACCTGGCGAGACACTCGCAGGTTAAGTTTTGTTGACATGGGGGGAGGGATACGCGTACAGTACGATGACTGCTATGATGACATCATTTCTGACTGTTCAATGAATAGGATATGATGTGTGCAAAATGAGCTGTCATACCCTCCAGTTTCTCTTCAACACAGGTGATCACGTCCGCTACGTATGTTCTTGCGATAGCATGGGGTAAAATGGACCAACGATGTTGCTATCCACTCCCACGGCCATGCCCAATTGCCCATGACCTAATCAACTCCTTTTCTATCCTCTTTTACTGTGCCTATTTGATCAGCACGGCATAATCATTGTTGAAATTATGTATGCCTTCATCAACATATGTAAACAGACCTGCTTGCTATGTTCCAGGGTGTAACGAACAAAGTGAGAATGATGTGACAAGCAATCGTACCCTTAATTAAACTGGATAAGATGGAAAAAGATGCAGGTAGCAAGCATAATTATACAGCACAGCAGTGGCTGCCAGTGATAAGGCACCCATTCACTACAGTACACAATGTGTACAGTATGCAAAGTCCAAAAATGCTGCAGCTATTACATGTCCATTCAGTAGGAGACAAGATGAGATCAAAATAATGGATGCAAAGTCAAAAAATACTGCAGCTATTATTATAGATATCCATTTAGTAAGAGAAAAGATGAGATCAAAATAATGGATGCAAAGTCAAAAAATACTGCAGCTATTATTATAGATATCCATTTAGTAAGAGAAAAGATGAGATCAAAATAATGGATGCAAAATTTTAAAAATGCTGCAGGTATTAGGTTTTCATGCAGGAAAGAGGCAAAGATAAGATCAAAATGATGTTTGCAAAGTCAAAAAAAAAAAGGCTACAGGTATTAGATCTTCAGAAAGAGACAAGATGAGATCTAAATGATATGTGCAAAGTCTAAAGATGATGCAGGCACCAAGCAAAACGGTAATTAGGTAGATATCCTTTTTAAACTACTGTTAATTATGCTATCTCAATGGTGTAATATAAAAAAAGTTGAAGGTAGCAAGCATAAGTGGCTGCCATGAATGAGATCCATTCAGTAAGGGACAATATGAGATCAAAATAATGTGTACAAAGTCGAAAAATCCTGCAGGTGGCAAGCAAAAATAATCTATTAGGTAGATAACCCTTTAATAAAGGTATATTGCAGTAAATGAAAAAAATACTGAAAGTAGTAAGCATAAGTGGCTGCCATGAATGAGATATCCATTCAGTATGACATCAAAATAACGTTTGCAAAGTCGAAAAATGCTGCAGGCAGCAAGACAAATAACTACTGTTAGGTACTGTAAAGAAGTATTTGAGATTTAAATATTATGTATAGTACGCGTATAGTACATTATACAAAGTGAAAAAGAATGCAGATAACAAGTAAATATTTCATAATGCTAGGACCTGCTCATGAAAGTAAAAAAGATCTCTAAGAAAAGTTCAAATTCAGCTTTTAAAATTTACAAAATTGGCTTACAAGCTATCCTATAAAAACCATCAATCATCAAAAATACCGTACAATCAATAAAATTAAGACCACTACGAGCCAACAATACTGTGCTGAATAAATTGCCGCTTCTTAAATCAATCTTGTCTTTTCCATGTTACACTGTTCGATATTGGTAGAAGAGATCAATAAGGACGATAGTGAACTTTACACAGGCATAATTTATTTAAATAATAATCCAAAGATTAACTTCAAGATAAATTATGCTACCTTTTATGCAACACCATCGTTTATTTAGGCATATCGTAGATCATATTGGAACATCTGTATTATCTATGTGATAGGAGGAGTAGACAGGATTCCCTACCCCGTAAAAATCTTACAAAAATCTAAATTTAAAGTCTTTTTAGACTTTAAGGAACTGAAGTTTCTGGTCAACATACCTAAGGGAAAAAAACTTCCTAGCTACTAACAGGCCTATGTGTTATTTGTGCACATCTGATGACGGGATAACAATCTTAGCGAATGAATATTGAACTTGTTGGGGTTATTATCCACTATATTAGAACAAACTATTGCATAATCACAAAATGATCAATCGTCTGCAGATTGATAATTCTCATAGCTAAAAATTTAACTTTGAATGAGCTCAAAATAAACTCAGCTAACCCTCCCAACAATGGATTAGATTTATTAGAGCAACATACATTACTCTACGTTATCAGAGATCATGGATATCAGACGATAGAGCTCCCATAACATGGCTATAAAGAGATAATATAGATTGAACAAGATAAGATTAAGATTTATAAATATTTTGAAAGTTTTAATGTACGAGTATGTCGTATTCAAATTTTCAGTATTCAAGCAATCTTAAAACTAACAATCAATTTTTATACGACTTCTGTTAATAACATAATAGCCCAATTTTCCCCTACTTAAGCTACACCCTTGGAATGAAAGGAAACTAAATACTTTTACAACCATTAAAGTGGCAAGTTAATCTAACATAGAATACAGGCTCATAACGTTACAATTAATTTTAGTATAATCTACTAATAAATGATAAAAAGGACAGGATAAGATAGACACATAGGGTCATATTAATCTTATAGGTATCTGTACATTAAGATAATAAAGTGATATGCATAGATAAAATATAGGCATCCAAATTTATAACAACCAATACGATATGCATCATTAGAGAATATCATATTATTGGTAATAAAATTATAACTATCTACTTGATGGACTTGCTGTAAAATGTAGATTGAGCTTTTAGCAATTCTTTTACAAGTAGCAAACATGATGTAGTTAGGTGTTTGCTTGAAGCTATTTTGGAATTTTTTCGGCCAATATTGTAAATATGAAGGTGTTTTCCATTTCCATTGATGGTTACTTTTTCAAATATCTTGATTAATTTCTTACTGCTAGTCACATCTTTCGTCAACATCTAATAATAAAGAAAAAAGTCGTTATTAGATTATAAGTTCAAAATTTTGGCTTACTGGCCCTAGATAAGACAATTCATATACGTATTTAACTGGCTTATTTCCCACGTCAAAAAAGTAACTTACATCTACTTTCATCTTACTATCACCAGATTCCAATAGAATTTTAAGTAGATGGCTAGCTTTATAGCAAATGGCATTATTTTTATTAATGTAACCATGAATGACATGAATAATAGTTGAAATTGAATTTTCCGCTTCATAAACCGCCTGTGTACACGTTGGGAACTAATCAAGGAGAAAAAAACACTGGTCACTTAAAATCTTGTTATTCGAGCATAATCAAAACTAAAAATGCATTGTACAATGGTGTAGATCAGTTAGGCAACATAATTCTTATTCAAAGTGTATACGTGTATACAGTACAGTATTTATGAAATCCGTATTCTATGCTTACGTTAGCCACGTTGATTAAGACATCCAACGCTGCATTATTTAAATCATAGCTAGGCACGCTATGATTCAGTGATTTAATTAATTTGAAAATAATCTCCAGAGCATCACTATTAGCTAAATTTTCACTGCAAACCTGAGAAAATTTTGTTGGATTATCTATAATGTTAAAGAAATAAAAACTTCAATACACGATTTTCTATTTCTTTTATCACTGCGTATGATAAATAAACTGTACTCGAGGTAAAAGAATTTACCTAAATTCCTTAGAGCTTCATGTAGTTTTGACATATATATGTTTGGCTTCAATAGCCATCTTAATGCTGATTTTGTTCGATTGGATAACTTTTTGTCTTCAGTTACAGCTTCATTTGCTTGCTTTATGCGTTGTCTTGCCTCTTCTAGAGCTTTGTTATGCTTCAATTGGTTCAAGCGTACAATATAGCCTCTCCATGTTGCTTGAATCAAAGTTGCAGCTCTTTCGATACGTCTATTTGCTTGCGTATAGCGATTATGCAGACGCCACCGGGTTTGTATTAATCTTGCAGCTTGATTTTGCTGAGCGATACGTTTCCTGCATAAAAAATAATATGGCAATTAAGCTATATACGTTTATTTTTTATCGTCGCTATGTATAAATACGAGTACCGTTGTAAGATACGCAATTAAAATTTTACATCGGATAGAATTCGACTAGAATATCATACAAGTCACACAATGATAAGCGCAATCGAAAATACTTATGCAAGTATAACCTGATCATATATCCTCTCTGGTGAGCTACAATTATACGACAAGCACGTAGCTTAGTTGTCCACTTTCTACATTGATGGCCACGATAAAAGGCTTGAATACAAATAACTGCCTCACGTAGTTGTAAATAATTATTTCTTATACTTTGACCTATTAATTTCATTCTGTACCGCTTCTGTAATGTTAAAGCAGCATTTTCAAAAGCAATTTGCTTTCTAGTTCTATATCCACGCCAGCATGATTGCAATCGGATTACTGCGGTCCGAATATAAAGATAACTTTCTCTTTGATCACGACTAACTTTATAAGCTCGGTAATAATTTTGTAAGATAATTGTAGCTTTTTGCATTTGTTGGTATCTTTCTTGAAGCTGTTGCCGTCGTACACATGCTTGCAAAAGAATAGCATTCTTTCTCAATTGCGTATATTGGCGTCGTTGAAAATAGCATCTGTAAAAACTTTGTATCTGAATAGCAGCTTCACGCTGTTTATTGACTAATTTTCTTACAGAGTAACCTCTATAAGTAGCCTGGATTGTGATAATAGCACCGCATGTATACAAGTAGCTATACCGTGTTGCATTAGCTAGACATCTAGCTCTATACCAACGTTGGATATATATTATAGCATTCAATTGCCGTTGATAATCCTTACGGACTAACAAACTACGTATTTTTGATTGAATAAATATGGCTGATTGTTTTAATTTCATGTAATTTTGGCGTTGCAACATTCCGCGTACATGTGCTTGAAGTTTAATTGTAGAACGAATCTTTTGAGCTTCCCTTCTTGAGAACATGCCTCTTACAGCACTTTGTAATCTAATAATAGCTACTCGTTTACACAAATAGTCTTTTACAGTATTCTTCATAGCCAGTTTAGCTCTATATCTTTGCTGTATCATACTACATGCTCGTAATAATTGCTTGTAATAAATTTGAGCTTTTTTTCTTCTAAACATTGCTTGCAATTTTGTCACAGTATTAACTAAATCGCCATGATTACGTCTAACTTGATAGCCTCTATAGAAAGATTGGATAGTAATAGCTGCCGCATTATGCTGAGCTAGATGTCGCCTATATAAATGTCCACGATAAACAGCTTGGATGAGAATAGCACTTTGACGAAGTTTTCTATACTCATGATTTAATTTTTGAGCAATAATTTTACTTCTGTATCTTCTTTGCATCATTATTGCAGCATTCAAAAGTTGTAAATAACGATTCCTTTCTTGATAACATCGGACATTAGCTTGCACTTTAATGATACTATCTTTTAATTGACAGTACTTTTTACGAACGACATAGCTACGATATTTACTTTGAATTGTTATAATAGCACCACGTATAAAGTGATATTGCAATAATTCATATCTAGCAATCCAATTAGCTCTTAATCGGCGTTGTAAAGTGATCGTTGCCTCACGTAATTGATCATAACGCTTTTTCACAGTTTTTCCTCTAAACTGCGCTTGCATTTTAATAGTTGTTGCTCGTAAATGTTGGTATTGCTTATAAGCTAAGTGTCTTCTCAAAGCAGTTTGTATCATCGTACATGCATTTTTCATCTTTTTATAATTAAAATTTTGACGTATTTGTTGACCCAGTAAATAAGCTTTAGTACACTTTTGGATAACATGAATAGCATTTAATCGTTGCATATAAGTACAACGTTGTTTATGCATTCTTATCATTGATTGTATTTTGAGAGCAGCGGATCTTTCTCGATTAAACTGCCGGCGACAGATATGACCTCTATAGGTGGTCTGAATTTTGATAACCGCCTTTAAGATGTTGTACTGTTTCATGGCTAAATACCTTCTGGTCCACTTTTGAATAGTTAAGCTTGCTTGTATCATTTGTCGGAAGTGACGATGTAAGTGATTGCGTAGCAGTGTTGCACGCCACTTTCGTTGAATTTTAATAACAGCTTCTCGCTGCTTCTGGTAAGACTTTTGGATACAATATAATCGCCAGTAAGTTTGAATCACAGATGCAGCTCTCCTTAATAAATTATAACGTTTAACATGATGCCAACGCCTTACCATTGATTGCAATAAAATGGTCGATTGTAAAATTTGTAAATATCGCTTTCTAGTTTTTATAGTCAATAATGTTGCACGAACATGAGATTGTAAAATAGTGCAAGCATGATATTGTCTTAGATACATCTTTCTTTGAATATTCATTTTCCATAATGCTTGTATCTTTATAGCTGCATTATGTTTCTTTGCTAGTGATTTTCTTTGTTGATATCCTCGATAGGCTGCTTGTATCTTAATAGCAGAGGCCTTTGTAGTCAAGTAATCCTTTTCATCATTTCTCATCTTAACTTGTGCTCTATATCTTTGCTGGATGACAACTGCTGCAATTTTCATAGTATTATATCTCTTACAGGCTAAGTATCGTCGTTGATAACTTTGAATTAAAGTTGCTGCTCTTTTCATTTGTAGATACTGGCGCCTAACTACATAACTTCTCCATGCCGATTGCAAAATAATGGACGCTTGCATAATAGTTGAGTAGGCTGTATGAACTTTTCTCATTTCAATTTGAGCTCTGTATCTTTGCTGGATGACAACTGCTGCAATTTTCATAGTATTATAGCTCTTACAGGCTAAGTATCGTCGATGATAACTTTGAATTAAAGTTGCTGCTCTTTTCGTTTGTAGATATTGACGTCTAACTACATAACTTCTCCATGCCGATTGCAAAACAATGGATGCTTGCATATTACTTGAGTAGGCTGCACGAACTTTTCTCATTTCAATTTGAGCCCTGTATCTTTGCTGAATGATGGATGCCGCAATTTTTAGATCAGTATACTTTTTAATCTGTCTATACCGACGATAATGACTTTGAATTAGGATAGCCGCCGCTCTCATTTGAATGTAATGACTTCTAGCAATATGCATTTGCCACATGGATTGAATTAAGATTGAAGATTGTGTAAGCGTTAGATAGAATTGTCTACAAGCTCTACCCTTTTTAACAGATAACCACCACCGTTGTATAGTGATAGCAGAGTGTTGAGTATTCAAATAGCGACATCGACAAGTGTAGGTCAAATAACAATTTTCAATACATCGGACAGCATTTCTTTTTCTAATTAATTCCTTTCTTGCCAGATATCCACGTATTCTAGATTGAATGAAGATACAACTTTGTCTGATTGCATAAAAATCACAGACTCGACGAACATCTTGACCTTTTAGCCAACCTTTGACGAAAGCTTGTAATACCATTATAGCATGATATTTTTGAACATAGGCACGATGGCTAATCCAACGCCTAATATTAGATTGTATCATTATTGCAGCAAATTTCTTATTGAGATATAATCGCTGACATACTGCTCGACGATATGCAGATTGTATTATTAATGCTGATCGTAATTTAGTATTGTAGCATTTTCTTGTCACCCATCCACGATAGTAGGTCTGAATGGTAAGAATAGATTGGCAGATTACTCGATACTTATCGATCGCAGTTCGTTGAAGACAAGTTGCTCTCCATCGGCGTTGTAAAATAATAGTAGAATCACACAATTTTATATAATCTTGGCGTTGCTTATAACATCTATAATGCGATTGTATTCGTATAGCAGCTGCTTTCTCTAGTAAGTACTGTTTCCTAACGAGATATCCTTTTATTGCAGCTTGAAGAGTTATACAAGCACCTCGTATGATTAAGTATGTATACTGCTGTATTTGCATTGCCCTCATAGCGCGATATTGCTGCTGTATAACTAGAGCCGATTGCTGTAACTGCCGATATTTCTGTTTTACGTAATAACATCTGAATGATTTTTGTATTATAGTTGCTGCTTTACGCTGTTGTTGAAGATTTTGCTGTACATGCCATCGTCGATACATCGATTGTATAGTTATAGCAGCAGTAGTATATTGTTGAAGCCTTCGTTGCGCAAACCATCGTCGGACACAAGATTGAACAGTAACAATTTCCTGTTTTGTTCTCATAAAATTTCTACGTGTATGATATCCTCTCCAATGGGATTGAATGCAAATTGCAGCTCTGAATTTAGCCACAAAACACCTATCGTGCCAGCCACGAAATACAGCTTGTAATAAAATGATTTTATTTTTGATTCTACAATATTCTTCATGAACGGCTTTAGTTATGAGAGAATTTCGGTAGTACCTTTGGATAATTTGTGCTGCTTGATATTGTCGTGTTAATTCACAACGTACTCTACCACCTCTCCAAATAGATTGTGCTTTAACGATAGCTTCTCTGAGCTTACAGTAATGTTTTCTGGCTATATATCCTCTGAATGCAGACTAAAATTTCATCGTAATTTTTATAGAAGTTATTAAAAGATAGCTCCGCTAATAATATTACAAATTCATTTATTTACAGTACAAATACAACCAAATTACAAACCTCAATAACAGTTGCAGCGTATTCTTGCTTAGCTTCCAGTTGTTCTTGCCGTAAATCTTCAACTAAGCAACGAGCAACATATCCACGCCAATAACTCTGAATTATTACAACTTTATTAATTCGATTTCGACAATCTTTGCGGGTGAGATAACCTCTTATTACACCTTGAAGTTTAATGGCAGCCGTTTCTCTATTCTGTTATTTGCAATTTTTAAATAAAATTTTATAGTTATTAACATGATAGATCAAACAAGAACATAGAAAGCTGCCTAAATTACTAATTACATAACTTTGAATTGAATAGTCAATAGCTATACCTGCTGAATAATTAATTCTTTCATGTCACTATAACTTCTCCATGCTTTTTGGATACAGATTGCAGCTCTTGACTCTTGTCTTATTTCTAATAATTTTGAGCATAAGTAAGATAGATGTGCTATCATAACTTTCTCTTCTGGGATGCCATTTATTATTTGTGATGCTTTAAAAAGAAGTGGAACGCCTCTCATTTCTTGTATCTATACGTATATTGAATACAAATTATATTTATTTCTGGTACAATACCATGGGCATTCGAGATTAATTTAATCGTTCTAAAATCTAATGCTATATCGAACCTTATGATTATATAAGTTAAAATTATATTTCTCATTTGCTTTAAGTTTATCATATTTGGAGGCTTTTCCTGTCTCTAAAATAAAAACAGTTGTAATTGAGTGAAGCTAAACTTTTACAAAAATCTTGTTAAATTAAATTAATTACTGAAGTGATTAAATGCTATCGAAATTGACTTTTACTTGGGCTAAAGACAGCCGACCATCCTTCTTTGGTATCAACTAAATTTGTCATATTATCATCCGGTTCTTCTTCATAGTTTAAAATCGTTAATGTAGTTTCGTGTCTTATTTTTGAATATGGTAAAAGACCAGGATGATAATGATGGACAAGGCAGCATAAAGCGCGGCCATCCCCGAATGAGGCCGTAAAATTATTGATCTGTTTGTTAATTAGAAAATTAGCATAGTATTATAAGCATATGTAAATATATTATCTTATTACAATATACGCGACAGAATCATTTATATCAGTGGTTTAGCAATTTATCAAGACAAGTAATCTAGTATTAACAATCAATGTACTAATTAGCCTTAGAACAATTACAGTAATTGGATAGTTAATGTGTAGTTTTGTACAGTACACAGAGTTATGTCCACTGCAGGACAAATATCGTTGTATTCAAACAGTCAAATTACTTCGTCTAAACGTATATCTTATTAATTATTAATACAACCATCAGGAACTACCAAAGAGTTCCATAGAAATCGTATTTATGTACGTACATATACAACTTTATGTATAGCGTTAATTATATTGTTCTATTAATGTAAATATAAGGTGTAATTATAATAGGTGTTATATGACGTAAAAAATAAGAAATTGCTACACTGTTACCTCAATTCCATATAGTTTGCAAACCGATTGGCACCATGATAATAGTAAATTCAATTGTAAATGATCGACGTACATATCATTATATGGGATTGTATAACTAATATCAATATCTGGCGATAATAGCTTCAATTTCTTTCTGTATTCCCTTCGTAAGTAAATAATCTCCTCCCGTAAGTGATCTTCATTGAGAATAACATTGACCTAATCGATTATTTTAGAATCATTAGGCTAAATTTAATTTTGCCTATACTTAAATTTTCGAAATTGTATGCTATTTTGTTTGATAATGCTATAGTTACAATTACCTGATAATGCTGAATTACTTTCCAAAGCAAAGCAAGGGTCTTCTCTCGATGTCCATCCACAATTGCGGAACCGTACAGTTTGACTATGTTACAAATAAAAAATGTGAGTTTAGAATAATCGCTAATACTATAAAACTATCATAAAGTAGTGAACTTATAATCATAAAATCTACTCCGAATATTTACCTTCAATATTGTTTAGTAATTTTTTCTCTTTGAGTACAGCAAGCGATTCCTGAACATTCTTCAGTTTCTATTAACAGTTTAATGATATTGATCAAATTATACCTGAGAAAAAGATCAGCTTAGGTATTTTAATTTTAATACATAGTAATATAAATCTAACCTGTAATCTGCTATTAACAGGCAGTTTTAAATTGGATGTAATTCCCCATTCTCGAGAGAACAATTCTATTAACCGTCTGTATAGCCAAGAGTTTTACGTATAGATTAGACAATATTGGTTGTAATTTTGCTTGATTGATTATTATTACTTACGCTAATCGAACGCCATCTCTTAAATCTACAGCTAGATTTGTAACCGCGTAGTTGTATTCATCCAAAGGTGTCTGATAAATACATAATTCATCATTAAGAAATGTAGTTGTAAACGTTATATTATTCTTTAGTATTGCAAATTATGCAAATACAGACTATTATATTAACGACTAATAATAACTTACTTGAACATGAGTAACATTATACCCAAATTGTCCTAAATGACGAATAATATCTCCCTCGCCTCGTAAATATTCTCGTGAAAGCTTTAAAAGTAAATCACGACTTGACTAAAAATAGAATAGAAATTATGCAATTAGAGAAATTTCGCGCTTTACCATAGTATCGAATACAATTCTCTATTAATTATAGTACTTGTAATTAGAGCTTGATAATACCAACCTTGAATTTTGCATCCATACAAAATAAACATGGATCATGATCAATAAGGCGAGTTAACTTAGCTTGATCAATACAGAATATTAATAGCAGGAATTGCTTGATGACATATTGTCCTAACGCTTCTTTAAAATCTAATTTAGAAAAAGATTTTGCTTACATCAACAACCTCATCGACCTAAAACTGTTTTAAGTGCAATTATCGAATAATGTATAATAAAATATGTTAATCCACTAGTTACCTTTTTTATTAGAAAAGCTTTCCAGATTTGAAGAGTCTCTGTACTTTTTAATAATATCAGGATTGCTTAAGAATCGTGAGATAATAAAAGTGGACAAACCAATGATATCTTGATTTGATTCAATCATTAATACTTCACCGTAAATTGTCTATGTATTAATAGGAAAGATCCATAATACCAAATTAATATGTTAAATCGCTTCACTTTATATCAGCGCTTGAGATATAGAGTGTAATATTTTATTGATATGATACAGTATCAATGTGAGAAGAATTTTTAGTTATTTCGATACGTTAATTGTTCTGGAAGTCTTATAGAGTGATCAGAATATATTATATTTATCAGAAATTATTAAAATCGTTATTTTAATTCCTTCATAGCATCTTATCAACATAATAATATACCTCTAATCCAATGCGTAGCCAAAGTGGATTATATGATAGCAATAGATCTAACAAGTTTTGTTTGAGGCCTAGTCATATTGAGAATTATAGTCAATTAAAAATCTTATATTAATTTTGAAACACTATATCTACCGCTATATTTAATAAATTGAAAATATGAAAAATTATTTTAATTAATACCTAAATCACTATGAATATTAGCATCCAGTTTGAATGTAAATTTTCTTTCTTTTACAGCATCAGTAATACGTTCTACCACCATTCTAACTGGCTTCGATTGGTATAATATACATGCTGCTCTCCTTAGCATCATTAAATGCTTTCGATTTTCATAATTTTTGTATGATAAGGTATCTTTAGTCGGATGATACTGTCGTGTTGTTGTATCCGTTGTTAGTGCTAGGGTACTAGCATCAACTATAATACAAGAGAGATGTAGTTAGATAATTTCATCGAATGATAAATGGATATTAGTAGATACCAGGTATTTTAGAATTAGTTACCTTTGGTTACAAATTTGTTCATAGATACGCCATCTTCGCAAGGAACAAGAATAAAATTAAGCCAACACGTAAATCCTGCAAGTCATTAATAACAATAATTAAGATTTTTATAAAGTATTTAATTGCAATATGAATAAAGAGTTATGCGTATTTAATACTCAGAAAACGTCAATGTCTGACCTCTTTCTTGCTTATCAATCCAGCGATCATCGTAACAATTATTTTGACTTGCAAATGGTGAGATTGTTTTGGTTTTCTTAACTGCTGTATTAAAGAAGTATTTGAATATACCAACATTACAATCAGAAGTAGAATAGATACGCTACATTGTTATCAATCAAAATAGAGTCAACTAACCGGATCCATTAGAAATGAGTCGCAGGCGAGATTGAGCTATGCCCCTTATGTTGAATGTTTTTGGAAGAGTGGCTACAAGGAAAGTTTTAGGCAGATATGCCCATAGATAAGCAAAAGAGATAGGAGATAAGTATAACGCAATATTAAATCTATATATCGTTTACTAGTATTTTTATTAACAGTTTATCTTTATTACCCTTGCGTTGTGAAGACTGAAGCTGTTGTTGCTTAGTCTTATTCTTAGCAGTACTTTCAGAGTTTACTTTGGCCTTAACGCATTTATTAGGAATGGTCTTATTGATACGAACTTTAAATTCTGTCTTGGAATTACTTTCTTGGGTGTTAAGATTGCTATTATTACGGTTGTTATTATCATTGTCTTCTTTATCATCTGGACATGAATCAACATTTCCTAATAGAGAATCTTCCAATTCCGATTTAGTGTAAGTTTCTCGAATAATATGATTACCAAAATGACTTTTTTTTAATTGGTTATCATGATTAGTTGATTGAAAATCAACCAACTGGGAATTGACAAATTTTTCTTGGCCATATTGTTGATGATGATTTGAAGTTGATACATTAGTTTGTTCGTCTTGAACTTGATGTTTCGTATCATTTTGTACAGCATCAGTTGTAGTTGTTGTTGGAACTTTTTGATTTGATTCCGATTTATTATTCTAAATAATACATGGATATCAACACATATAAGATTAATTGGGTAGATCCTTTAAATTATTATACATTACTATAAGTTTGAATTTTTGATGTTATGGTCACCTTGTTAGCGTCTCCCTGTAAGACATCAATGACTGTATTTAGTACTGCTTTCTGATTTGGCTTCGATGTGTTAATCTAACGTGTGAAAAAAGATAACATAAAAATTTTACATTACTTCCATAAGTACACCCAGTTGCTACAATACTTTGTCAGTTTATCAGTCCATTTCAACATTGATAGCATCAATATTAGATGAATTGATTATGATGAACGACGATTGCATAGTCTCTTCCATTACCTTGTGTAGTTTATTATTAACTTGATGACGTTGTTGATTAAGTCTTCGCCCGGTTCTTTTCTACAATAATTATAAAAATAATTATAATTATTAGCCACAAGGATCGGTTAGAAATGACGTTATTTTTAATCTAGGCGCATTAGCTGACCGTAATTGGTATACTATAGCCGAGCAAGATATACGTGTACTGTACGTGTAATCATAAGATTCAACATGTTCTTTTGAACTATGTATTTCGATACAGTATGTAATGTACAGCATATTGTATTTATTCCAGTTTCAACTTCAAATATCGTCTAAAATACCGTGCTATCAAATATGTGTAAGTTAATCATACCTTATGAGGCGATTCAATAGCAGTTCCATTAAGAACTACGTGTAATCGGTGAGTGTTTTGGCTTACTAAAACCAAAGTATCGTGAACTGAGCCAACGACTTTAGGATTCCAGGTAATTTCGAGTTGTTGTTGACTCTCGGGTTGGATAGCTAATGTTGTTGTATTGACTGTAAAGCCTTTTAATTCAGATACTTTTCCAACTTTGATATGATGTATTTTGGACGATGGATTGACAATCGTTAATAAAATCGATTTGTTTCGGCCAACTTTGACTTTATCAAAATAGAGCTTGGGTACTTGAGCAAAATGTTTCAATACTAAAACAGGATGATCATCTTCAGTTTGTGTTTGTGCTGCCGATTGACTACCATTAAATGGGACAAATTTTAGAAACGGCTCAGATGATGCTACATTTTCTTTATTTTCTTCTTGACGTATGCAATGGTCAGTCATTTTTGCTGTGGAATTTTGTATGTTGACTGATCACTTCAATATTCTCTTTCAATTATTTCTACTACTGGAGATGATGATGGAGATTTTGCATAGTCCAAATCTCTGCAACTCAAAGAAATGAAATAACGTGCTTGTTGTACAGTATAACTGATCAATGTGGTCTTGATGGAGAAATGTACAACCTACTATTAATGGATATTATGGAAAACATCGCCAATTTCACTGAAATGCTCTTCATCGTACTGTTGCATATTTATCTGCAAGTATTTTTTTTTGAAATTAACGAAATTGCGACCTGGACCAATCACAAGAGAGAACCGGTGTGACGCTATGTACAATTCTTCTTCTACAGTAGAGTATTACAGTACAGTACTGTGTTGCAGTAACCACTGACAGAGGTGTAAGAATGACAGCTCATTTTGCACACTATAATAACATAAAGTATAAGAGAATGCTATACTCATATCAGTATCACTGCACAAAGACGTGATACTGCAGTACCGTACAGTGTACAGTACTTTTACCTCTACCATACAGTACTCAAAATTTTACCGGCGTCTGTCTAGTAGTCCATGCCTGCCTCCATGGATCTATGGCATCTGAATATGGACTACTAGGAAATTATTAGACCGATTGACGTATTTTATCTACAGTAGTCCATGGCATTCCGCAAGCTTTAACCTTTACTGTTACAAATATGTCGCGTAAATTGTTCTTTAGATCCTACTACCATGGACTTCTAGAAGTAGGGGTATAGTTCTAGAAGTCCATGCTACTACTTTTCCTAATTTGGCTTGGTATAAAAATTTAAAAATAAGCCACATCTGCAATGGAATTGAATCCATTTATAGTCAGTAGACTATCGAAAGGTTATATCCGCAATGTGGAATGGTAGCAAAGTCCTAGTTGATCTGTTTGTTGCAAGGTAATTGAAATGAATTAGTCTTTAGGTCCTTCGCCATTTACTGTACTGATTACACCTGCTAATACAGCAGATGAAAATAGGTACTGTACACCTGCAGAATAGCCTAATTTTCGCGAAACTGGATGATAGAAGTTCTAGCTACTATACTTGAGCAGGGATCACTGCAACTATACTAGTAATACTACTGATAGTAAATTAGAGATTGGACCTCTGGCAGTAACCTACAACTACGGAAAGGTTTTACAGCCTAGTAGCAAGATTCTACTAGGTGATCATCTATAATTATAAGTAATAAGAATAAGATGTAGTAGACTTTATGCATAGGACTATTTGCTGATTGGATCTTCCCAAAGATGAAAAATACTCTCATGCCAAGCCATAATAATAAAATTTATAATTATAGAATGAATGAGTGAAAATAATACGTACAGTACAATTGACAATCGATTGCTGATGCTGTAACGCGATGTCTTGTAAACCAGGAGTACTTACACTCCAATAACTAAAAAGATAATACAATATAGCAAAAGCGACTTTGAAAGTTAGGCTAACTTCAAAATATTTTAATTTATTATAGGAGTACGGTATATCTAGTTATGCGTAAGCTTGGGTACGGTACTCATGAGTACCATAAATCAAGTAATGCTTTTACATCAATTCAAAAAATTTTTAAATCTACTAAAAATATCCAAATACTTGGCTAACGCATTCAAGGATCTTAAAAATTGCAACTTATTACTTTTAAGTTCATCAGAGATATACAGTACAATTTCTAGAATATACGTAGATATATTACTTGATACTGACATCGTCGCCGTACAATAGTACCCTATATATACTGTATATATATATATATGCGTATGTGTGTGCAAAAAGTATGAGTTGAGTTACTGGCTATTAGCTACACGGTATTGTATCATAAAGGCTTGCATTTTACAATAATATCTTAAATAGAATATCTCTTTAGAGAGATGTCTTATGTTTCTTAATTTCAACCATTACATTATGTATATTAATAATTTCATTGCGACAGGTTAAATTTTTAAACGGAGACTGATTAAGGATCTTTTGAAAACGATGGTAATATTGAATTAATTGTGTTAAAACGGCCTATAAAATAACAATCAATAAGAGACCAATGTAAGTTATATTTATACAAATATCACTATGAGTATACCAATCATAGTCTCAAGTAAATTGATTGGATGCAAAATATTACCTGTAAGATTGATGTTCCATTCTTAAAGTTAGTAAATGATTGCATAACATCGTGATCTATATTATCTATGGCTTTCTTCCATTCGGCATTGAATGATTGGATTAAAGTTTTTATACGACCTGTGTATACACAATATTGAGTGTTGGTACGGCTCATATAAATGAACAAACTGTCTAGAGTCGATGATAAAATACTCTTACTTACGTTCATCAACATGGACTTTATTACCATGTTCAATAGCATTTTCAGTTTCCTTAACAAAATTAATCATACCTCCAAAGTTAGGTTGTAGAATCTAAATAAAAAATATATATACAAACCTTTTAGTGATCAAAATTAAATTAATAAACAACGACATTACCGAAATGCAGTACCTCCTCAACAAATTCTTGAATACGTGCATTTAGAGTTTGTTGGAAACTTTCATGATGTGATCCATCGTCATTTACCCGATCCTAATACAAAATGAAATTAGTGTTTAACTACGGCAATATCAACGACTATCAAAAACTGCAATAACATAGGTAGTAATAATTCAATGGCCATTCTTACTAGATTTACTGTCATCATATGATCGTAGTTGTTTATTAAAAATATTAACTGTTCCTTTCGATGCTGAAATTCTGCAGCCATTCTCAAAATGAAGTTTTCTACTTCCATTTGCAATTGCCCCATCAATTTCATAGCCTATGTGAAAAAAAAATTGAGGATAAAGTTTATTTACGTTCAAATAAAAAAGATGAAAATAACAAGGGGTAAATCAAACGTGAATAATGATGATTAAAAGTATTAGCGTAATACCTTTTCATCTGCATGAAATTCATTAATTGTTAATATAGCTTGACAAAAGTCAGTATATCGGCGGGCAACCTAACAGAAAATCTATCTGTTTATATCGGCAGCACTTGAATGAATAAATTACAACATCTAGTCGTGTGGAATCTTGCAAAATTTGTATATATACTTACGTAATGAGGCCTAATATCGATATTGTTGACTTTCTGTGGGTCAATATCCCTAATACTTTGTATATTAAGCTCCATAATATGTGCAAATTTAGGCCAAATATTGGCAAGCAAAGAGTTCCAGTACCTTCAAAATGGTAAGTATATAACATGAATTACATCTTAAAAATTTGATAATGGATAAGCGATACTGTCAATTGTTTCCAAGGAATAATAATAGTGATAACTTTACTTTTCAAGGCATGGAATATTCTTCTTCTCCATCATTTCTTGGTAGCGATATGCAAGATGCAAGCACAATAATACACCAATTCCATCATAACATCCTTCTAAGTACATATCAGTATATTTCTATACATCAAGATATTTGGTTAGTCTTCAATTACAGCCCATATAAAAATCTTTACGTAACTATACTGTAATTTAAATTGCAATAAAGTTACCAAATATAAGTGAAGTGTTTTTCCTAATATGCTGGTAAATAAATCTTGTGCGCGTGAGCCACTTGCATTAAAGAAATCAACTACAAATTGGTATTCACGGCAACAGTTATCCGCCAAAGCGAATTGAACACTTCTAAATATATTTTCTAAGGAATGCTATTAATAGATAGATAGTTTGCAATGTCAGTAATTTAATTTGGAAACATAATCTAGATCCTAGAGAAATGTTAAAATGACAAACCTTTTTATCTCCTTTACCAGCAGTATGAGGTACAATGATTGGATCATTCAGTTCAGTTGTCAAGACGCATATTCGGTGTCCTAAACAAAATATAGCTGATCGATTTTTTACGACCGTTTTAACTGAAAACAGGGTTACTTCATTGTCAAGGACTATCTTATTAACTTATTGATTGAATTGTGCTACAATGAAGTAAAAAATTAGAAAGAGTGCATAAAGCACATTAGAAAGATATCTCGTCTAGTAGAATCTTCTGTTCCTATTAAATCTTCCTTTTCAGCGATAGTTTCTATCTGTAAATACACATTCAAAAGATGCAAGCTTCGTTTTGGCTCAATACTACTATTAGTATTACAATTACTATTCATAACTTACCGGCAATTTTAACAATTTTGTAATATATCCACGGAAATAGCAATAATAGATTTTGCTCATAGTTTCCAGGTAAACATCCCGCACTTCTGTGGCAACTTGACGATGATTCGACATAAGAAATTCATTAAAATATCTACAAGGAAGTAAATAGCAGAGTGTTAATTACTGAATAAATGAGTAGCGTCAATGACCTCTTCTGAAGGAAAAGTCTTACCTATAACGTAATAGCGTATCCTGTGGAACTTGATAGTTTGCCATAGGCTTACGGAACTGATAAATTTTGCCGAGCAAATAATCACGACATTTACTTACGGCCTAAAAATTAATGTAGGGGAATAATTTAATGGATTGCATAAAGGTGATAATAGGCGACAATGTCGCTGAAATATAACCTTCACTCTCAGTTTTTCGATGACATCCTTAACATCTTCGCAAGCCAATGTATCACGAAACATTTGCTCCTTTAAGAAATTAATTTTATGTGCTAGTTCGTGTAAACTTTCGATAAAAGCACGTTCGACTACAGAAGTCTCACAAATATGTCTAATAGATAAAGCAAGGTTGCAGTTAATTTTGCAGTATACAGTAGATCAATAAAAGCAAATACAGAATAAATAAATGATTCTATATACTGACTTTATAAGATAATCGCTAACAACCATTTCATCAACGAACTGGCTAAGTTCACTCCTAACCGACTGATGACATTGAAGAATTGTTAGTATTAATTGGATTTCATTATAGATAACTACATCAATAAATAACTTTATCATCTTCGTACAGCATAGATTGTACAAATTGAGTTACCTGTCGATTCTTTAATTTAATATTCATAGACATAGATTGCTCTTGTAAGGTCTGAATTTCTGTACTAATGCTACGCAAGTCAGTCTGTTATCGTTAGCAAGCAATAAATCCAAGTCTTAGAAATTAAACATATCATTAATACGTCTCCAGTGTAAGTATAAATAATGACCTGAAAGCTACTTAGCATCTGTTCCATTCGCTGGAATAGAAGAAAGAAAATGAGTTATTAGTATCATAAGCTGCGAAAAATACAAATTGATTCCTTATTTTGAGACATAAATAGATTTATCCGTACAATCTACAGTAATAATTGTATGCACAAGTACATCTGATTGACTACGAGTTCAATTCATGTTGATCAAAACATTGGTATTATCTTTAGAACGTAATATTGGTGAATCATTTTAAGAGCATCATGGAAAAAAGCAATGGTATCTCTACTCTCTCGAGTCCTATAGCTAACTTAGACAATATGTACAATTATAATTCTAAGGATAATCTAATGTAGGAGAAAATAAATACCTATCGGAGCGAAAAAAGTCTTGATTACAACATCGAGAGGCTAAATATGACTGTTAAGCTAAGACTTACACTAGGCATTGAAACAATAGTTTAAGATTTATAACAGTATTTAGCAGTAGACTGATCATTATGAACATTACCTCTAGGAGAGAGTCACAAGAAGCAATCTGATAATGTAAACTGGCAATATTTTCGCTTTCTTTGATATCTTTGTATATTAAGTCTTAGTTAAAGAGCATTGCTATATCACTTCTAATAAGTTTGATTGTTTACTTGAATGAATGTAGCAATAGTACGTTAAATGTTGTACAAAGTACGAGGAGGGGATACAATCTTGTATAGATGAATTCTCCACAACGCAAAGCTCACGCTGTATCTGTCGTGAGTACTGTCGTAAATCGACACCCTACATAAAATAGTCCAAAGGAAAGAATTCAACTGATGATATCAAAGCTGAGTCAAGCCTCTACCGATAGTGATTATACCGTTTTAAGTGCTTCTTGGACTAATTCATCTTCTAGATTTTCTTGAATATGCACTATCAATCAGAAGATATACTGACATCAATATATCAATAACGTTGTGGATTCGATGCAAAAGTATTGTTTTCACGATCATCAAAGTAACAGTACAGTCATCAAGATGATCTAATTCTCTAATGGATATCTCCATCAAAAACAAGATCCATTCCTGTCAAGATCCATTTCCTGTCATCTACCGTATAAAATATACCCTATACACTTACCATCCACTTCATCTAAAAAGTAATCGTCTTGCGAGGTTAAATCCAACTGGCCAAGTTCTAAATTGATCTGAGGCTATCCAACGCCAATACAAGTCGATAAAAGTGATGTTTTCAATCATCATGTTTTAAACATCAACTTGCAACTGCTTATTGAATCGTACTCTATGTTCTACTTTAACGATATCGCTTACCTCTTCCTCTCCATTTTCAAGTGTCTGCCTTGGTGTATCTTCTTTTTCCACAGCTCCTTCTACATCAGCCATATTGCTCCAGTTTTTCAAAGCCTTAGTGATCCGTCCGGCTACCATCCGAGGATATTCTTTTCTTCTCTAGTCCAATTTTAGTATACTGTCTAAAAGTGTAGTGCGATGACTAGAGTGTAGTATGGCATAGCACGCCGATGGAGTTGATCTACTATCATAGTATACTGTATCATTCATGTAAACGCGTATAGTATTACACTATAGCCATTCCAGTGTTTTCTTTCCATTACAATCGTGGTATAATTTCTATTGCAATTGAAAATGTTCCACAAAAATCATTACTCACTATCTACTGTACTCTACAGGACTAGAATCCTATACAGTTTACCCCCAAGCCTATTCAACTTTGTTCATCAACTCCGCCAATATCTGCCCTAAAGAAATCAATTCTGATTTTCGTCTATCTCTACTCGTCTTCTACGATAAATTGGGAAATGAAATCATAGCAATCCGATCTTAGTCTTCGTCCTGATATATTATGTAGTATTTTAGGTGGTGATTAGAAGGATAGAAGCCAATGAAATCACTGCGATATTGAAGCCTTTGCAAGCAAAATCGCTCCTGAACGATATTGCATTTTTCGGATTGTAGATGGATAGAAATCAAAGTTGTATCTTGGCAATCGCCAATTCCGATGGAATTAATTAGGGATTCCTTTTCTTGATAGCATGTACTGTACAGATTCGAGTACCTTCTATCCATTACAATCCTTACTTGCTATTGCAACTAAAAATGGTACACAAAATCTTACTCATTATATACCGTACAGTAGAATGTACAGTTTAGCTTCAAGGCTACTTCGTAGGTAAACATTGGCAATATCTGCCCTAAGGAATAATTCTAATTTTCGTCTATATGTGTTATAATGCCGGGATTGACCGTAACATATGCACTCGTCTTCTACGATAAATTGGGAATGAAATCATAGCAATCCGATCTTAGTCTTCATCCTGATATATTATGTAGTATTTTAGGTGGTGATTAGAAGGATAGAAGCCAATGAAATCACTGCGATATTGAAGCCTTTGCAAGCAAAATCGCTCCTGAACGATATTGCATTTTTCGGATTGTAGATGGATAGAAATCAAAGTTGTATCTTGGCAATCGCCAATTCTGATGGAATTAATTAGGGATTCCTTTTTCTTGATAGCATGTACTGTACAGATTCGAGTACCTTCTATCCATTACAATCCTTACTTGCTATTGCAACTAAAAATGGTACACAAAATCTTACTCATTATATACCGTACAGTAGAATGTACAGTTTAGCTTCAAGGCTACTTCGTAGGTAAACATTGGCAATATCTGCCCTAAGGAATAATTCTAATTTTCGTCTATATGTGTTATAATGCCGGGATTGACCGTAACATATGCACTCGTCTTCCACGATAAATTGGGAATGAAATCATAGCAACTCAATCTTAGTCTTCGTCTTGATATCTTATGTAGTGTTTGTTTTAGGTGGCGATTAGAAGGATAGAAGACTCGGAAATTACTGCGATATTGATGTATTGCAAGCAAGATCGCTCCTGAACGATATTGCATTTTCTGATCCTATACGGATAGAAATCAAAGTTGTATCTTTGCAATCGCCATCTCTCATCCGATTAATGAGAGGTTCGCTTTCTTGATGTCATGTACTGTGTAGATTCGAGTACCTTCTATCCATCTATCCATTGCAATCCTTACTACCTATACTGTATTATAATAATATCACCGACTAGAATCTCTTTCCACACTCTCCAAAATCTACAGTGACCAAAGTTAAAGTAGAGATCTGCTGATATAATTCATCCATGACTAGCAATCGAAATGTTTCTAGTGCATGGCAACTTACTTTGGGGCAATATCGATGATTCGATAGGACTTGCTAAGGAAAATCCACGCGGAATCTCTCATGTCTTAACAATCGATGCACAACCAGTCAAAGAGCTCGATAATTTATCATTGCATGTTAAATTTGTCCAAGCTTTAGATACTCCATTTACCGACTTACTCGATCAAATCGAAGACTGTATCCAGTTTATAAACGTAGGCATGGATCAAGGCAAAGTTCTCGTCCATTGGTAAATACTACATAGAATTGCTCTACCTTATTTCGATGATGCCAAATCATGCTATCGCAAAAGTACTTTTGCAAAAAGCTGATTTGTTAATAATCATTAATTTACAGTACTGTATCGTCATGATTATAATTCATGAATCGAGAAGCAATCATCAGCACAGCGCAATCAACATCTAGATAGTTACTTTGTACGACATAGTATCGTCAATTTCATGTATTATAACTTCATTACCATTAGAACTAGGAGTGCACGCTAGAGCAATGTCAATGTCAACAAAAATCATGAACGTTTGAGCATACTGCTCCAACTAGCATTTGCCGCAAACATGATCCAATCCTGTTGGCAATGAATATTGTACCCAGTCATCTCTACAGTCTATAAACACGCAAAGTAGCTCGTCTGTAACACTTACAGATATTTATTACATCTCAATATGTGTAGACCAGCAATCCAATGCTTTTATCCTTATATTTTAGTACAGCTGGGCTATCCAGAAGTGCTTTTGTCCTGATTGCGTATCTTATGAAGATGGAAGAAAAGCCATATACCGAAGCTTATAATGCTCTTAAATCGATTAATGCAAACATGTGGTAAGAATTAATTAAAGGCAACTTAAAGTTAATTCAGGGACTCGCTGCTTAACACATGTCAAGCTTAGTCTAGCAATTTTCTGTTTAAGTCTCAATACTAATAGCCTGATCATTGACGGTGACCAATTGATAGTCACGAGTTGAAATGGAATTTGCAAAGTATAGTTTCAATAACATAAAGAGAATCTTACCCTTATGCTTGACCTAAATACTTTGGATTAATTCAATAGTCCCAATGTAGGATTTGTTCAACAGTTACAATTATACGAAAAATTAAATTGCAAAATTAAACCATCCGATGCTGAATATAGAAATTATCAATTGCAAAACACAGCAAGAATGTATACAGGTTAGCATGGTATTATCTCATACGATTCATTTATTATGCATATGTAGCAAATCATAACCAAATAATTAGTTACTCTAGATCCGTTATAGCAGTAACAATAGTCACACTAATCATATTCAAGGTACTCATACTGCAAACATTTTCATTCATAACGTAGTACTTGGCGATGTTAGTAAAGTTAAATCATTCATTCGTAGCTCTCATCATGGCCTACTAAATGGAAAAATTGTATATAAATGTAGAAAATGCAGGTAAGAATCGATTGAGGTAAATGAATAAGGATATGAAATCTATCACAGATAGAGAAAAGTATCGATTCTACAGCGGCATCCATGTTTATTACTTAATCAAAATAGGTCATTACTATACTCAGAAAATAATATTCTAACACATTCAATTGGCACTGGACAAGGGGCATTCAAGTGGAGAAAACGCAATGCAAAAAATAATAATAATCAACAACATGATGTCTCAGTATGTAGTTCCTATTTCATACAACCATTGCCATGGATGGAATCAGTTATTGTTGGAAATGTGGAAGGAAAAGTATGATTTATATAGTGTATCAGTAAGAACTCTCAGTGCAGGATCTTCATAGCTCTCTTTCACAGAAATATTGTCACAATATCCATAATTTATTACTATAATAACATAATTTTTGAATATTATCGACCTAGCTCTCATGCCCTAAATGTAATAATCGTATTGGTTCATTCAACTGGGCAGGTAGGCTAATTTATCGTTGTGCTTATTCCTATGCTGAAGTCGATAAGACTAATAGTGGTAATAAAAACTGTTTGTAACATCAAATAGGTTCACAGTGTTCTTGCGGAGCTTGGATTACACCTTCCTTTCAAATTCATCGGAATAAAATTGATGAATCAAAGTAGTTACTAGGATACTGTCTTAAGAAGCAATTAAGTATACAGTTTCCTTTTTTACTTGGAAATCATCAATATCCCATTTTATCAAGTTATTTGCTAATGATATCAGATATACTGGTCTAAAGCGCTTGTAACACTCTTGTTTTGTATTTTTCCTAATATTTTAAATAAAAATAAATTAAACATGTCTGAAATTTTCCACTGTAATAGATCAAGCCAAAGGCCATGTAGCCATTCAGTCTCGCTTCCCAGATAGACACTTGATACGTATTCTAGAGATTCCACTACAATAGTATACTTGCTACATCGATTCAATGGTTTTATGAAGGTTAATCATTGTTAGTGATTTAAATAATCGATATCTCTTGCATCTGTATCATTTATCACATCTGACAGAATTTATTAAGCAAGTGATATCAACAAACTTCGTCAACTAAAGTCCTAAACTGTTTTAAAGCAGCAACTACAGAATATTCATCTGTGTTATACACTGTACATGCATGAAATAGTTCTCGTTAACTTGATACTGAACATTTATTATCACTATATCACTCGCCAAAGGCGAGCAAAATAAACTTTGATGCAGAAAACAAGTGATCGTCCCTTTGACATTAAATGTGTTTCCTACTTTATCAAAGTTTTTGAGAATAATATACACCATATATAGTTATTTACACTCGATGCTAACGGTGTTAGATCAAGAATTTTCAAACAGTGTATTAGTGAATATTCTGCTTTGAAGACAATTTTATCATGATGGTTACAAATCTTGTAATACCAATTTGAAATAGGTTATATAAATAGTAGGCTACTTATCAAGATCCGTACCACAAACAATGTAGTGATATATTTGCATCAAGTTGTAGTTTAAAATATTGGATACATAGAAAAGATTTGTGAAAAATATTAACAGAGATTGTAAAGACAATACAGCTCAAGGAAAAGTACGCATCAGTTACGAATAAAAGTATATCTTTATAGTACCTTTCATAAATTACTTTTAAATAGAAATAAGAATTTAGATATGACTCCTATCATTAACTGACATTAATATTGTAAAATCATTTGCGTTTTTTGTCACGAATAGGATCTGATCCAGATATCTAGACCGGTAGCCATAGATTTCGCTGAGTAGTCTCAGGATAATCAGAAGGCGTAACCTAACCATAAGTTAAACACATTATTTTATTGTCTACTCTATGAGAGTTAATTACACTGAGCTACAACTCAAAGAGTTCTCGAAAAAATTTCGCGTTTGAAAATATGTAAAAATATTTTGTACTGTAAAAAGACTGTACCATACAAGTTTATACAGTATTTACCTTGTCTAGGCGATGGTGATTAATTACACCATTAATTCCAACCCGTAAGACCGAAAAGCATTCAAAATATCTAAAAATTTAATATCCACGACAAAAGATAAATTATAACACAATGGCATTCATTTGCAGTGATGTGCATATAGTAGCACTGTTTACCTGTTATACAACTAAAGTAACATTAACATATGCATAACTACAATAACACTTTGTGCTGGAATATTACTGGATATCGGTAAATTAAACTAGTCAACAGGTATGCACACCTCATCATGGCAATACTACAATATTTGAAATATACCTGCATTTGGGCGATTGAATAAATGGCCAAATTAGTAATGCAACTTGATGTCGTGGAAGTCCAGTTACTCTCCATCTAATACGAATAGTTCCATCGTCGTGATGCTTGGTAATTTTGAGTACATCAAAAACTAAATTACAGCAGTAAGCTCTGCACATTCCTTTCATCGTAGCGACCATCATTTTGTATGATGTTAAACCCCTACAGAACATCCATTCAGAACATGTACATAACCTGTTTCTATGATACCCACAATGCTATTACAACATCAGTATTAAAAAAAGTAAACACTGCAAATAATAATGCAACAAAGGATCATTCTGCTCTCTCTAGCAAAGCAAGACCGTCCATAATTCATCAGTACTAACCTGACTTTAATATTTAATAGTTTGTTTTCGAAGACAATATTATCACTGTAAATACTATAACTCTGCTTTGCAGTAAAAAAGTCTGGAAGCTAGATAGACCATAAAAGAAGAGATTGGAAACCATTTATCCACATGTTGTTTAATTTTGATATTGAATTATTAGAAAATGGAAATAATTTTAAAGCCAATTACATATTACTAGCTAAATGCTACTACGTTCTATTACCTCAAATGAAAGTCTCTCTCTGATTACTTCCAACTGAGCTGTTGATGGAAGTGTCTTAGTATCGTCTTTAAGTTTCTTTTCACTTTTACTATTTACTATTGATTGCTCTTTACAGCACTGATGATTATCAGATATTGAAAGCGTCCAAGCTGGAACAGAATGATTCATCATTACCTGTTCAATATTGTTGACTTGTAGCATAGGAGAGCCATGATATACATATGATGGATCCTTCGATTGGGGTAGTTTATTTCGATGATATCCCTTTGAAATCCAATTATTTAATCCTAACTCACAATGTAAATGATTGCAATCATTTATTACACGACCAGCTAATTTGTCTTTTATTACAGGTAGCTTGACACCAGATTTCATTTTATCACTGTCGGTTAAGAGAGTCGAATTGCTGGAGTTTTTTGATCGACGCGTATTGACGATGCCATGGTTCCATGATGCTTTGTTGGATGTTGGATATGCCATCAGCGAGGACGAGTTTTTACGATAAGCGCTCATATCATTACCAGGTGGGGGGCAAGCTAACATGAATGATTCCTGACAATCCAATGGCAAAAATGACAGACGATTATTAAAAGCCTATTTGACCTTCATCAAGACCTACTGTATCTAGTACAATGGTTTACTGGCCTCATTGCCTATGCAAACCAAAACGGAAACAATCTGCTACTATTCGAGTACGAGAGATTATTAGACTGGCCAGACGAAACTTATTGATCGTCTTTCTATCTTGTAGCATCAAAATTATTGCATATAAACATGGCTATCATGACTCGATCGATTTTCATTCATTCATTCTAATTACTTGCGCAAAGTTGCTATTAGAATGATAGCGACTAATAACGCCATCATCCTATCGGATCCGATCAATGCAATATACACCACTACCGTTTAACGTTGCTATACAGTGCTATCGAAAAAAATGAGACAAAATCATGAACGGATGGATTACCTTATGATTGGCAACAAGAGGCGATTGCCAAGTAGTTATCTGTCGTTGATGATTTATCTTGGATTGCAACCTAGACAGTCCAGTATTCGTAGGGTAATAAAAGTCACGGAAATGATGATTTGGTTGCCATGTTGAAGAATTCTCATCATAGTAATGATGATGAAATTGGCATGATGCCGAGTAGGCGACACGTCGTAGAGGATAATGGCAGCTACGACTACTCGTTCCAACCGATAGTAATGCCATCAAAACTCAGTTAGAATATTGGATAGGATAATTAACAATAGATGAATCGAGTAGATGAGATCAAAATTATTTAAATCTTCTCAATTGGAAGGCATTTGCTGTACCTTTGGTGCATGCAATGGCTACTGTCAATCCATGTTGGAAGAGATTATCGTAAGCTCTTATATAGCCGCTATTTCCTATCCTTTTCTATACAATAATATATCACGCTAACACATGTATCGAACCACTATCTCTTACTGATGTCTTCAATGACGAGGTCAAAAGCTACAACCAATGAAAATACAGCAAAAGGATGATGCAAACGATGAAGGCGTTGCTGCATGGAGTAAGTTGCCGCCTGGCTATCAAGCGTTGTGTCAAGCCTCCGCAGTCTATAGTCTTGACTAGAAATCCCAATCGATCTGCAATTCTTGTCACAGTGTAAACGAATGGAATCCAGCCTGTTCAAGACAGATGTCACCCTAGAAGCGGCTCATTCGGTAATAGACCTTATACTCTTAGGACATCGTAGTGACACATTTTTTGTTGTGGTCGTGTTGACACCGGTTATTCTAAAAAGATGTCACCCCGAAAGTGGATCGCTGACTTAATGGAGCCAGTATTTTTGCTACGTTACGCTGACATCTTTTTGCTCTCAATTTATACAAACAGTGATAGTACTTTACTCAGATCCCAAGATCTCTCAACCTGCCTACTGACGAGTGTACAGTGGACAAGCAAAGGGAACAGTACAGTAAATAATCAAGTTGATCAGGAATCATCCATGGCAGGAGCTACTACCAAACTGCAAATCTTCAACCGTTACATCGGTTTATATAGACTACAAATAAGACTATTGATCCTCTATATTGTTTGGCTCACTTGCTAATAGAAGATTATATTTTGGGGACGTCGTAGAGACATATTTTTTGCTCTGGCCGTGCTGATACCGGCTATTCTGAAACAGATGTCACTGCAAAAGTAGCGAATTTACTGGTAGAGTCACTAATTTTAGGCTATTAAAGTGACACCTCCTTTGCTCTCATTTGACAGAGTCTTCAGTACTGTTACTCAGATCCCCGGATCTCTACTGTACAGTACAGTACAATGCGTACAGTGTACAGTATAGTACTGTACTGTACACTGTACACTGTACACTGTGTATAGTAAACATTCCAGCTCATCAGGAATTATGGCAGGAGCTGCTACCAAACTGCAAATCTTCAACCTTTACATCGGCTTATAAAGACTACAAATAAGGCTATTGATCCTCTATATTATTTGGTAGAGCTATGGCTAAGATTCCGTCTGCTATCCCATCATTTAGACAGGTGAAATTTGAATAATAATATCATTAATTGCGTCATTTTTGATGGGTTATATTATCGATTGCCTTTGCAAATACTGTACTGCCATATTTGCACAATATGTGCTCAGACGACATGCTCTATCTTTGTACACTCTTTCAACGATGAACAGCTATCTGCCTCATGTTAATGTATCTATTTATCTGTATTTGGCGATTACAAAATGGGTAAACATAGTTTATGCTGCGAAGCCAAGTACTGACACTATATAGGGACATGCTGAGAGTTATACGCCGAATTGAAGACCAAAACCAGCGACGTGACATGACGCAATGGGTTCGAGCTGAGTTCGATAGGAACCGGCACCATCAAGACCAGGTTATATATATACTTAATTCGTAGAGAGTGTGTACGTCCTTACTACAATAAGTAGATTGAGGATAGGATAAGAATTGAATTTACTAGGATGTAGTAAATCACATGTATAAGATGACGGTCATAGTTTTGCAGGAGACACTAAATTCGTCGCGAGATATCAAATGTACTACTCACTTAATCGAGTTTTTGCCATATCTTTGCACTTTATCTACTGTGCTGTACAGTACTCGATCTCTAAAATATACTACTGTATTAATACCTTCAATCTTATATGGGTTCCTCCTTGATCCTAGGCATATCTACAGCACAGTACATACCACCTAGTCGAATTGCAACCATATCTTTATACTTTTCAACTAGACTTGATCAAATAGACGATTAACAACCTCAGATCTCTTATGCGTATATTCTAACATACAGTACAGTATGTAGGTATGCTTATGTATCTTATTGCTTGTCGCAGTAGCAAATTAACTTAACGTGACGTGACTAGATAATATTATAGTAATATGAGTAAGTTAATGCTTAGTAAAGTACTAACGCTGCTAGCTATAATAGAATACAAATCATAGAAGATTTCGATCATACTACAGTATTAGCATATCTTAGCAACTGTACTCGAATCTCCAAGTAGACTATTAACATCAGATCTGTTATATGCTCGTAGGTGTACCTACGCCTTGTAGTAGTAAATTAACGTAACATGCACAAATAACATTGCTACAGTATTACTAAGTCATAATGACGAAAGCATGTGGGCACTTTACGCGTAGGTTAGTTATAATACCAAACAATACCTGTTGTAATAAACATACATATATAATTACACCTACAATCTCAGTCTTTATTCATAACTGATTAATTAATATAAATATAGCTGCATCTTGAAGCCTGTTTGTGCATATCTTAATTATTGTAACTTGCGCTATCATAATGGTAACAACTCTATTTTTAATTGACAGCAAACTATTCGAATGTTAATCTCTCAAGGTCGTGTTTCCTTACGAGAATTGTCGACTACTATCAAAATAACTGAGTAACAAATCGTATCTTTTCTCTATCACTGTAAAATTATTATTAATAATGTATATTCTCTGAACAAAACATTATATTGTACCCGTATGCTATACTGCCTACTGTAACAGGTAAACTAAATCAAACACATGCTCAATTACTCAATTTCGTAATTAGAAATCATTCGGGAGAATTATTTTCTTGATACGTATATCTATCTAGAACTGTCATGCAATATAAATATATCTTTTCTTGTTTTATTTGTGTTGCTATTAAAACATTTCATACAGAAATAAATAAAGAACATTTGTACCATAAAAAAGTACTTTTTAAGAATCAAATCATCTTCAGTTATAAATGATCAAATTCCTTTTGAAAATTAGTGAACGTACGAATAAAACATCCATATAACAGTCAAGCTCATTTCAACAGTAATTCCATTTAGCTATTCGTAATAAATTACTTGTACAGTACTAATTATATGTCATGATTTATTTGAATACAATTTCGCCTATATTTTTAAAACTTCAAATGTAATTTTCTTTTGCTAAATCTTTTCGAATAAATGAAACTTGTCGTTTTATCTTTCCATTCTCGATATTTTTTGATATCAAAATATTGACTAATCATTTCGGAACCTAGACATAGTGCATCATCATTAGAATTTATACTATATCAATTCTATTTCAGAATCAAAGTTCAACATTTATCTGCTACTTACCAGCTTGTGATTGCTCAACAGGTGCTGAGATAGTTAGTTTAGTTGGCTCCATAACCTTCTGAATGAGTTGCAATAGCTATGAAAATTATCAATAAATAGAATGATTAACTTGCGGTTAATTTCAATAACACGCAACAAAACAGGCATAATGAATACTTCTGTCCTTCCTTTGCAAGTTGTAATTATATAAATTAGGCTTAAATATCTATAAACTTTTCAAATTAGTTATTCGTATCACTGCGACCTTAGAATACATTGATTCATACTAATATTATTCAATATCATGGACATAATTCGATATGAATTTATTTTAAATTACTGTGTCTTCAACAGTTAACTAGCAGATAGACGCGCCTCACTTAGTGCATACACCAATATTTGAATATATCGCCTAACTGTTATTCTAAACAAAATTAAAATTACCTCATGCCCACTACTTGTTCCAGTTAGATTACACCCCATAACATGCACAGACGTTACATTGGGTCCTAATTTACTCATAATTCGGCTAACATCGCGAAAGAATCTAATGTTTGTATAATCCAGAATACAGTTAAAATCAGTAATTATTATTTTAATATCAAAGAGATCCAGTACCACTATCTTTAGCAATTCCATTTTAACAGCAGGTGCACATGCCATCCATAGTACGCTATATACTGTATATTCAGTATATATTATAACTTACTGAGCGATTGGGTCGTTATAAACTAGTTTCTTATCCGTAATAACTTCATTTCTTAAGAAATATATGTAGCCAGGTCCTCCCTGTGTTGATTGACATAAATACTTATTAACAGAAGATTTCTTATTATCCTATCATACTCTCTTCTTATTATGTAGTTTAAAACCTATCAAATCCAATACCTTGCAATATAAAGCTAACGACTTGATTCGACAGCCATCCTTGTATTGATTTACCCTCTTATTAATTTCCTCTGAAAGATAATATTTTAACACATTAATTCCTTGTCGCACGTATTTTCCATTCTATTAATCAAGTTAACCGCTTTACAGTATAGACATTTAGCAAAAGAGGTACTCGACGCTTAACTATAACTTGCAACTAACCAATTAGCGAATCGAAGGTAGCTTTTTGAAAGTCCTGGTATTAAAATAGCAGAATTAAAAAAGCTGTTCAGTTTTTGCGATATTAATTACACTTGTCAATATCATAATTCAAAGCATCTTTTAGATATATTCTATTTCTAAATTATAGTTTTCGGTTAATTACATAATGGATGATTATAGTATGTTTCAGAGCGGCTCGTTTTAGGCCATCACCAAACTGAATGCTCGAAGATAGAAGCTATAGTAACAAATTGTTAGAAAGAATAATAATATTGAAAACCTATTTGCAATCGTCCGGTCGTTAATAGTTATTGAAATATGAGTATTTATCCTAGAATTATATCGGTCATGAACTTACCACCACACGCGGCGGATTAAAATTCTCGCCTAATGATAATTCATACTAAACGAAGAGTTCAGAAATAATATGAGTTTAATTTTGACTGTTTAACTCCAACCATAAATAAATTAGTATTACTGTAAATTTTATATAAAACAACACATTCAAATCTACAAATAGATAAATTTTTGGCGTCAATTCTTCAACAAATCAATGAATTTTATACTGCTATTAAATCAAATCAAATACATCAGCTGTCAAATAAAGAGGATATGATATTACGATAATTGTAATACTGCCATCATAACTTTTAATTATATGTCCTTTTAAGTATACAATTATAAGAAAAACTGTCTTAATTAAGCTTTCATTTCCTTAACTTACATGAACTTCTGCATGATAACGCAAGCGTTCAATTTCATTTTGATATTGTACAAAATCGCTCCTTAAATTATCACCTAAGATTAATTACAAACAACCATTAATAGGCACAAATAAATGCATTAAAAGGATGATAAATCATCCGTAATCGTACTTATACCGTAAACTAATCTACAGATCAGCTAATGCTATTTACCTAAGGCAATACTATCATCGGCCAACATTTTTAACGTCTCATGTCTTAATTTTCTAGCTTCGTTACTTTCAGTAAACTTAGATCGAGGTAGTAATGATTTATTATTAGATGTAGTATGATCAATATTACTCTTCCCAACCGGAGATGTGGAACGAATTCTACGATATGGAGATGATTCTCGACTACTTTCATGACTTGCTGCTGAATCATTATTTTGTCTGCTGGCAGGCGATTGGCTTAATTCTTTCTGACTGCCTCCATTAACTTTAGACGGGGATCCTGCTCGACTTCTCCTACCAGTTTTAGGTGATGATTGCTTATAATCATTTTTACCTAATCTGGACGCAGAATCTCTAGTAGAATATCCTCTAATGTTTTTTCTGCCTTCTCCTGCTGTTGCCATTCGACCTGAACTACGACGACTTGCCGACCCTTGACTGTTGCTTTGACGATTTTTACTTCGTGATCCTGATCGATTGCTGCCATTTTGCAACACTCTTGGAGTTAAAATAATATCCTAAATTATTGGATATAATAAAAAATTTGAAATTAAGTGCATTAGATAAATGTTATTGTTTAGCATTAAAATAAAAATATCGGTTAATCTATATTCATCAATAAACTTTAAAAATTAATATATTTACTCTTGTATAAGCAGGTTCTAAATCATCTAATGTTAGTAATTTGGTTTTTATTCCATCTCTGGGGCTTTCGTCAGAGTCTTGTCCGTTTATGTTATTCTGGTGAGATTTTAGCTTACTTTATATTTACCATTGATATAGATTTGCATAATTAGGAAATTAATTTAGTTTATTATTGAAAATTTTCTCACAGATCTATATCCATTATAAACAATAAATTGAAATACCTAGAATTAAAGTTTTTAACAGCATTTGCGTATTCATTAATTCTGCTCTTAATGATATTGCCCTTAGGATATCTGTTAAAAATGGCATAGATTCATTAGCATATTACAGTATACAATTATATTATTTGCTAAATTAAAGCATTATTATTTAAAATTTAAACATCCACTACTGCTTAAGTAGAAATGTTACTCTAAAAGCTGAATTAGATTAGGACTTTTACTTGGTTGACTATAACGTGATAAAACACTATTTAATTCATCTCAATTGTCAAAATAAATAGCAACAATAAATTAATTTCAAAATTTTAGATTAATTAAGATACTACTCTTATTCTTATTAGCCACATCTAGTCATAATTACAATTAATAAATTGCTAACAGCAATAAATTAGCGAGAAAAATTCAATAAGTGATCAAAATTAAATTATTTCAATGTTACTAACGTATCATTGTAGAATACACAACGAGACAAATCACAAAATGTAATAGATGGCATGAGTGTAAAGTAAATATGATGAACTTTTTGGACTAACCTTTCAAGTTGAACTGCATCTCCCCTGAGATACGTGTATAATAATTTATCTTCCTTTGATGATCTATTAAGCTCATCATTTGCTATACCAGTCCTATGCAAATGATCACCTTCCAGTCCATCACTATTATGATGTACATAATCATCATTTATTCGCTTTCCTAACTCAAGTTGTGCTGTACTAGGTGTATAAGGTTGTAAAACTTGGCCACCATACCACCGCTGTGCATTTAATTCTATCGCTGTATTATAGGCAATTTTATTAACTGCAGCGGGATATTCTGATGCTGTTGGATTAAAATTTTGATCTGTATTTTTGTTATCAATAAAGGTAACATGAACTTTATTTTTGGGGGGAATTGCTGCATAATCATCATCAAAATGATTCAAGTTATCAAGAACTGGATGATCAACAGGTGGTAATCTTGCTACGAACGATTTTGTTTTTTGAGCAATGTAGCCCTCGTTAGCTAATATGAAAATTTTTAAATAAAAAAGAAAAGTGGAGTTTGTTAACAATCTTATTTAAAATAGTAATAATACATATCCTACTCTCTTCTTTACCTGTTTTGTACTGATAATGAGGAAATGATGTTTTAGTTATTTCTTTTTGAAAGTCAATTGCATTGCTGAAATTAAATAGAAGTTTAACATTATAAATCGACAGAAAAGTAAACCCCTTCCTACTTTAGAGAATTAGATGTGCGCTGTATTATGATGCTATACACATATTATGTTATATTATTTACCTCGATAGAAATGTTCGATGACTAGGTAACGAGCGTAATCCATCTTTTTGCGTTGATACTATCGTTCCCATTGTATTTATTTTATTTAGTAATTCTTACGTAGCCATTATCTACCGAACATAAATTTTATCGGCAGAATTATTATAGACATGCTAATATCTTTTAATTCATAAGCGAAAGATGTGCTATATATATCACCCTTATTTAAGAACATACATCCATTTAATTGACTGTAACATAGCTATAGATTGGAGAATATCTTATTTCACGACATACCAAATAATCTTCTACTATTTATCTAACATTATTTGGACTTTGATAATTATGGGGTGAATCATTTGTTAAAGTTGTTCAGTAAGGATTATGAACAAAATTATTATATGTATCATAGCATATAAGTAATAATATTTCAAGGGATTTACGTTAAGTAACATTTAGATTTTATAATTTTGAAACGGTAATGTATACTCTAGAATAGAAGGACTAGCAATATAATGTTATTATTCAGCAATATTGTATTCAAGAACAGATCTCTTGATATTCTGTATTACATATAGACAGCCATTTGTACGAAATTTTACGTTATATGATAATTGATTCATGTATCGCATATAACTATCTATTTATTACCTAATAATCATCACTAGAAATTATAAGAAGAATCAGAGCTTACCTAATTCTTGCTTGTAAGTTATCTTAGGGTTACGGCTCTAAAGCCTAACGCTGACGTTTTCGGTCCTATCGATCATAGCTTTTTTTCAGAAATGAATATCGTATAATATCGTCCAAAAGTCTTTCGAACGATGATTCTTCAAATTACTTGTTGATCAATCTACTAATAACTATTACAATAGTCTATTTGCTACAAATAATTAATAAAATAATAATATTATAGAAATGCCTCCGTCAATGTAAAGGAAACAAGATCGTATTGACTAAATTCATATATACTGTAACGTAAGACGTAGATAGTACGTAAATAAGAGAAAGGGAATGCGTTACCATGGTGACACGGAAGCGCTGTAACTATTCAATCGAGTAATATTAAGTAGTTAATTAATAGTTAAAATGATGTTAACAACGACACTGTGACTTCTCTACATGATTTTTTAAAGTATGTGAAGTTAATATATATATATTATTATTTTATACCCGCCAATCTCGCACGGCTATTGCTTTAGCTTTTGATAATGGAGTCTATCTACTTTCTAGGGTTTACTCTTAGTTGAAGATACATAACTTTGTAATAAAAATCTAAAATGATACTAATAATCACAGTGTTTTAAATTTAATTTTAGAGCTTAATAACAGCGTATCAAGTTGGGTAGTACTCAAAATTGATCGTTATATTAAGAATGAGAACTGTCTTATAACTTTTAAAAGTTGATTCTTAGCGGAAATTACTGCGCGATTTCAGACTTCAGTGCTCTCGCTTTATCAAGATTAGATATAAGTAATAACTTGCATAATAGATATCACATATCACTAGACAATGTCCCCGTAAGATATCCATATCAATGCATAGCATGTATCAACAGAATTTATCATCAGTTGTTTCAATCTAAAAGTCTCCTTTATCACTTTGTGGACACCGTACAATTTTATGCTTGCGTACTATGGTAACTGTGATTTATTTCATTTTTAGTGGGAGAGCTTTCAACTTTTAAGTTAATGAACTTTAACATTTCTTGCCGTAATACTCTATTATATATAATCGTTTAGTACAAGAATTGTTAAAAGACCTGCTGCTGTAGGAGCATCATGATTTAGCTCTCTATGAGAGCTTAGTATCATAAAATGCAAGCTATAGTATCTTCACTAACAAATTACCCACCACATATTCCGCATTTATATCAATTATATGACTTAGCAAGCCTTAGTCTAGTGATTGTTCAGACGCCAGTGATACACATGTTTTATTAAGAGTACCCAGCAATGGTATATGTAAAATAATCTAGAAAGTCTCGTGTAAATATGCCATTAACGTAATAGAGTTGAGAATCCATTGACATAGTACCCTGGTATCAAAGCTGCTAAATCTAGTTTTAAAACTTTATGGGCATCAATTCTTATAAGTAATGCAGTGATAAATAATTTAAAATCGTCTGCAACGAGTGGTTATCATGGCTGCGAATACGTTATCCATATCGTACGGGGGGGGGGGCATAATAAAGCCTATTTGATTATTTATGTACAGTATACAAATTATTGTTAGGTGATAGTTACATGAAATAAAGAACCTCTTTACATTTATAATGCTTTATTTTCGTCAGTTTTCTCAGATTGAGTAAGATATTAACAGACTTTTTCAAAAACACCAATTCATCACCGTACTCATCATGATTATATCGCAATATCTAATTCTTTACAAGCTCATTACAGCAATGTTTTTCGTTTTGTCGTCACGCAGTGACTTAGACAAGACTATAGTAATGAGTTATATTTAAATGTATTGATTAAAGCAGCTCATATCCAATAACTATAATTAATTGATGCCTACTACCATATCCTTTACTATATTTATAGGTAAAGTTGATTTAAAAAAATTGCGTTGTATCTGTGAATCATTCGACAATATCGTATAACGCAAACATTCGAATAAATAATGTAAGAACTTTATGAAAAATTGAGTGTCTCGAATTCTTTTCACTATCATAACAAGCAGTCATCTGCATTTGCACTTCTAGGTTGCACCAGGGAATTCGCAAAATCTTGATTATAATTATTGGTTATGCCTACAAAGGTACAGAATGTCTGTCGGATAGAACATTTAATTATTCGTAAAATGAAGCGTTCTTTTAATATTACCGAGACAACATATCTACTTAATAGTAATCATTTGCAGCAATTAGAGTATATGTATTTCTGTTAGATGCATATTGTACAAAAGTTATAATGAACTAGATGTAGTACGAAATTTCTTTAGTTGCATTTGAGCTTAGCTTCGCCTAATAACCACTGGCAGCAACTATCCAGAACATAAGCTAAAATAAAATCAGCTACTAGGACACTTGCCAATTTGTTTCGTAACTGAAATAACATGCAGGATAAAAAGCATTATATTATGAGAAAATTAAGTCATTACAGTACCCAAATAATTCACACTTACTTCAACTGGTATTTCTACAATCTCAAATTGGTAGCTTAATTCAGGTGCTAATCCAACCGCTATCAGCCCAATAACAGTTGATGAAAGAAGAATACTGTAGAGTAGCGGCTTATTCTCTGTAAGGCTAGCCATAAAAGGGTGACCCTAAGAAGCATTATTTCCATAAATTTTAAGCTTTCAGTATATCGAACGTCTTACACCAAATATTTTTTAACACTTGTTGCTACACATTAATATATTAGAAAATAACTTTATAATTAGACAGATATTTATCATACCCGGTGATTCACCGCAAACGTTGAAATTTGTAAAGTTATTGATATCAAATATACTACAGAGTTGATCAAATTCGGTTCAAATTTTGCGTCCAAATTCACAAATTTTTCTTCTCTATAATATTTATATCATATATATGAATTATTGTGTCATCACAACGATGTTGAAATAGGAAAGCTTTTATTCATACCTTGGTGGAACTAAAGCTTTAGCTTCTTGAACCAGGTATACCAAACAAGTAAAGTGCACAAAAAATTGAGACAATACCGTTAAAATAGTATAAGTGTTGAAAATATTTGGCAAAGGTCTTTGCTTTGACAGAGTATGCAACGGCTAACGAAAAAACAATAGATATACGCTGTTATAAAAAGTTTTTAATAGCTAAACCGACCATTATAATATAAGAAATTAATAAGAGATTGGTGATATAATTAAAGCCACAACATACGCGTATACCTTCGATCGAGAGATAAACAAGAAACACCCAGCAAGCAAAACACCCTGCAAAGTCGCTTGACTACAAGAATAACCGATGGGTAATAGGTCTTAATTTCAATATTTTACACAGTTTATAAGCTATAAGGATATCTATATTCATTATTAGAAATGGAAATATTTCAGATCCCGGTAAGCACCTGTCACTAAATTTAATTCCATCTAGATATAAAACACTTTGGCTGTAAGCAAGAACAAGCGCATTAAGAGCCAAAATCTTGAACATTTGCAACGTTGTCACCAAGGTACAACGACCTTGGCGAATAATATGAGTAGCTGTAAGGGTGAAAATGAGAAAATCTATTTAGTAATTCTTACAATTAAGCATTTAATAAATCATTCATCATATATATAGGCAAACATTATTTCTTACTACAGATAGTAGATGAGAATTTGAATGTGAAAGGGGAAGCAATAGATGCATCACCAAGTTTGACAACAGATGGTTGATCTCCTTCGTCAATGTCTTTTAACAGCTTTGCAACCGATTTCTAAAATAATATTGAATCTATTAATTAAATATTTGAGCATATGACACATTATAAGAAGCTTCTTAATAAGCCAGTTACCTCAACGGAACTGTGCTTGTCATTTTTTGATTTTGATTGCTCAATGGGCCTTTTAGTTCTTTTGTCAATTAAAGATTTTTTATTGGATGGTGGAGATTTCTTAAGTTCATCAGTATCGCCATTGTCGATCTATCAAATAACAATATTATAACTATTTCAATACAAATCCAAACTGTAATCAAAGTTAATTAACTTCGTGTAACTAAGTATTTGCTTCTTACCGGTAAATCTTTCCCTGACAGCTCGAACTTAGTTGCAGCTTTTGGTTGAGGAGCATGAGTTAATAATGCAACACCTACAGTGAACCACGAAAGAATGCATTAATTTATACGACAATTTTCAGATACTAGTATAATATAAAAAGATTGATTTAATAATCGTTATATGACTAACCGACATTAGCATGTTTTAACGCTCCTACATCGTTTGTACCATCTCCACACATTAAGGTAATAAAGCCTCGTTCTCTTAATGTTGTAATGACAATTTCTTTTTGTTTCGGAGCCATTCGTGCGAAGACTTGTATAAACGGTAATAATGTTTCAAATAGGGTTCTCTTACCCTTACTAGTTTTAGTAGCAATAATTTCAGGTAATCCCTGCATTTTATTTGTAATAAACATATATAAATAATTTTATATCTTGACAATTGCATTCAACAGAAATATAATCGTAACATAAATTAAAACTAAATTTAACTTACCTCTCCAGTAACACATAAACAGTATTTCGATACAAATTCGTTCCTCTTTTCTACTTCCATTAGAGGCAGATTAATTGTTCTATCGATTGATTGCCACAACCAATCATCTATCATCATAAAATTTGATTAATATCTAATAAATGAGGATAGCAGTAATCCCGGATGTTACATGATTAATAGATAGCTGGAGTTACCGTTGTTTGTTTTCTTCAAAATAAGAGTAGGTTTTGTCACAATTTCTAATTCTTTAGCGACATGGCAGGCGGTCAAAGCACTATCGCCAGTGATCATAATTAGCTGAAAGTGAACGAATACAAAAGGTTTTATTCAAATGAATGCAAAAGAATCTACCTTATACGCGTACTGTTAACAAAAGAATTTTTTATCATACATGGTGACTTGAGTGCTTTAAATCTTTAATGACGGCTTTTGAATCATATTTTAATGGACAAGATATGACTACAAATCCTGCAAATATTAATTCGTTTTCGGCTTGTTCTCTAGTCATCTCACGCAATTGCACGCTGGTAAGTTCGCCTATTTCTTTATAACCTAAGGCTAAGATGCGAGCACCTTTTCTGGCCATTTCTTCATGTACTGAATCGTAATCTTTAGGGACTTCTTTAAACTTTATTACAAAAATAAATCAATTTCGGATTAAATGTCATAAATCCGCGAACTTATAATCAATACTTTTAATGCAATAAATCGTACCATTCTTTTTAAGATTTCCGGTGCTCCTTTAGTTGTTACAATGTAATTACTAATACTGGATTGTGGAGTTTGCATTGAACAAATTACTGACATCCTCTTTAAAACACTAGAGAAATGAAATCTATGAACAATACGTAATGTTTGGCGAAATCCTTTCCTCGGAATGGCGACATCATCTAATTTAGTTTATTAATAAAAGAAATTATCTAATAAGAAACTTATAGTTTATTAACTCGGTATCAAATTTTTGGCATTAAAATATGTTATAATTAACCTTTAGTAAATGACCAGTCAATAGCTTTCAACGCTGCTTTCTCTAATGGATCACCTACAAAGGTTTCGTCAAGCTTTGCCAAAGAATGACATGTGCCAAGGATTCGTAAAGTTTCCATTGGAGCTTCCGAAATTTCTGTCAATTTGCAACCTTCCTTTAAGCCTGCGATGCCAGTCACAATCAAATTATCACTTGTTAAGGTACCAGTTTTATCAAAACAACAGACATCAATTTTTCCAGCAAAAGGTATTCTGAAAGGTTCAGTGCAATAAATACCTGTGGAAGCAGATAATCAGTATTAGCATCTAAGACAAATAAAAAAACATGCAAAGACCGGTTTCTATATTCAAATCAGATTTAATAGTATCAGTTTAGAATTGTAGTTATCCTTGTCTTACCAAGCTTAATAAGTGACATTAAAGAGCTGTTAACGGCAAGAGATAGTTCTATTGGTAATTCGGGCGGTACAACAGAAGTTAATATAAACGTACACTCCAGGAAAAGCTTATATCTGTTACGAGAAGGATCTTCTGTTCCTATTTATAAAATTTTACACCCTCAATAATGTTTGATAAGTCGGATAGGATATCCTACAATCGATGTATACTGAGATAGCTATATGTAATTTTACCTTTAATCCAAACGTACGCAGCCGCAGCAATAGCAAAAATTAATAAGAAAAGAATGAAGCAGAACGTTTCTAAGTTATTGGCAGTCACTCGTTTCACACCATACAAGATAGTACGCAGTAGTTTTCCCTATACGATTACATCAAATAGAAGTAGATTAATAATAAAGCATATAAATCACTGTCATTCTACTGCAGAATACATATTACTCGAATATTATCTGGTACCTGGGATGTATGAAATCCAGTGCGCAATACGTAGGCGATGCAGCCGTTGTCGCTAGATCGTATTCCATTGCTATTTTTAGGAGGTGGCGTATGTTGTACTACTTTCGTCCCTCCAAATAAAATATGTAATTTACTATGTTGAGTAGGATCAAGATATATCGAATCTTCAATATCTTCTACAGGTTCCTATAAAGATCAAATATAGTGAGCAGTAGAAGTAGAAATTAAGGATCGAATACGATACGATAGCGTTGATAGGACTCAATTCTAGTGCAACATAGTGCATTAAAAAAATAAGAAATTAACAATTTCAGTTTTCGTAGATAAACACAGTTAATTCGAAACTGTACTTATACTGGTATTACAAAAGTAATGTAAAAGTACTTGATTTGTATACCGAGAAGGAAAAAAGTTTACCTTCATTTGGGGCACAGATTCACCAGTAAGCATAGCTTCATCAACGATGCAAGGTCCACGCAGTAGTAGCATATCACAAGGAATTGTACGATCATCGCTATAGCGCACTATGAATAAACGATATAATAGTACCTTAAATTAATTACCTAACAGTACAGTCGGTATACTAATATCAAATTATTATTGGAGTTAACGTCCAAGGTAATAATTTTAACGCTACCAATTGAACATATATCTCCAGGCACTAATTCACTGCTTGATATTAATCGCCACTTGCGTTGACGAAATACATTAATCATGTAAGGCTTTGATCCCATATTACGAATTTCACGAAGATTCCGTAATTGCTAGATAAAAAATAGCACATTATATTAATACTTGTATATATACTGTAGGATATACATCATAAATTGATGATAACAATGGACGAATAGTTGGATGATGTCGTTACCTGCTGCACAAGGGTAGCCTCAAACATAACAAGCATAGCCAAGGTAAATATACTGTAATACCAATATTCATCTAGGCACCAGAGAGCAACGCAAAATACTTGAAAGACAAAAAACGGCGCAGTTGCTCGTTCTTTAAATAATTCCGAAAATTCTGGTACTATCAACTCTAGCCTATATAGTAAAATATTTCGTTGATTATATATCGGTCAGATTGTAATTATTTAAAACAAATCATTCCATTTTGCAATTGTTGGATCAATTCTAGGCTAGTTTATATGAAAATAACATAGTAACAAGGAAAAGTATAAACTATAGTTTATATCGCATCAGCATAGTAAACAAAACATGATAAAACTGTTGAAATATTTACTCTAAGTTACAAAAATGAATAATTTAGTGCGTAAATACTAACTTGTTGTCTCCAAATATCCGATTAGTATGTTCAATTTCATGGACTTCATTGAAGCCTTTCCAATTCTTATAGAAGTGCATTTTACGATCTACAGGAAAGGGAACACTATGAAACTGTTTCTTTTCCTCAGCATCGTATAAATATTTGGTCTTTTGAAAAGAGAACCATATTATGGAACGATTGGAATCTTCATCCTATAAAAAAGTAATATAGTTTATTTAATCGCCGATGTTGTGAAATTGCACAAGCAAACTCAGAGCTAAATTAAATCCGCAAAAGCTGGCTAGTACGGATTTTAAAATCTACAACGCTTAACAAAGTATAGCTGATAATCATTGACTTTGAAATCCCATTAAATAAATTATATAAATTATATAATTATTAAGTTCCAATTGCAATCGATGTCCTTTTAAATCGTTATGACTTGATAGTAATGTTTATTATTCTTGTTATCAGCCATACTCGTACTGTACGCGTACTGAAGTTTACACTAAGGTATTTATTGATAGTAAAATGTGCAATGTCGAGCACTGAAGGATGCTTGCGTCATATGCCAATGTGTCAGATGCAAGATCAATTTAAAATAGGAGCCTACCAATACTTTGATGTTACTATCCAATTTTTTTATACTAAGAAAATAAGATGACTTAAAATAATCAGATGCCTATTTATTCAGCAATTGAAGATCTCTTTCTACCTTATCATGATGTATTTTGACAATTTCTGGATAACCATTATTCGGAGTTGGAACCACTTTAGCGACAGTTGCTTGATGGACATCCAATACCTTTCAATATACAGTATGTATATGTAAATCAGAGGCTGTCTGGGATGGATCAAGACTGTATGTATCATCATTAGCTTGAAAAACTCTACACATCATCTCGCTACATACAAAATGTTAGTCCTACTGTACTTTAAGCTAGGCTTAACAACTGTTATTACCATCACATACTGTTGATATTATAAACACGTATACGTAGCTGACGTAGAGTAAGTGTAAATTATTAAGACACAATATATGATTTTTACTACTTTCACTTGAATCATTAATTATAATGTACAATATAATACGAATACAGTAAATCAACTGCTTGGATCGATAGCACGCGTAGATATTACAATATGACTGAAAGAATTTATTTTAGCAGGGCTGCAGATTCTACCGTAAGAAATGCATTACTGAACTAACTTATCCATTCCATCTAGTTGGAAAATAGAATGGTTACCGATTTACAGGTGAGGGCACATCGAACATGGACTGACCAAAAACAAGACAAGCAAGTTAAAATTTGCAAAATGCCAATTCCGGCAACAGCTATCAATCCAGCTTCAAAATACTCTTGAACGCCATACATTACCAGCCAGACATAAAGCCAGATCATGTAGAATATTAAAAAAGGAGCCACATAACCATGTAAATAGACTTGTCGTGGTATATATAAGCGAATATATTGGATATCATCACTGACTGGCATTTCACTAGCCTTGGAAGCCATGTTGAATGACTGACAACGGATTCAACTGATAGGCTCATTCAATAGTCAGTGATCAATACTGTCCTTATTTGTACTGCATCGGAGTGATGATACCGATGCCTTGCACTCGCAATTGGCAGGACTGTCCCGTCGTCTATGCGTCCAAGCCCGGCTTCAGCAGTGCCTGACCAGTGACCAGTGACCACTAGTAACTGGTTGACTGAAGGAAACACGCAATTGGCAGGACTGTCCCGTCGTCTATGCGTCCAAGGCCGGCTTCAGCAGTCCCTGACCGCTGACCACTAGTGGTTGACTGAAGGAAACACGCAATTGGAAGGACTGTCCCGTCGTCTATGCGTCCAAGCCCGGCTGCAGCCGTCCCTGACCAGTGACTGACCACTGGCCACTGGTTGACTGAAGGAAACACGTGTTACACATCAGTTTGCAGCAGCATCTTCACACAGGGGCTTCTGGTCAAGGCTACAGTATACTAGCTACAGTAGCCTTGGAGACTGCACTGTACTGTAGTCCAATGAATTGGGTACTAGCTGAAGAGGGAATACAGCTCTCATACTGAGCGGTATAAATACTAGCTGTAGGAGACTTTTACACTGCTCACTCCTTTACAGTGTAAAGTACTGTACACTGTAAAGCTCAGTGACGTACTGCACGGTACTGGACGGCGGCGCTAGCCCAAAGTCCTGCAGCCGTACGTTAATCGGACCGAACGCCTTCATTTTACTGTCTTGCTGCATTGAAAAGAAGAGGTTGAATAATCATGGCTGACGACGAGACAGCAGTTCCACTGTAAGTTTTATTGTACCGAAATGGATCAATGTCTGTTTACTACAATTTCACTGTACAACATGGACTATAAATTAATATCATATTAGACAATATTAGAATGTTCACTGCTGGAGATTTTGCTTCTAAAATTCATATTGATCCAGAAAGGATACTCACGTATGTGCTGGATTTCCTCATTTCCCATGCTACTATCGTAGCGGTCTCAATATTATTATTAACAGTCAAATAGCTGATGCACAATCGAAAGCAACGCTACCATTTTTCGTCCTATTCATTATCTAAACAAGCTTGTTCTACAGCTTCCAGTCGAGCAAGTGATAGACCGACCATTCAATAACACAATCAACTTACAGTTCTACAATCCAATGACTTAGCGTATGGTTAATCACAGTGTCAGCATTTCACCAATGGTAATGTGAGTAGTCCCATACTGTAGTACTAAACAAGAGCAGAATTTATCCGATAGGCGCTAGTCTATGGTATTCAATACGCGTATACATTTCTAGGATAGAAGAATACCATGCGATGTGCAATGGTGACTTCTCTAGGAAGTAGGAAGTAACTTAAATGGACAAATGGAGCTCTACGCTTCATTCTCCAACTCGTAACGCATCAAAGATAGCTTAAAGCAACGCTACCTATCTGTTACTTACCAAAATGATATAGTATTTAAAGACGATAGTTAGTGTTTCTACATGTTAAGAGTGTAATTGTGTAATCTGACATTATACTGTATGATTCATTAAAATAAGCTGACATTATACTGTATGATTAATTAAAATAAGCTAACATTATACTGTATATACTGTATGATTAATAAAAATAAACTGAATTTGATAGGATAACGTACTTTATGTTAATCCCTTACAGTTAACCTTGTTCTTTATTCTCTACGTGTAATCTGCTATGGGAAGCATTCAATCTATTTAATGTTAAACATATTCAATTTCAGTGAGGAAGCTATAAACTTCGCTGCCCAGGGTTGTATGAGCGAGGTAGAAGCTTATGCTGATTGCGTATCAAAGAATAGGAGAACTTGGTATAAAGAATGCAAGGAACATAAATTTAATCTGAACAAGTGTACCGCTGAAAGGTAAAGCTAAAACCGACTCAAAGGAACTATGCAATCGTACAACAATATTGTAGCTTTAAACGGGGTTTGATAAGACGCTCGTTTTACCTTAACTATATTTAATATAATGTGTAATACTGTACAATTTGTACGATGAGCGATTATAACGTTCACTAAATCGATCCTGTTATTAATACATGTATGCAGCCCCATTATCGTTACAATCAAACGTGAATGCTCTGCAGGGTATAACCTCTGCTTACGCGACAATCCAACAAATCCGTATGCTTGCAATAAAGAGCTGCGTGCCTTTGCTAAATGTGCTAAAGATATTTTAGAAAAAGCTACGGCTGAAGGTAAGGCTAAGATTCAGTGAGCATAAACGGAGAGTCGTAAAAGAAGTAATAATAATAATAGAATTACCATAAAATTACAACTATAATTGCCAACTACTACTAATATATCCTTAAAAAACATTTTTATAGGACAATAGTTGCACTATTGAAAGTGCTAGGGAATAATTGATTTCAATACAGTGGCATGAAACTGATGTCGATGAATGCTAATACAGTAGTGTACTGTATCTGCAGTTACATCGAGAGAAGCTAATCGTCCATATTAGCCAAAGAATAGCAATTACTAAATATCGCAAATTTGACGTCTTCTTGCCTTTTAACGTGATTACATGCGCTTAGCTATTTCATTTGAACTCTAGGTCACATTAACAAAACTTGTACAAACACGTTAGGGTATGTTTTATATGTTGTTCCTGCTATTTTAAATTTGAAAAGAATAAAAGATGTAGAAACTTTCTACAAAAAAATTCTAATCCTTCAAGGGCATTTATTACAATTATATAAATAAATCTTGTGTGATCGAAGCCTAAAAACTTTAACATGATTTACAATACTGTACAGTACAGCAGATCTACAACAAAAATATAAATATCAACTGAACCACCTCTTAATTGCCAGTGTACAATGTACATGTAGCACAACTAGTGCGCGAGCTTTCCTCAATCTGGACGGGTATTATACTTTCACAATTGTTTCTCTTGGAGTACATTATCTATAATTTCTTCCACGTTAGCAAGGATTGAGTTCATAAGTTCTATTCTAAGCATACCAGATCTAAAAAACTACAATATTTCTGTCAATTAGTCTAATCGATATTCTTTAAATTCAAAAAACTAGCATTAAAAACTTACTTGAATTTGATCTTGAAAAGGCAAATGGGATATTAAATCATTTCTATTCATCATCATACTGTCGGAATTACCTAAAATTATAGCACGTTCGTAATTAAGAAACTGTAACAAAAAACAAGATAAAGTTAATTCAAATCTAATCCAAATGAAGACAACCTTGCTTGCTCTTTTGCAAAGATTGCAAGTCTATTTCGAGCCTAGTGTGACTATTCCTCAATTCTTTTCTTAGCGGTTCCAATATATGACATTTAAAATCTGTAACATCACCCCATATCCCCGTCTAAGAAATTTGATATAAAAGGTGCGTTTAGTAATAAAGTAAAGGTGGAGAATTGATTTACAATACAAAAAGAAATTATAAACTTTCTGGCACACTGATAATTATTAACAATACTCAGAAGGAAATCATCACAATTTTATCATTTGTTTACCTTGTTATCTTGTACGTTATCACGTAATAATAAGAATTTAACAAAATTTAATCCAGCCAGAAATCGATTTGCTTCATTTACGATATCTACGTCATCTTTAATTTGAAGGATAACTTTAATAGTTTCAAGTAGTTCATGTTTTCCAGCAAAACGAACTTCTGAATCCTATAACAGAGATAGCACTTTTTCTGTAATCAAAGTGAATATTAATTATGTATCAGTTTCTAAATAAACAGTTGGATATTTCTTAAAATCCGTTACATTAAGTGCACTAGTAACTCCATCTTTCAGTTTCAACGTCAGCAACTCTATAATGCCAGGATGATCGTTTTGTGTTAGTAAGTACCTAAGAAAGGAGGGATTAAAAGTTTATAATTAGCTACAATATCGCAAAAAATAATTTTGCAAATAACAAAGAAAAATATCATAACGGATTTCGGAGATTATCATGCAAATATACTTTATCAATAGATATTTTCCCCTTCCTTGACACTTGTCAATTTTGCTTTGAAAAACATTGTAAGACTTTTTCCTCTGTTTTAATTAAAGAAGTAGCAATTATATTAACAGTAATTGCCTATCTCATAACGGAATTAATACGTATATGGAAGAATTTAATACGAGCTTGCTTACTATTGCTTCTTGTTGATAATGGGACATGATTGATAATAAATTCTAATAATTTTATAATATGATTAATCTCACAGTAGATACGATACAATTGAATCAAAACTTTGTAACACCTGAGCATTATTTCTGAAGATTCGTGACGATGTAAGTTCAGCTGGTAAAGTTGATGAAGGGATATTATTCAAGAGGAATTTGTACAGTTCCTTGGTTAAAGATTAATAAATTTAAAATTAAAAAATTCCTTACTACTGTTTAGAGCTAATTAGGCTATAATTTAACCTCATCACATGTATGAAACTGTTGCAACAATTAGTAATACAAACATACTCGGATATACTTACCAATCCTTTATCTATGACATTGGCCATCGAACTGGTATGCAAAGTGTTATGATTAGAACCTCAATAATACATCAATCTATCGCAAATCTGACAAATATTAATGACAAGCTAAATTAACCTTTTCAAGAAGACTTCAACATGACGGAGGTTGAAATATAGGCGATATTGGTAGCTGTAAAAGATAAAACATATTAATGACTATTACAGAACTTAGATTAAAGCAATTTTGCAAAGTTTACTACCTATAAATCCATGGGATGGAGTCAGTACAAATATGACAAACAAAAATCAGATAAGAGAAACATGCGCATCCCTCCGATAACATGGTATCACCAACTATTAAAATAAAATTTGGAAGATATTAAAATCTCGTATTATAACCAATATATAAATATTGAAAGAATACTAAATGAATGTTATCAATATCTTACATGCAAATTGTTCATCGTGGCTTTGAGTAAAATTTGGTTTACGAGACAATATATCCATTCCATCGCCATTCATTTTAGTTATAGAAACCTGAAAATAAGCACTTGCTATGTTAAATACAAGTATTACTGTACAGTATGTTTTGACAATGTAACACATTTATGACTGACCATAAGTTTATGAGCTAGCACATAATACAAAGTCTTGCTGTCTTCGTAGAGTATATCAACTTCCATTAATGGGTAACTAAGGAGGCACAATTTACTATAACATTCCCCAAAAATGATGTAATGATTATTGGAGATCATTGGAGTATAGATCAAATATGAAATAAGGCTACTATATCGTATTGTAGATATAGCATGGTGTATGAATAGTTAATCTACACACTACGAATAAAGCGTATTAACACGAAATGTACAGCAAATAAGAATTATAAGCAGAAATACAATACGAACAAATCTATTATTTCATTAGCCAACACTGGCTGTTTTCTTCGGATAAACTAGGGAATACAGTTTTATTCGGTTAGTTTGCAAGTTATATTCAATAGAACATCTAAAGTTTTAATAGTTAGAACTCATACAATAGGTGACAGTTTAACTTACAACATCAGTAACATCTTGAGCTAATGATTGTTCCCCGGGTAATGTGTAATTTATTAACTCATTAGTAATGTCGAATAATAGAGAAGTTTTGGTCATATCATCTACAGGCTGTAAACTACTAGCTACACTGTCGAAATCTTGCATATCAGATACCAAGGACGCACCAATCGATACCATTTCATTAGAATTTTCGAAATGCTGCTTATCTATTGCTTTAAATGATGTGATCAGCTGATTATTAGCAGCTCGATAGAACTTTGAACATTTATCCTTCATTTTACGTAAAACTGTAGGAAATATAGTATGATTAATTTGTTAGTATCTCGTATATGCATTTCCTATCTATAGGGCAATGGAATAATATGATTCTTAACTGAGTATTAGCACCATATAATTTAAATACCTTTGGATAAAAGCTTGACAATTAAAATAAGTTTATATGGATGTGGCTGTAGATCACTCTCCAACCTTTCCAGTAATGCTAAATACGATTCTTTCGGGCTATTTACCTGGCAGATAAATATTTCACTAACAGTAAATGCATGAATTTAGGTTATCATCTAATTTAATTTATAATACCTAAAGCTTACCTCGATAACTTTATGCAGTAGAATAGATCGCATCTTCAGACTCTCATGGCTACATTGAGTAGTGCTTTGAGTTATATTTGACAAACCAACTATAATTAGATCCCAGCCACATTCAACCAACAGCTCCTAATTGTCCGAATTATTAATGCATTCATGTATTTAATTATTTAGTATAAGTCTTTGATACAACTGCACAGAATCGCTATATAAAATATACGCTTATAGTCTTGGTAGTTTGGCATACTATTGCATCAGTACTATACTCGTAGAACATACTTGATAGACTAAGTTTAGACTAAGTTTAAAGTATCGGATTATGGTAATCATATTTGCACAGGTAGAAGAATAGCTATACAGTCAGTCGCAGATTATTGAGTTTATGATAGTAGATACGTCTATACTATTGGAATTACCTGATAGTCATCTCCGACTAGAAATTGACCGATAGCTTCCGTCAATCCGAGGTCTAATAATTTCTGTATTAATATCGGAAAGTGAACTCCGCATTCTTCGCTATTGGATGCCTGTACGTCAACATAGATTGGGACAGGTCAAAAATATCAAAATACTTTATCCTGTGCCAGGCTGTCCTACAAAGATTGTCCTTTGAAGTGATTTACACATCATTTATAGTAGGCTATAGTATATACCACTAGAGTACAATAAAGATAAACTGATCAGTTTGCAAAATGTTTCAATGTCTATGTTAACCCATGAAAGATTTACGACATCTCTTTTAATTTACCAATGATTGTATAGTAAGAGAAATAGAAAAAGATAGCGATACTTGCATCCTCTATTTACATATCTCATATGTATTTTCTGTCTTACGGTGGCCTATTCTGTTGACATTAAACGTAATATACATGATAACTTTGTAAAATATAAAATGCAATCGGATATCTGATGCAAAGATTTGCCAAAGTTGGATCTAGCAAGAAGATTGCAATTTGATCTTATCGTCATTTGGATTCTAAGTTACAGTATTACTATTACTGTCTATCCTACCATGATTGGAGTGAACTGTACAAATTCATGCATCTTTATCGCTTAGAAACTGCTGACTATTCGATCAGTAATGTAGTAGAAGCCGATTTTATAAATTAGTTGTAGACGTACATATTGCGAGATGAAATTGTCTTTCTCGGTTAGAATTTCATTCGCTTCTTCCTGCATGGTTGGTTTTCATTTACTCTGGTCACCATAGGCGTAATATAACATGCTAAAAGAGTCTAAAAATATCCCAATACATTCATTATAAAGTTAATGAAAGAGAATAGCTTTCAAAATGAGTCAATTATAGTAAACGATCATGTAAGCACCTAATAAGACGAAAAGTGTCAGCAGAATTTTCACCTACGATTAGAGAAGATTGAATGAATTAAGAGTCGATGACGTGATTGGTTACTGCTAGTCAGCTACAGAGTGTTGCCAGTACGGACCCATGGAGATGGAGATATGATGAGGGCAGACAGCTCTCTACTTCTAAATAAAGTGGTAGAATAATGTCTAGAGAGAGCCGTCAAAATGTACAAAGGACAGAAAGGAGTAATGTAGCAAGATAAACAAGCAAATCTCCAAATTGGAGGAAAAAGTTGTCTAAAACGAAATACTTTAAGCTGTTTCATGGACTACTACGCGTAGATCGAGTAGTCAGGGGGCTCGTCCATGATGAAGTCTATAGTATACCGATACCAATACAGATACAGTACAGTACATACATACTGTACTGTACTTGGCTAGTTAAGTTAACACCACCTACAGTACACTATCGCCTTCCTTACTACACCTCAGTACAACTTTTGCTTTTTTTTACTCAAGTCTATGTAAACTATGGAAATTACTATGGAAACACTTTATGACTTTGTTGAATTTTTCCATAATAAAAGTTGTTCAATTTTCAACCAAAAACATCCACTTTGTCCTATATATCTATATATATATATTATATCTGCTTCAGCGCTGAACATCATAAAAGTTGTTCAATTTTCAACCAAAGACATCCACTTTACATATATATCTATATATATATTATATCTGCTTTAGCGCTGAACATCATAAAAGTTGTTCAATTTTCAACCAAAGACATCCACTTTATCCTATATATCTATATATATATATTATATCTGCTTCAGCGCTGAACATCATAAAAGTTGTTCAATTTTCAACCAAAGACATCCACTTTACATATATATCTATATATATATATTATATCTGCTTCAGCACTGAACATCACTACTATTAAATTGAAGGATGTTAAAGAGTGACATGTACTCACTACAATTCAAAATTACCAACAATATAAAAATAATAATAATCATGACGTTATTACTACCATACTCTACCCTATGGGATAATTAATTCATGAATGAATGCAAAACTCTATCGAAGGAGTACCGCAGGAAGTGAATACGCCAATAGTGACATTAATTTTGATTGTACTATAGGATCGTATTCTGTACCTTACCTTCCGAGTCATGCCAAACTATACTGTTGTGGTAATATCGTAGGCGTCTTAAAAGTGTTGTGCAGCTACAGCATCACGCACGTATCCCGTTGAAAACCAATATCAGCCGCTATTGTACTTTGTTTTATTTGTTTCCATTTTTTGCTAGGGGAGAGAGAATGTTCACCGACTTTACTTGCCCTAAAGGATATTATAAAAGAATAAAAGAATTAATAAAGAGTTCAATTTAGCATATAAAAGACTAGATAGATCGTGCTATATACAATCATACGAGACAGATAATAGACAAAACTTACTGGAATAAAATCAGAAAGTGTGGTAGTTGTAAGACCGTATATTGTATCGCTGAAAATACCGGCAATAAAATTGGCTCCATCCATAAATAATAATAATTAGTAAATCGAATCAAGACAATAGAGAAATCAAAAGTTTAATTCTTATTCAAATACAATTCCATCCAGACTGTTGATACAGTACAGACAATCATAGGGCAAAGTACGTTTGAGCTCTTGGTGGCTGGACCAAGTTGACAAAGTAAGTATCATTATGAAATCCCTTCATTTACATGCAAAAATATTCTACTTTATAACCCGTATAGTTGATGAATCTTAGCAAAATATCTCAATCTAAATTTTAAAATTGAACTTGTCTGTACGTATATTAAGTCCATCTTGAATTAGAATAAAAAATAAATAAAAAAAACTATTAAATACACAATAATATACTGTGTTACTTGCCGCTACATTGCCCATCCAATGACTTGTTATTTCCCTTTGCATACTGCTACGAGTATACTATAAATTTCGTATAATCTTTCATGATCAATAATCACCTGAAATGACTACCCTGATGTAGTAAACTCATATGCCTGCATAGCAATCAAAGTATTGATAAGCTTGTAGTTCAATGAAATGTAAAATACAGAAATTAAACCCAGAAAGACAGTTACTCTTACTCCTTATGTGCTTATATAACTATAGCAATCGTAGTAATATATTCTGTATTAGTTCATATCTGATTGCTATACACTGTATGCGATAAAAATTTTCATGTAGTCGTTTGTTTGACCTAAACCAATCCTTAATTTTTGATCGCTTAGCTTCTACAGTCTACTAGTAGTCAGTATAATACGCATATGAGCTGCTTCTAATTTCATCAAACCTGTACAACATGCATCATTCCACTTGTGAAACCTTGATTATGATTAACATTTTATATTTGGTGGTGATTACCAAGTGTACTACATGCTACAAAAACTCAATTTCGGGTTAGTGGATGGATAATTTCTAATGTCGTCGCTATTATCGGTTTAATAGGGAACTTCAAGACGGGACTCAAATATAACTGAAACTTCGAAAAACTTGAAATCAAGATACAAGACTTCACTCTTTGCAGGTAGTCCGATATGATATATCCCCCAAATAATATAACTAATATTGTAATGGTTGTCGTAGATTGTCTTTTTACACATGCAAGCAATTATGCTGGTTATTCATAAATAATATATCATCTTGTGTATTAATGAATAGCTAAATATATTTTATACCGTGATATATATACATTTATATATGATTGTATGATGGAGACACACTACGTTCTATCTAGTACATTACTACATGAATAACGGAAAAACTCATGTCCTGTAGTAAAACTTTTAGCCGCTCATTTGGTGGAGGTGGTGTTCTGCATTATTGTCATACTATATCTACAGTATTACTGTGTATTGGATAAGAAAGTGGCTAGAATCCAAAGTCTGAATTACTTTGATAAAACAGCTATTAGAAGCATTGAATATATTATGTACATAGGACAAGGTTATTATCGTTGACTATTCAAATGATACTGTACACAGTTATTTTTATTGCGTTATACAGTATAGCTGTCTCGCGTTTTAATCTTTTCAGGACCAAAAATGACAACCCTTTACAAGGATAATTTCGTATATAGCGATAATTTCTGTGTATTTTCAATTAGAATACTGTATAAAATCATTCATTGAATGAGTAATTCCCAACATTCGGAATATCTAGTCGTGATCGGCACATAAAAGTAATTGTGCATCCTCATTGTAATCAATATTACTTGTTTATGACTGAATACAAGCTATAAAAATTCATTCGACAACGGGCTACCCGCTAGTACACTAATCATAATAGCAAGTATTAATAAAAAAAAGTTTATTTCACCGAGCAGAGATTTAACTAAAATTAACTGAATTACAACAATTGTATCCTCCCAAGTCCTACCTTTCTAAGATTAAAGAAAATTCTTTATTACGATGCCATTTATGAGATGCAATCATCGCTAAAATTTGTAACATCACTGTTGCCAATGACTGCTAAAATAGTACAACCTAGGCACCCATTAGAGTATTGAATGCTTGTAAGCTTCATCGTCAAAGTACAAGAACATTCAACTGTTATGACAAGAAATTTATTCTAATGCGTTACATGCGCTGCGAGAATGACAAGTGATCATATAGAGCTAGCAGTCAATACTGTAACAGTAATGTATTGACCATAAGCGTTTCTATGTATTATTCTATTGGAAATCATGACCACTGCTTCGCTTATCTTGCTGTCATTAGTACTGCAGCTTACTGAAAGTAAGAGTATAGCAATCTATCTAGCATGCTCTAAAATACCGCCAAAATATGCGCTAAGAAATTAATTTGATACAGTCCGTGCGTTTTATTTTGATATCTTGAATTTTGTGTGATATTTACTTGCAAACCTATTCTTACAATTATCTCTATATAATGATTGAACTGGTGCGATGCAGTCAGTGTGGAAGCTCAATATTGCACGGTTGATATTTAATACTACTTCCAGGCATCGATTATATAATCTGTGTTGCCATGACTTAGACTGGTTATGACTACCGTTGTAATTTACAAATGATACTATTGATTACAATGGTTCTTCTTCTTGATTGATTTATAGCATCTACTGTAGAGTAATTCAAGTATGCTAAATATGTCTACATCTATTTATGGTTGGATATTAATCATGACTGTCAATGTAGCTATTTTAGTCAGGGAATAATTCAGTCTAAAATGGAGCAGGACGTTGGAGGTGTCAAAAACAAAATGCCATTTACCGGTAGAAGAAAACGAATTGGTTCATGTCACTGTATTGAATTCCATTTAGAATGGAATTGATTCTACTCTATCGTTGTTATTACGTGTCTCCTAGCGTCTGACTGGACAGTCTAAAATGGAGTAGGACGTTGAAGGTGTCAAAAACAAAATGCTATTTACCGGTAGAAGAAAACGAATTGGCTCATGTCACTGTATTGAATTCCATTTAGAATAGAATTGATTCTAGTCTATCGCTCTTATAACGTATCTCCTAGCGTATGACTGGATAGGAGAAGATTTCTGATGCATTGGTGTCTATCGAATACGGAATTAGAGTAAATTTAGAGAGATCGTGGATGATTGATTCATGTTCATTAATAAGGTTAAGTGAATGCAAAATATTCACCAAAATTGAGCTATTGGACAAGTACAGGAGACAGATTAATGATGTAATGTATCATCCGGAGGGGTTAATCAAATCGTCGATGCTGCCATGGTTACGCCGGAATCTTGCGTTCCTGCCATGTTTGTGGCTAGAGTACAATTGCCGTTTTGATCGTTGAGTGGCGAAACAGTGGCGCAGCTGTACGGTATACAGTAGACTAGAGTTGCGTGTCGTGTATGGGTATA